TTGTACTGTCTTAATTTTCTGATTTGCACAGTGATTTGCACAGGGAGAATGGCATGTTGATCTATTTTGCTTGAACGCACTAACCTCAAAGAAATTGTGCAATGGGAGCAAGACTAGATCTGACAGTTCAGTATCTTAGTTTTGCAGAAGCACTACGTTTTCACAAAATACACCATTGGGTCAAAGAGGATTTGAAGTGTAGCTTATAAAACATATATCTTAAAGGAACTAGATTGCTAATAATTGGGACCTAATTTCGGTGAAAAACGCCAGAAGTCTCAATCGAATGGCAACCTCTAGCATCTGGTTATTCCAGTCTACACCAACAGTATTTATTGTGCATTCTCTCCAGATAAGAATATGACGTCACCATTTGACATGACTTGTGGAATATGTCTAGCCTCGTTCTTCGAGTCCCTTGTTAGAAATGGTGCTGAAACGCATTATGGTACACGATTCGTGTACCAGTGGTAAAATGTTTATTTTGTCTTAAATACTGGATATCAGAAGCCCATCTTTTCCTGGTGAGATCACAAAATCAGTGTTGATTTAAATTGACAATTAATTGGTGTTTTCAATGTCAAAGACTGGATGATATTAAGTTAGAGACTTAGCTACTTTAAGTTGGTCTTCTGAATGGTTATATTAAATAGCCATGCCAAGGTGGAGCAGTTTAAAAACACCAGCTCCATATACCTGTCACCAAGAAGGCTTTTTTTTCTAAGTTGGCTTATTTTGATTTTTGCCATCTAAATGTCCAGATTAAAATTACAGACTACCGGGTAATCCATTTTGTCTTAAACCATTCTACAGTCAAGAGGTGTGATTTTGATCCAAAGCTTCATTCTCCATTTTCCGTTTTTCGCTAACGTCACCTGCATGCAAGCGAATTATTGAATAAAGATTGTAGTCCCATGCGATCTCAAACAACAAATTGTACCTAGTAACTTTGTGGGTGACTGTGAACTCGGCCTAAAATGGGAACCCTTAATGGGAACCCTTGATTATTAATCATTCAAATTTGTTTGTTATCTGTTGTGATAGAATACATAACTCTTATTTATTAAAAAGATATTTTAATACTGGACAACATATTTACAGGTACATATAAACATCATTTGGTTGGGTATAGTAACGTCTAGCTATAGCTGCTTCTCCTCAGCCTCACAGGACCCCTCTCTCCGGGGTCGAGGACAGACACTCTCCCGAGGTCCGGGAGACCTCTCAGCCTCTACGGGTCTCTCTCTGCCCTCTTCTGTTCCTCCCTGCCTGCTTGTAAACTAGGCTTTTTATATCGGTTAAGGCACGCCATAGTTAATACCATTAGTAATCAGAACAATGAAAAGTAATTATTAAGATTCACACATCTTAGCTCAAGACAAAAGGTGTCAATACGTGTTAAGCCTGAATCTTATATCATATAGACACTCCGAGTATACATGTTTGTACAATCCATTAAATCTTACATAATACTATTTCAACAACCTACACCTCATATAAATTAAATCTTACAATTAATCTGTCACTTAATATATGTCTAAAATTGAGTTACAAATAAAATATGAATTAAGAATACAATATTGAAATTTAGATCCAATATGATATTGTATTACACTGTATACAATGACATTTGGAGGAGTTTAAAGTAGGTAACACACAACTGATCATATAAAGAGGCCGTGTTATTAAAACCTGTTTCTATTTGTAGCTTTAAAAAAGTATGTCATCATCAATGGCATATGTTTGCTGAAATCTAGGTGTAGATTACTTAGATAATCAATACAGGTTTATTGTTAATATGTAAGTTAGGAGTATTTGACACAGGAAGTATTAAATTGCTAACCAACAGTTTATATGAATTATTAGGGTAACGGTAATTGAATGAAATCAGTGTTCAGGAAGAAGTATAAAGGGATGATCTCCATGTGTGACTATAATCACCAATAATGAGAGCCATTGTAAAGGCCACAAGTTCACTTTTGTAATAAATTATACTCCCTTAATTCAGGGTTATATTCCACACTTTTAACCCATTTTTATTTGTATGGCTATTTTATTGTTAAAAGTATCATTCTGTTAGTATTCTTTTAAATTGTTATGGTAATTACTTCAGGGTGAACATGGTTGCTGCACCTGCTCACAGATAGTAAAATAGTTTAGGTAATTGATAATATCATCAGGTCTTTCTGAAATGAAATGGGGTTTAATGTTTTACTGTTCTGACTGGACTAATGAAGACTGGCATACGCCATACAGTGTGTTATGAAGGAAATTTTGTCTGGACAGTGGCGCTAAAGCCTATAGGGCCTACTCTTATAACAAATTCCAACTGACAAGGGATCTTTTACGGCATTGCCGTCTGTCCTACATTGTACATCTCTAACAATGGGGAAGCATTGACTTGATTGAAATTATGCCATTGTTTGATTTTGTTGAGTGACAGAAAGCCCTCACTGGTCGCTATTTCCATTGTGTTGCTGATGAAAATAGCCCAATTCACTAGCTTTGAACATGATTAGTGTGTGCAAAATATCTCCCAAAAATTTGATTTCAGCTTCATTGGTACACAAACACCGAAATAAAGCCCCTAGTATATTATCACATGAATTAGACCAGGCTAACTCTTATCCCCAAATTGAGGGGTTGGATGGCCGAATGGTTAGCACATGCATGCTGTATCATAAAGTCTGTCATTGAGTCAACTGGCGTGATTTTGATTTCCTGGCTGTATGTGACAAGGGGTAGGGTCACCTGTCCAACCTCGTGGGTTTTCTCAGGGTCCTCTGGTCTCCTCCCAAGCGAATTATTGAAATAAAATTGAACCATGTGATGACCTAGTTTGTGTCGAGTGGACATTAAACCCCATTTCTCTCTCTCTCTCTGTTATATATTCTCTGTAAACTAAAAGAAGAGACTGTATTGTGCGCTGATCTTATTCGAATAATCCTGCGATTCTACACAAATAGATTAATCTATATTACATGGTGGATGAAAGCGAAAAAACATGGTTTTGATTTATGTCATGACAAATGATAATATAATATAGTCAGTCCTAGACAAGACAAAGTGAGCTATTTAATATAAGAATAAGTAGTTTGTGACTACAATACCCCAGATTTTTAACATGGCTGTCAGGATGTTATATCCATTAATCTAAACTAGAAACTGATTTTCTCTGTGTAACTATTTTGTTATCATCAAAAGATATCTTTGAAAAAATATGCGCATCAGTTGTTAGACGTCAAGGCATCATTAGTATAAGGAAGTAGATTGTTTTCGCACAAAATAGTGTGAAATATCGTGATTTAAGATGATCAGATTGTCATGCTGACAGAGGGTTAAATTATTTGGCTAGACCTGGAAAATCTTTCCTATCACTTACATATTGTCTGAACAATATTTCCCTGATATCACAGTGCATTATCAATCTGATTAGAATACAGATCCTTATTTGTTTGTTTTTTTATAGTTCAAAATTTCATTTTACTAGTCTTTACTCCACTAGGATCTGGAAGAGTTATAATATAACCCGTGATCTGGCTAATGTGAAGGATTAGCCAATTGCTACTGCGAGTTTTTGGCATGAGGTGCACAGAACTGTGGGTAACCTATAGAAACATCAACCCTGATTCGTTAATTAAATTTCTAACGTCTTAGGGTCAAAAGCTGTGCGTATGACCTCTGACGCGACCTTCCACTACAACTTGTCAGATCTTCATGTAGTGTAGGCCATCGAAAGGAAAAAAAAACGAAACAAAATATCAATTGCATTATTGGTTCAAAATGGCAGGATGTTATATTTTCTGTATATCTGAATATTTATAAATTATGGTTTCTTAACAGAAAAAATGAAATTAAAATATTCATTACTGTCCAATGATATTTGATATCATTTCCAACAATTTAGGTGGTAGTATATAGTTGTCAACTGATCACCACCATTTTTCTAGTCTACTTCTTATAATTGCTCTGGGGGTTTGAAATTATGAAATGGGGTTTAACGTCCTACTGTTCTGCTCCTAACATGGGCTAATGAAGATTGAAGACGGGCATACGCCATACAGTGTGCTATGAGGGAATTTTGCACGGGCAGCGGCTCTACAGCCTACTCTTATATTGAATTCCAACTGCCAAGGGATCTTTTACGTGCACGCCAATGTGTACACGGGAACTTGGTTTTTCATCCCATCCGAACAACTAGACAGCTGTCCTTGTCAGGCCCTCCATCCTGCATCACTGACAAGGGGAAACCACGCCGGAAAATCTGAATGAACTTTCTCGGCCAATGCAGGGATCGAACACCCGACCTCCAGACTAGCGAGCCAGCGTCTTACCCACTTAGCCACGTGATCCCTGCTCTGGGGGGTTGGGCTCTGGGGGTTTGATGCCAGATGGTTAGCACATGAGTGCTGTATCATAAGGTCTGTCATTGAGTCAACTGGCATGGTTTCGATTCCCCGGTTGTATCTATCCATCTTTCCTCCCACTGCTAAAAGTAAAAATGACCTAGTTTGTGTCGAGTGGACATTATATCCCATCTATCTCTCTCTGTCTCTCTCATTGCTCTACACTCATCAATTTCTTTTTAGACCACTTTATAGAACTTGCTAATATAACCTCTTACAGTTGTGCATTGATTATTTGTGTACTCTTAATTATTGGCTCTGTCCTTGAAACCTTGTCAACACTACAACATTTTTCAGATGTTTATTATCAACTTTGTTGGTTACAGGTATTGTTTGATTCTGAACCTTGTCAAAATTCACAATTTGCAGTCAATTATTTGTCAAAATATTGCCCCTGTGAAATGACTTACACACAAACAAGTATATGGCGAGGTGTTATAATGCCAGGAAGCTATTGATATTTTTTGGGAATTCTGCTTTGTGAAGATAATATGGGTGTAGTTACCAAGATGTAAATCTCGGGTGAATGTCTTTTGTTTGTTTGTTTAAATCTGAAAATTCTTGATACAGAGGTTTAGGAAGTGAACACACGCGTGGGAGAGAGTTTGGCACTAAATGCCAAATTGTCTATACTACAGAAACTTCTGATCATGTGATGCATGAGTGACATCTGCTAAACCAACCAACCCATCAAGTACATTGAGGATGGAACTTTTTCGCCCATGTTTTGTTAACCTAAAATTTCCCTGAAATTGTTTTGGTAAAATATATATATTTGTATATTCAAATTCATCATCTGGATGTTTTCAGTGCAAGTTAGCCTGGATTAGCATGATAAAAATGAGATTCCAGTTATAGTTTGCATACACAACATGGAAATTATTCGACAATATTTCCACTGCACCATAACATGTCATGGGTTCAGAAATTGATATAGCACTATATAATAGGAATATGTCATTTATATTTTCAGATGGTAATCTTCTAAAGGAGATATATCATACAATATGGCGGATAAGGAAAACGCTCAAGAACCAATGGTGGATTTTGCAGGTGATCCGAATATTTTTACTAAGGAGAACAGAGCCAAGAGAGTTGCTAAAAATGTAAGTTTTTGAAACTATCTATAACATAAATATTATATGTTGACAGTAAAACTGTTGTTAATAATTAGCAAGCACATTTACAGATTCAGATCTTACTAAAGATTCATCCACACACTTAAAAAAATTAAAAGATACATTATGGGAGATTAGATAAAAAGCTGACAGTTCTCACTATAATAGTTCAAAACTAGATAATGTAAAGGGAATTTGCCGAAAATTTCAGTCAAATTGATCCACTCTGAACTGAGATTTTAGCGATTGAATTTTTGGCTCAGCCTTGATCATCCTTACTAAAGTTGGTACAATAAAAAAAATAGACTCGATTATCCATTTCATGATTAAATGAAGAAAGAAAGTGGAGCAGCAAATGGTATCCTAATCCAGTAAACATCGCAGGCTAGCGATGCCATCGAGAGTTGATTATGGTTTGGATATGTTAATAAATGTCTAATTAATAATTTAGATAACATCTCAGGCCCAAAGAAAGACCTGCAATAGGCAGATTTACCTCTTGGATAGTGTATGTTTAAATTGTCTTTGGAGATTTTAAGTTTTAACTTTGAATAGAGGTGATTGTTTAATGCTAATCTCTGTGGTATTCAAAATTTGTTCAGTGACAGCCATTACATCTGCAAGAGTTGTTGTGTAGATATGCCATAGGCAAGAATAAAAATAAATATTCTTTGGAGGTTGGTTTGGTAGGTTTCTGCTATTTAAAATCTGAGATGAGAAATGACACTTTGTTTTGTCTAAATATGTGGGATAAAATACAAAATATCGCCGATTTAGTCCTTACCTAGGTCCTATGATTGAACTGTTTTGGAAACATATGACAGAAACTAGAAATACAAGAGTTGACCACTTTTGTAGACCTGTAGGAGATCGCTGATAAATGTCAAACATATCTCATCTGTCATCAAGCATATTTTTTATTCATTAAAGGATATGGCGCATAAACACATTGTTTCTTGTGTCATGGTTGTTAATGTTGATGAATACTGCATTGATACCCTCAAATTGTTCTCATTGACACCATTGTCCCAATCTGGTTAAAACACAGATCCTATTTCATTTTGGGTTTTTATATAGTTCAAAATTTTGTTTTACTTGTCTACACAAGGATCTGGAAGAGTTGTTATCATTGACATGTTCTGGATGATGTGAGGGATTAGCCAATGAAACGGTCTGTTAAAGCGAGCTTTTGACGTGAGGTGTACAGAACTGTGGGTAATCCACCAGAAACATCAATGCTGATTGGTTAATCAAATGTAGACATCATAGGGTCAAAAGCCACTCGTATGACCTCTGACACAACCTCCCAAAACAACTGATCAGATCTTCATGTAGTGTAGGGCATTGAAAGTATAAAAAACGAAACGAAATATAAATCTGTATTTTTATCAGATTGCCATTGTCCTTAAATGGCTTTTTTGTCATTGTTTTATTAACCCAAATTGATGTGTGTTACCTATAATGTCGTTTCTCCAGTCCGTCTGTCATCCATAACTTCTGGCGTATTTCGCTGAACATAACTGATATGAAATTAGAGTAAAAACGGAATCGATTGAATGTAAATCAGTTTATATACATTCATATTACATTATTATATGCGTTGCGACCCATTTGTGTCAATTTCTAGATCCCAAATATTAGCGATTTAGCTCCTTTAAGTTAAACTGTTGAAGTGCAACATTCACCAAGAATAATCCCAGAAATGGATTGTCTAATTAATTTTGCAATTTGCTTACAATCCTATTGAAACATCAAATTTTATCTGTTTTACATCAGAGACACTTATTGAAGTGATAATACCTCATTTAGTTACCTGTTCGACTTGATTACTGTTAATTGAGTTCAAGTTGAACAGATTAAAGGCATTATGTAAATACAGTTTTAACATGCAGAATACTTTCAGAACAGGTTTCTTCTGTACTGTACATATATGTGTAATTTCTTGTACTATGTTTGTGATATCAGAATACTTTCTTGTTAATCAGTGCAAACATTTTCTGTAGACAGTTACAGGCTGGGATGTCAAAGTGATTATTAGTTGCAGCTGTCTGTATATAATAATAAATAAACTGCTGTCTTAATATAACAACATCTGAGTAGGATATAATATAAGCTACTTCATTAAATGCATTATTAGTTCCCTAACTATGAAACCGGAGGCCGGCTAGGTTTTGTATTTTCCATTCTATACTAATATCATATTCCCAGCACCAAATAGAATGAACAAAACAACTAATGGTGTACAAATGTCGCTTATTAAAAAATTCAAGTGACCCATTTAGTTAGTCTAGAAAATAAAATTAACTAAACTATATACCAAAAATCTTTCAATTAAAAGGTTTGCAGGGGTGCAGGGGGACCTGGGATAAGGTCCTCCTCAACTAAAAAAGTGACTCTTTTATTTCGACCTCGAAATGCAGTATTTAATTATATTCAACATTCGGTACTCTAACCTACAGTGTTATGATATTATAATTTATGGTTCAGTCAGTCTACTACTTTTTTTACTTAGTTAAATGAATAAACAAGCAGTGTGTGAAAGATCCATCACTTTTATTAAGTCAAGGTTAAATCTGTTTTCCATACTAGACTTGTATAAATATGGTCAGGATATGGTATAATGTAGACTTAAACTCTGGTTTCCTCCCACTGCTAAAAAAATTGACCCAAAACAAATTATTGAAATAAAATTGAACCATATTTATGTTATTCCCAAAATGACCTAGTTTGCCTCAAGTGGATGTTAAACCCGTTTTCTCTCTCTTTCATTTGAATCAAAAATAAAATCATAAAATTGTCGATTTGATGAGATAACAATCTGTACGTCTGTTAATAAAACCAATCTTGCGATATAATTGATTATGTGTTAAACAATTACAAATTGACAGTCAGCGATCCTCGCTTGAGGGATTTGAATACCAAGCAAACTACAATATTACAAGCTCTAAAAGGAATATCAGTCCAAACAAAAATGGTTCAGTCTCATTCATTGTTACAAAGATATAATCTGAATAAAACATACATCCTATTTTGTTTCGTTTTTTTAATAGTTCAAAATATTGTTTTACTTGTCTTTACTACACTAGAATCTGGAAGAGTTGTTATCATGGACGTGTTCTGTTTGAAGTGAGGGATTAGCCAATGAAACAGTCTGTTACGGCGAGTTCTTGGCATGCAATGCACAGAACTGTGGTTAAACCACTAGAAATGTCATCACTGATTGACTAATCAATGCCTGATGTTATAGGTTCAAAAGCCATGCGCACGACCCCTGACGCAACCTTCCAGTACAACCTATCAGATCTTCATGTAGTGTAGGTCATCGAAAGTATAATAAAATGAAACGAAATATAGATTTGTATTTCAATCAGATTGACAAAGATATGACATTTGACGATAAATAATCAAGATTGATTTTTCTTTTCTTTTCAATGTTTAATCTTTGTGCCGCATCAGTAATCATCTATTAATACAAAATTGAATAGAACGTTACCAAACTACTCTAGAAAAGTATGTGCCAGCTGTGCTCAGATCTGAATCCCCATTAAAAGATTTCTGATCTGTTGTCCCGGATACTGAATCTGTATGCCATTTTTATGGGTCATGTGGTTTCCTGTCACTTGTAAAGAATCCTGAACACAAAAACAACCTGTTGAAAAACTGATTAACAGAATATTATTGACTATAAATATACCTGTCATAGTAATTATATATACCTGTTTTCAATCAATATGATATGATTGTAAATGCCATTTATAATCAAAATATATTCTTGCATCTATTCAGCCTTCAGCTGTGTCACAACCTTTTGATTCCGCACTGTGTGTCTTAAATTAGAATATATTAATACCACAAAAATCTTGGCAGTGGAAAAACACATATTGCATAGATTGACCCAAAAGTTGCCAGTATGTGGATAAATGACTCTATTTAAGAGACAACTATAAGTGTTATCATTGTCACCTGTTGTGCTTCATATTGTCATCTATTTAAGCCTCATTATTCAGAGTGGCCTTGTCCCTTCTTTAAAGGTAGCCTGTCCAACCTTGTGGGTTTTCTCTGGGTGCTCCGATTTCCTCCCACTGCTAAAGACCCCTCGTGCAAACAAATTATTGAAATAAAAGTGAATCATGTGTTAGTCCCGAAATGACCTAGTTTGTGTCGAGTGGACATTAAACCCCATTTCTCTCCCTCTCCTTTCTTTAAAGATACATGTAGGTTGAATAAAATGTCAGAATCTAACAACTCAAAATAAAGATATATTAATATTTTTAGGGCTAACCAACACGTCTGTATCTTCAGTGGTGTAATGCTGAAATATATATGAAGAAACATGGGGATTGGATGTGTATGTGCGCACTGTATCATAAGGTCCTTCATTGAGTCAACTGGCTTAGTTTCGATTCCCTGGTTGTACGTGACAAGGAGTAGGGTCATCTGTCCAACTTCGGGGATTTTTTCTGGGTTCTCCAGTTTCCTCCCACTGCTAAAGACCCCTATGTGCAAGCAAATTATTGAAATAAAAATTCAACCATGTGTTTGTCCCAAAATGACCTAGTTTGTGTCAAGTGGATGTTAAACCATATTTCTCTCTCTCTCTCTTAACGCAAATAAATAGCAGACAATAAATAGCAGACAATAAATAGCAGACGACATTGACATTGTACACAGATCATTACACAAGTTAAAAATAAAACTATAAATAAATGATGAGATGTTAATTATAGCTGGTTAATTAATCAATACTTTCTCTCTCTCACCTGTCATACCACACAGTATTATATTATACTTTGTTCAAATGGATACCCATCATATTTTGGCAGAAGACGGGGTTGTGACATCAAAGGATAAATCTGTTAATATATTTGTGAAGGTATGTTTTCATGTGGACAGGTTTGTTGTCAAAGATATTAGGATGTAGTCTGTCTGACATGATCGTTTTGTGAAATAGGTTGTCATGGAAATATACATTCTTGAATAAAAATGGTTGGGTTTTTAAGTCCAAACACACTTTGAATTATTATTTCTATTTTTCAATGTGCCATATCTGTTTGAAATAGTATAAGATAAGAGTATTTTTTGTGTGTAGTGTGTCTGATCTTGGAGATAGAGCAGTATGACATTAAACAATTAGAATAGAGTATTGCACAGTTTCAATGACAGGTTATTAAAAGCATCATGATAAGATATAAAGAGTCTATATTGAGGGCCCTATATGTATATAGATGGATTTGGACAGGCACATTTATCAAATGAAATAAAATGGGGTTTAACATCCTACTGTTCTGCTCCAAACTGGGCTAATGAAGACGGGCATACGCCATACAGTGTGCTATGAGAGAAATTTTGCTTGGACAGCGGCACTATGCCTTACACTTATATCGAATTCCAACTGTCAAGGAATCTTATATGTGCATGCCAATGTGTACACGGGACCTCGGTTTTTCGTACCAAGCGAACGATTAGATAGCTGTTCTTGTCAGGCCCTCCGTCCTGCATCACTGACAAGGGGGAAGCACGCCGGAAAATCTGGATGAACTTTCTCGGCCAATGCAGGAATCGAACACCCGACCTCCATTTATGCATGGAAATACTTGAACATTATAACTATCTGTTTATTATTGTGTGGGGAAAATTCAAAGCTGGATTACGGTGCTATGAACCCCCCAGAAAACAGTTCATCTGCTGGCGTCCCCAGGTTTCCTTTACCCACTGGTCAACTTCATTAACCCAGCCAGAGCAGAACAGTTGGACGTTAAACCCCATTTTATTTCATTTCATTTACTCGCTGGCCTCCACTGGTATACACAGATATAAAGTGTTTCTGTTACCCACTGACCTTTCCTCATATACTATACAGTGTTTCTTTTCGCCATTTTTATACGTCCACGTCCTCATGTGGACTGTGATGTTGTCACCCCTGTGTGTGGGTATGTATGTCTGTGTTTCAGTGTGTTGCCTACAGGTCACAATTTTTAATATATCATCTTGGAACTTTATATAAGTATTCCTTATAGCCTAAGGACGACAACTATTGATTTTGGTGCATGTCCCGACTCCTAGGGGCAGAGCCACACCCAATTTCACTGCAATTCTGAATAGATCGTCTTCAAACTTGGCATATGTATTCCTTATAGCCTAATTGCGGCAATTATTTATTTTGGTGGATGTCCCGACCCCAGGGGCAGAGCCACGCCCATTTTCTGTGTTTAGCGCCTGAAGGCCTCAATTCTGAATGGATTATCTTGGAACTTAGTATACTTATTCCTTATGCCCCAAGGACGGCAACTATTGATTTTGGTACATGGTTCTCCCCCACCCCCCTTGGACAGTCCCCCAACCACTTTTGGGTAATATTTTGTCTGTAAATAATCTACAGGTTACAATTAACATATTTGGATCCAATTCAGTATGTTCCATCATAGGGTTGTACATATTTATATTGGTCCATGTCCAACCCCCAGGGGCAGAGCCACGCCCCAATTTGTGCATTTTTTGTCTACAGGCTGGAATTCTGAATCAGAATGGATCATCAGGGAACTTGGCATATTTATTCCTTATACCATAAGAATGGCAACTATTGGTGCATGTCCAAACCCCCAGGGGCGGTGTCACACCCACGTTTTGTTAAATTTAGTCTGTAAATTTGGCGAAAACAATCCCAACACCTAGCCTCTTTATTTTAAAAAGTATCATATGAATCAAGGCAGGAATGTGGATGTATATTGCAGAGATAGCAATGCTCTCGTTTGAAAAGATAACTTATACTTTGATTTCGCAGTCACAAATGAAAGTTGAGTTTCCTGCTTGGTTATTTATTTAATTCACTGGGTGTGGTAAATAGCAGGTTGAAACATGGCATCTAAAAATATTGTACTTGCTAAGATTTCAATTAGTCATCCTTGGTTACCAGACTGTTTTCTTAGTAATAGAAGATCAATCAGTGTTTTGAGAATTAATTTGGCCTCTAAAAGAACGGAACAAATTTATCAGATGATTGTTATGAGTTTGGTCTAGGAACCCTGAGCCCCTAATCAGTTCCTGCTTGCTAGAGAAGCACAATCTCCCAAACAGAGTTGTCTTCCCTTGCAGTTCACGTTAACCTCTGCTAACGGCACAATTGACTACACCACCAAGATACTTGGTATCAATAAACAATACCAAATTTAGACTGGGTTTATTTTTTCGGAGGGCATTTTCCCCTTAAATTGACTAAAACTCGTTAAATGTTTATAATGCCAGCAACATTTCTGACATACCACTTTTGTCATATAGTTAATCATGTGACCAATAGTCTGTGGGTCAACCGGTGTAGAGCTTGAGCCGGCGACGGAGTCGAATGCTGGATAGCGAGACTTGTGTGGAGAATGAGAGAAGCAGTGTTATATATATTGTGGTTTAGTTAGAGACATCATGATTAAAGGAAATGATAGATCTTGAAATGAAATGAAATGAAATGAAATGGGGTTTAACGTCCTACTGTTCTGCTCCTATACTGGGCTAATGAAGATGGGCATACGCCATACAGTGTGCGATGAGAGAAATTTTGCCCGGGCTGCGGCACTATCGCCTACTCTTATATCGAATTCCAACTGCCAGGAGATCTTTTACGTGCATTCCAATATATACACGGGACCTCGGTTTTCCGTCTCATCCGAAGGACTAGACAGCTGTCCTTGTCAGGCCCTCCATCCTGGATAGATCTTGAATTACAGCACCAAGTAAATTGTGATTGTTTAATTAATTATGCCACTTAGATTCACCTGATCCGGATGAAGCTTAGAAAGATTAAGAGAGTTTAACTTTATTATCTGAACAGCTTGTCCTATATGACTTCTGACACATACATTACCTTCTGGGTAAATGACAGCGCCTGTACCTAATGCACATGCATAATTATCGGTCAGAACAGTTATGATTTGGGTAATACAATAGTGAATGTTACGCACTACTAGTTTAAAATCACCAGGATTTGCATTAGAGATCCTAGGGACTATTTCTTTCAGTGGAAGCATTTCATAGTTTCTGGTGTGAAACAGCTTTACAATTACTGATTACTATATATCTCTGCTCTAGAAGTAATAGCATTGCATGACGTCCTCGGTAGATCTACCGAAGGTTATAGAAACAACTGAGGTATTGTTTTGTGTGTGGTGTGAGTACCTCCAAATGTCCATAACAAATAAAGAATTTGAACAGAAGAGATGAAAACCTGTGATGAAAATGAGTTCGTTCTTCTCTTTAAAAGTATTTCAAAAATAAACTACGAGAAGAGAAGAATTAAACAATTTTTAAAAATTTATTTTCAGGTCGGAAAATGGTGTTTGACCAATCTTCTCTTGGTGTTGACTGTTATTGGTGTATTCTTTGGAGTGGTGTTTGGTTTTGCAGCACGAACTGCCAACCCTTCTCGCGATACAATAATGATGGTGTCATTTCCTGGAGATATGTTAATGAGAATGTTAAAGATGTTAATTCTACCTCTGATTGTTTCTAGTATGATTACAGGTAAATATATTCTACCTCTGATTGTTTCTAGTATGATTACAGGTAAATATATTGGACTACTTGATTGATTGTTCCAGAATTAATTATATTGGACTACTTGATTGAATGTTCCAGAATTAATTATATTGGAATGCTTGATGTTCCAGAATTGATCTCTCAAAATCCTACAGATGGTGCAGATGGACACAATACTATCTCAATGCAATCATAACTGAATTTCCCTCATAGTACACTGTATGCCATATGCCCATTAGCAAAGTCAGGGCAGAACAGTAGGACATTAAACCCCATTTCATACCCCTTCCCTACATCAGCTCGTAAAAAGATATGTCTTTCCTAGCCTCTCCCCACATCAGCCCATAGAAAATATATCTCTCCCACCCCCTCCCCACATCAACCTGTAAAAAATATGTCTCTTCTACCCTGTCCTCACGTCAGCCCGTAAAAAATGTCTCTTCTAGGCCCCACTCACATCAGCCCGTAAAAATGTCTCTTCTGGCCCCCACTCACATCAGCCTGTAAAAAATGTCTCTTCTAGCCCCGACCCTCATCAGCCTGTAAAAAAAATTAAAAAATAACCAATAACCACGAAACAAATATCCCATTAGTCTTTACTTCATTGTTTAATTGTCCAGAAAAAAACCCAACTTTCATGATAATTTTTTTTTCCAGGTCTGGCATCACTAGATGCGAATTCTTCTGGTCGTATGGGTCTATATGCAGTGGTATATTATTTTGCCACAACATTTATGGCTATTATACTGGGTATTATACTGGTAGTTAGTATACATCCTGGTACTTTCACCATTATGGACAACGAGACTGATTTAGTTGATGAAGCACCTGTTTCATCTTTAGATGCTTTCCTAGATTTAATCAGGTATTTAGCATTGATTTTATTCTATACTCAACAGCCAAAAAAGAAACGGCAGTACGATTTCAAAATCAGAGATTCACTTTAATCAAATCATTCTAGAAAATGACTTACTAAATGGATCAAAGCAATTTTTTGTGAACAGTATCTTGACACATTAGTGAATATTTCATCACAATTCCAAGACCTTACGAGATGGTTTAAAGTCTGTACACAGTCTATACATCAGTATCTGTTTTGCAACCGCAAGTGGAAATAACAGCAGCAGGGGGTCGGTACATGGAGTGAACCAGACGATTGATGAACGCCATTGGCACCTGGAACCACACTCTCAGAAAAGTGTTGATTTTATTCTATGTCATAAAACTAAAGTACACAACAGCATTTGAAAAAAGTTGTATATTCAACTTGTTAGTATTACAGCAGACATATTTTGGTGATGTGTATGTGATACTCTGTTAGAGTTGGTAGGGGGTGGATGGCCGAATGGTTAGCACTTGCACACTGCATCATTAAGTCATTGAGTCAACTGATGTGGTTTCGATTCCCCGGTAGTACATGACAACGAGTAGGGCCGCTCGTCCAATCTCGTGGGTTTTCTCTGGGTCCTCCGGTTTCCTCCCACTGCTAAAGACCCCTACACACAAGTGAATTATTGAAATAAAATGAACTCTACATTAGTCCAGAAATGACCTAGTTTGTGTCGTGTAGACATTAAACTCCATTTCTCTCCCTTTCTCTCTGTTAAGAGTTGGGTGTATGTGTCATGAAGTCATAAGTAAGGGTACTTTAGGTAGAGTCATGAAGTCATGAAGTCATAAGTAAGGGTACTTTAGGTAGAGTCCTTGACTGTCACGCTGATGGAGATGGGACAAGGCCGAAGGAACAAAAGAAAAACCATTGCAAAGTGAAGCCCCTAATTGTAGAACAGCGGATGAATGAAAGCGCTCTTTTGTTACTGCAAAGGGCGACAACAGTGTGAGCTGTAAAACTCTGGTTAATCGAACAAATGTTTATTATGTAATTTGAGTCTATAATTCTACTTTTTATCCGCCAACATGGAAATGTGGTTGTATATTGGCGTCATTGCTCCATCTGTCTGTCCATCTGTCGTCCACAATTTCTTGTGAACCCTCCACAGTCATCATTTATCATCTGATTGTTTTGAAATTGATATATGTTGTTTACATTAGTGAGATGAAGAAGCCTATTTAATTTCCGGTATTTCCTCTGGAGTTATGGCCCTTGTTTCACTTTGTTGCACCTTGTGAACGACAAAAGTTATGTATCATTTAGATTAGTCAAACGAAAACGACAATTAAATTTCAGCAACTTTCGTTAATAATGTCTTAGAGTTATGACCCTTGTTTTACTTTGTTGGACCTTGTGAACGCTCAAACGACAAAAATTATCATCCAATCTATATGAAATTTATATGCTTCATTTAAATTAATAAAACAAAGAAGCCTTTTGAATTTCAATAATTTCTGTTAATTACTTCTAGAGTAAAGGCCCTATTATCTACAACAGAATAGATATGCGACAACACTTGTCCAATGCTCAGACAATTTTTTTGCTGTTTCGTTGTCTGGCAACCTATCTTTACTGTCTGTTACAAATATCATATTCAAAGATAGAAATAAGTTGGGGTTTTGTTTTGTGGGGAAGGGGGTGAATAGCAAACCTAATTATGTTTGAGGAATTTAGAGCCCACAAGTTTTTTTATTGACCAGCCCTTTGCCTTCCCAACAAAAACAAAGTAAAAGATATAGGGCACTGGTATAGGCTGTGACCTATATGGCACCCTGGTAGATATACGACATCTTCATTCAATTATTTTGGAAAAATGTTGTACATGTATATATGTACATAATATGGCTGCATGGCTCAAGGTAGAATTGATAACTATGGAAAACTTCTGTTTATTGTTATAAATTTGTCAAAAAAGTACAAGTATCGATATTCCTAATGCTCATATTTTCAGGAACATTTTTCCTAATAATATCATGCAGTCTCGTTTTCAACATACAAAAACCTATTTCCTAATGTTCATATTTTCAGGAACATTTTTCCTAATAATATCATGCAGTCCTGTTTTCAACATACAAAAACCGTGTATAAAAAGAAATATTTGAAGACGACGGATGGAGATAATTCTACAGATTTAACGAATATTACCACCACTGTTTCTACACTAACCACCACAGCATCAGTTAATGTAACAAATATGACAGAAGCTGCGTTTAGATGGGTTCGTACTTTCCCTCCAGTTGACGGCATCAATGTACTAGGTGAGTTAATGTAGTTTACAAATACGCAACACAAAACAATAATCTGATGATTTGTGATTTGCTACACAACTATTTCCACGGACACTATCCAAATTTCCACTTAGTCTTGACAGGACTTCCACTTTTAATAATGAACAGAAATTTTGCAAATTAAATAATATTTCATGTTTTTTTTTTTTATAGTAAGGTACTTAAAAATAAACAAAAAAGTCAATTTGTGTTATGGCTTATGATTATTATCCCCGACACCCTTCCCCTGCTCTTCCAAACAACTCTTATCCAATAATATATCCAGGAAATACCTCTAAATCTGTTGATGTTTATAGTTGAATTCTAACTCAACGGCGGAATAAACATTCTCACATATTGTCGGGTGGGTAGTCAAAAGGTCGTATCTGGAATATTTTGCAAAATTCACTTTTTTGCTTCTTCAGAATGAGAATTTTCTTGCGCATCTTTTCATCTGGTTGTCGTATTTCTAAGCCAATAAAAAGAAGATTTACTGATATTATTTTCAAATTTCGTATATGGGGTGTTCAAAAAAAAAAAAATATTAAGAGCTAAAATGTTGTATTGTCTTGAAAAAATCAACCTTGTGTCTAACCAAAGCATTACAATCAAACGAAATATAGCCAGTATTGTTTCATGGTTAAATACGTATTATTGAAATTATTGTTGAGCCTGTACTGTGTGAAATCTATGAAATTAAAGCAGGTAAAGGTGAATATTTTCCTGAGATACGTCTTTGCTGTATAAAATTGCAAATAAATAGCTTTCACTTCTTATTTCTGCACTAGATGTTGAGCTTGATATGTGTGGATAGTTACTTACTTATTTTAATGGCTACCCATACATTTTGTACAGAAATATTTGAGAAAATTTTCAGAAATACGACATTTTACATTCAGTATAAATTTTCAGTTTCATTATATTATACTGGTAAATGAAAAAAATCATCCTTTAAAGATACATTATGGGAGATTAGATAAAGAGCTGGCAGTTCTCACTATAATAGTTAAAAACTAGATAATGTAAAGTGAATTTGATGAAAATTTCAGTCAAATTGATCCACTGTGAACTGAGATTTTAGCGATTGAATTTTCGGCCTAGCCTCGATCATCATTACTCAAGTCGGTATGATAAAAAACATAGTCTTGATTATCTCACTATAATAGTTAAAAACTAGATAATGTAAAGTGAATTTGATGAAAATTTCAGTCAAATTGATCCACTGTGAACTGAGATTTTAGCGATTGAATTTTCGGCCTAGCCTCGATCATCATTACTCAAGTCGGTATGATAAAAAACATAGTCTTGATTATCCATTTAATGATTAAATTATTAATGGAAGTCAAACAGGAAATTGGAACCTAATCCAATAAACATCACAGGCTAGCGATGCCATCGAGAGTTGATTGGTCTGGATAAGTTAATTAATGTCTAATTAATAATTTATATAACATTTCAGGCCAAAAGAAAGACCTGCAATAGGCAGATTTAGCTCTTACATAACATATGTTTAAGTGCCTGGACCTTCATAATAGATTTTCAAATTTAATGTATTTATACTGGTAAATGAAAAAATCATCCTTTAAGCGTCATATACCATGCGTTAATAAGTACCAACTTGCTAGAAAACATTACTCCCAACAATGTATATCTCAATGAGGTAGATAAATCTATTTTATATTTTTATAGGATTGATTGTATTCTGTACTGTATTTGGTATCATGCTGAGTAAAATGGGAGAGCGAGGTAAAATTATGGTGGATTTTTTTGCTGTTCTCAATGAAATTATAATGAAGATGGTCTTACTCGTCATGTGGTAAGTATAATAAAATCATCAACTACAATGTTACAATTTGAATAAATTAACATAAATTTAGATTAATTTTCTACCTCACACGTCTGTAATATGGATTGAGGCAAATTTTTGACTTTATATCCTGGTTTCAATTTTCATGACTGATCATCTTTATACACCCTCATTTTCAGGTGGACGTATATTGTTGTCGCCCCTGTCCATCCGATCGTCGACAATTGTTTGTGAACACTCTACAGGTCACAATTTTTATCCGATTTCAACGAAACTTGAAATATAGGTTTATCTCCCTAAAATCTTGGTTCCTTTCGATATTGGCATGTATCGGACCGTAACTTCATGGATTATGGCCCCTGATTGTATCAAAAATCGCGTTTTTAGCTTGTGGTCCCTATAGAGGTCACAATTATTATCTGATTTAAAAAAACGTTCGAATATATCACTGTTACACTGTATTGTTGGTTGAGTTCGAATTTCATGTAAATCGGACCAAAACTGCCAGATATAATTAGCTCGTTCTCTGTCCATCTCTTGCAAAATATTGGCTTATCTTGCATGGCAACTGCTTGTCAGCTATTGATAAAGTTTGAAAAAGATGGCAACAGGTGTTCTTTGTTTGGTGATCTCAAGATTTTTTATAATAAGGACATGGAATGTGTTGAGGTTATAATGATGTGACACGAGTAGTAGGCTTATCACTGTAAAACTATATCTCAGAAGATGATATATCAGACATCTTGATAAACCTTATCTTGTTTTTATACACCCTCATTGAATATGAGACAATTGAGACACAATAATTGTGATATCAAAACAACATCTTTTTATCCAATGTTTCATCAGTTAAAGTACTGACTTCTTAGGGTTTGTGAGGGATCCTGTTAAGCCTTCTGTAATTGGTTTGTGTTGCTTGTTGACACTGAAATATGAGACACAATAATAGAACACAATGATATATATAAAAAAACCCATCTTTTAAGCAAACGTTTCATCAGTGACTTCTTCGGGGTTATTGATGCATGAATTTGACTCGATCGAGAAAGATACCATGAAGCCTTCTATATTTGGTTTGCGTTGCCTGTTTGTATTGAAAGGAAGTTTCTCACATAGTCCATTATTGTCATCATCCAACATCCAACAGTTGTCCAGAATTTCTTGTGGACCCACTAATAGCTATATTTACTGTCCAAAAACAGTGTTTATGTTTATATGAGACTAAGAAACCTTTTATCTTCCAATGATTTCCACTAATAACTGTGGAAGTTATGACTCTTGATCAATTTGAAAAATCTTGGGGATGTAGAGTCTGTGAGGTATAGTTATCATTTAATTGTCTTGAAATTAATACACATTACTTATGTTCATTAAACAAAGAAGCCTTTTGATAATCATGTAGTCAGAGTTACCACCCTTGATGAATTTGAAAAATCTTGTGAATGCTCTTAAAGCTAGTTATTATCTGTTTGTTCGTCCATCTATCCATCACACTTTTTGGAGCACAATTATAATTAAGCTAGAAGTTTCAAACTTGGTGTAGGTGTTTATTAGGTGAATGGCTTGACTGAGTTCGATGATGAGCATTTTCTGCTTAGTCTAACCAGAGATACGCAGTTTGATTGGTGGATGCTTTCTGACAAGATAACTTTGCTTCTAATTAATTCAGAGTGATGAAACTTAGTTCCATAATGATTTTTGGCTCTGGTTAGGCAGATTGGAAAGCAATTTGATTGGTCAAAACTTTGGAGCTCGACAACTTTGATTCTAATTGACAGAGGATGGTGGAACTTTGCATATATCATTCCGTCAATACCATGACTAAGTTTGATAATGCGCATTTCCAATAGTTTCATTACATGATCAATACCTTGACAAAGTTCAATAATGAACATTTTCTGCGTCAATATTTTGGGACATTATAACCTTGATTCTATTTGATTGAGAGTGGTGAAACTTGGAGTCTAGTTTCAGTACATCAAACCTGGAGTCCAATTTCAGTACAACAAACTCGGAGTCTAGTTTCAGTACAACAAACTCGTAGTACAGTTTCAGTACAACAAATTCGTAGTACAGTTTCAGTACAACAAACTCGGAGTACAGTTTCAGTACAACAAACTCGGAGTCTAGTTTCAGAACAACAGACTCAGAGTACAGTTTCAGTACAACAAACTCATAGTATAGTTTCAGTACAACAAACTCATAGTACAGTTTCAGTACAACAAACTCGTAGTACAGTTTCAGTACAACAAATTCTGAGTACAGTTTCAGTACAACAAACTCGTAGTACAGTTTCAGTACAGCAGACTCAGAGTCTAGTTTCAGTACAACAAACTTGTAGTACAGTTTCAGTACAACAAACTCGTAGTACAGTTTCAGTACAACAAACTCAGAGTCTAGTTTCAGAACAACAAACTTGGAGTCTAGTTTCAGTACAACAAACTCGTAGTTTGTGTAGAGTGGACGTTAAACCTCATCTCTCTCTCTCTCTCTCTCTCTCTCTCTCTCTCTCTCTGATAATGCGAACATGTGGTACATGTTTTGTATAATAAATGGTACAAACAAGACCTAGAAGCCAATCAAATTAAAATTATTTTTGATAATTACATCATGGGTCATTGCATTTGGTCAGTTTTAGTGCCTTATAAAAGCTCCATTTACAAAAGAATAAATATGTGGGCGTATGTTTCAACCTATATGCTGATTTGATAGTACCGAAAACATGAATATGAATTTAAAGTATATCTCCCCACAGACCAACATAATTGACATTGATAAAGATATTCATGCAGTATCATGTATATCCTATTTGTGAAATATTAGATGCATAGTTGAACACTTGCTATTTGAGCTGTCTTCATTAACCTAGTCGGAGCAGAACAGTAGGACGTTGATCTCCATTTCATTTCATTGCTATTCAAGTGCATGCTTATCCTGTTTGTAAAATTAAAGATGCACAGATGTAACGTGATCATATTCTGATGCATGGTTACTGATTTTTTCATTCACAAGTCAGATATAACTGTCCTAAATGGTTGTAAAGGGAATTTCTTTTTATGTTCATCTCCACACACACGGCAGGGATTGGAAAGAATATAACCCATGTAATGCAACAAATTACACATTTTGACGAAAATTGATAATCCTGAAATCAAATGAAGACAACAATTAAAGAAGGCCACACAAAGCGTGGAAGTATTTTTAGTATTATTATGGGGGGGGGGGGGGGGTGGATGGCCGAATGGTTAGCGCATTCCCTGGTTGTACATGACGAGGAGTAGGGTCGCCTGTCCAAAAACGTGGGTTTTCTCTGGGTCCTCTGGTTTCCTACCACTGCTAATATAAAGACCCTACACGCAAGCGAATTATTGAAATAAAATTGAACCATGCGTTGGTATCGAAATGACCTAGTATGTGTCCAGTGGAGTTAGCCCCATCTCTCTCTCTCTCTCTCTCTCTCTCTCTCTCCCTCTCTCCCTCTCTTTGTTATTATTATTTTTATTGTTATGTTTGTTAATTCAGGTATTCACCTGTTGGTGTTATGTTTGTTAATTAACGTGTTGGTATTATGTTTATTATTTTAGGTATTCACCTATTGGTATTATGTTTATTATTTCAGGTATTCACCTATTGGTATTATGTTTTTGATTATTGGTAAGATATTGTCTCTAGATGATCCAGCTGCTCTAGGTGAACGTCTAGGAATGTACATGGTGACTGTATTAGCCGGTCTGATTATACATGCTGTTATCATACTACCTTCCATCTACTTCATTATTACACGTAAAAATCCTCTCCGACTATTTATAGGAATTCTACAAGCTTGGGTCACTGCCTTGGGTACTGCTTCTAGGTATGTATATACAGTAGATATTTGTTTCTAGTTACGGGGGTTGGATGGCCGAATGGTGAGCGTGTGCGCGTTGAATCGTCAGATCTGTCGTTGAGTCATCTGGCATGGTTTCGATTCCCTGGTTGTACATGACAAGGAGTAGTGTCACCTGTCCAACCTTGTTGGTCTTCTCCGGGTCTTCCGGTTTACTTCCACTGCTACAAGACTCCTACGCATTATTGAATTATTGAAATAAAATTGAACCATATGTTAGTCCAGAAATGACCTAGTTCGTGTCAAGTTGATAATAAACTCCATTTCTTCTTCTACTTGTTGTTTCTAGTTAATAGGCTTACTGTCTCTGCTAGTTTGTTTACAAATCAGATCATCCTTATTTATCAACAGTTGTATTTATATTCACTTCCTTCAATATAAAATATCACTTCCTTCAATATAAAATTTCACATATCCATCAGTTTTAAAGATACATTATGTAAGATTTAGATAAAGAGCTAGCCATTCTTGCTATAATAGATCGAAAATAGATAATGTAAAATGAATAATTTAAAAAATTTAATTCAAATTACTCTATTGCGAGCGAAGATTTTAGCCTTTGAAGGTTTGACAAGACATGTGCAATAATTTCATCCAACGTATTGGTTGTTCGAAGCTAAGTCTCGCTCCTCCATTTTTAGCTTAAATCAAAATATGACTGAACTGTTCTAATCTATGTAATATCAGAGAAATCTAATGCCATCAAGAGTTGATTATGGCCTGGATAAGTTAATTAACGTCTAATTAATAATTTAGAAAACATTTCAGGCCCAAAGAAAGACCTGCAATAGGCAGATTTAGCTCTTGCATAATGTATGTTTAAATTTCACATCCATGAATATAAGTTTCCACTTCTATCAATGTTAATTTCCACTTCCATCAATTCAGTATATAATTTAACTTCTGTTAATATCAAATTTCACCCAAAACATGATGACCCATAATTAATATAAGATGTCCATATAATTGATATCAATAACATGTTAGACAAAAAATAGATATTGTCTATTGTGATAAATCTAGAATCCTGTAACACTATGCAGTATTCTAAACATAAGTCAGTTACTCAGGGTATCCCACAAGGATCTACTTTAGGACCGTTCTAATTTAAAGATATCATGGGGTCTCTAAATCAAAGCTTGTTTTAAGTATGTAAATCCAATACTATAATGTGAAGAAATAGAAAGTTGCAGTTCATAATATTGAGATGCGTTCACGTCCCGTTTTTCATTGAGTGATTTGATAAACATGACTACTTAATGCGGAAATTTGTCACTGTTCATAAGACCGATTTATCAAGGCACAAAGTGATTGCTTCTCATGGAGTTATTCTCGGACAACTGGATATTGGTATATGAGACGTTAAATCTCATTGTTTTCAACAATTTCTGATAATTACTATCAGAGTTATGGCCCTTGAACGATATGAAATATCTTGTGGTCACTCTAGAGGCTAAAAAGACAAGGAATCCTATTGATTCTATTTAACAGATGCTGTAGGCGCTCCAGAGTCTAACGTTATCGTCCCATACACTGTTCAAGCCTATTGATCTTAATCTTTTTCCAATAATTACTATCAGAATTATTTCCCTTGATCAGTTTCACTGTGAACCCTCTAGTGGCAAAAGTTATTTTCGGACTGATTTAAAATTGATATCTAATGTTTGATGACATATTGTCACTTGAATTTTATTGAAATAAAAAAAATGCTGCAGACTTGGCAAAAATTATCTTTTAGTAAATATATATAAGTAAGGTTGGTGTCAGATGTTTCATATAGTTATCTGTGCTATGCAAAATCTGTGGTGATTACCCCATATTTAAATACTCCTACTATAACCATTAACAGTATTGTGTAAAATGGTTGTTACTGTCTAATGCATTTTTACCCTCATAAAGAAACAATAGGAATTAAGGTTAATCATAGTGTTTCTCATGGCATGAAATCAACAAGATGTCTTTTAGTAGAATCTGTCAGACTGTGGATCATGATGGATAAGATTTAGTAGATTTTCGAGTTAAAAAAAAATTGATCTAGCCATTGGAAAGAATGAAGTCTAATCCTCAATCATGGTGTTCAGAATATCAATGGGCTTGGAATAAAATGTCAGTGTATAGATGGAGCATGTAGGATTTAACCATTGTAATGATATGACCAAATGCAGAACAATCAAATAAGAAAGGTTGTAATAGGATTTATTTCTTCACAGACATTATTCTGAAACTTCGGAAATCCATGCCAAAACCATCATTTGAATTAGTTAGACCTAGTGGCGTGGATCATCCACAAGACTATTTAGGCTTACTCTTTCTAATTTTTATAAGCTCACATTGAAATGTGGTCGTATATTTTTGTCACCCCAAGATGCTCTAGTGAATTAAATTATCCATGCCAAAACCATCATTTGAATTAGCTAAAACTAATGGCATGTATCATCTACAAGACTATTAAGGCTTACTCTTTCTAGCCACATTGCTAATTTATATATAAGCCCACATTGAAATGTGGTCGTATATTTTTGTCACCCCTAGATGCTCTAGAGGCTAAAATTATCACCTGATTCCGACTTTGTGATAAAATGTAACAGTTTTTTTCATGTGTTAATATGATGATAGATGATAATAGTTAATAATAATTAATAATGATTTTTAATGAAGCAATTTATTTAGTTTGCAACAATCTAACCTTTTATTAAACCCTGCTAAACTTAAAGACAATTAAAAATAAAAGAAAATGAAATGCAATAACAGTTTAATTAATAATGGAGAAGTGTTAGTTAATAATAATAATTTTAACAAAAAACGAACAGATCCTCCTAAACTTCAAAATATATGTAATGTAAGGGGAAAAAACCCCAATTAAAACTAAAAATAAAAAAAATGAAATGAAATGTAATTAATTAAACAGTGTTATTAAAGGGAGAAGTGTTAGTTAATAATAATTTAAAAAACAAAGGAATTGAAATTGGATTTATAGTCCTACAGTTCTTCACTTACAGTGTGCTTTGTGGTGATTTTTTTCCCGAACAGCCGCACTAGACCTACTCTTGTATCAAATTCCAACCGTCAAAGGTTCTGTTACGTGCATACCAATGTGTACATTGGACCTTGGTTTATCGTCCCATCCGAAGGACTATATGCTGTCCCTTACCAGACACTCCGTCCTGCACCACTGACATGGATGAACCATTCCAGAAAATCCTAATCAGGGGCGTAAATGTGGGGGGGTGTACCACACCAGGAAAAAAAATAGTCGGTCGCAAAATCAGTGCAGTCGGTCGCAAAATAAGAGCAGTCGGTATCAAAATAAGTATCAAAATAAGTATGTAGGTCTAAGAACAAAATTTCCCCCAGGTAGGAAAATAGTCGGTCTCAAAATAAGTGCAGTCACTGCAGTCAGTCTCAAAATTATGCATCGCCGTTTTAATGAAATAATGAGGTAAACAAATAATGCCAGAATAGATCCCAAATACTAGTCGGTTTCAAAATCAGTGCAGTTGGTCGTAAGATATGAGCAGGCGGTATCAAAATAAGTGCTCACTGCACACGTCACTCTACTCACGCAAAACTTTAGTATAAAATAACCTTGTCAACTGATCATGTTTGAAAAAAATGTTTTTCACCCCATGGCAAAAAAATAGTCGGTCTCAAAAAAAAAGTGCTCACCGCAGTCAGTCTCAGACTAAATGAATTAATGGGGTGTTTTCTGGCCATCAGAATTCTGCAAAATCTCTCCCCAAAGTCCAGGGCATTTCAGAGACCAAGTAAGCGCCCCATTGCGGTAAAGTACCCTCAGGCCCAGTCCTCAAAAATTAAAAGCTCAGTTACATATCGGCGCTCAATTCCATTATGCCATCATTCTTCAACTCCTTCTCTGTCTTATACTATCTCATCACTATCATATTCACAGTTACAGTGAATCGCCCAGTTAGTAGTACCACTAGTGAGTGAGTCGTGGGTCAAAAGACTGTATAGAATTGTTAGTTCTACTCTCACAAAACAGGCGATATTGACGATATTGACGAGAATTTGGATTCATTTGCCATGACATTGAATAAAATTGTCAGACCCAGTCCCAAAAATTAAAAGCTCGGTTACACATCTGAAATTTTTTCGCGCCTGCGGCGCTACATTCCATTATAAGATCATTCTTCCACTCCTCTGTTGTCTTATACTATCTCAGCACTATCATATTCACGGTTATACTGATCTGCCTAGTTATGTTAGTAGTACCACTGGCACTGGTGTGTGGGTTGTGGGTGTCAGGCTATACAAAAGTTCTGTCAACTCTTGCAAAACAGGCGGAATTGACAGGGGTAGATCTCGAGATTTTGTCTAATTGACTCACATTTCTGGTCCTCTCGTCCACAAGAATTTCTCCAAGCAATGACCTCAAATGCCAAGATATTGACTGAATATTTCAAAATTTTCTCGGGTTGCTCAGTGTTATAGGCACAATCATATATGACATAAACTTTATGTCAACTTAAATAAAACTGCTTTCCAGCGAGACAACGATCGGCAAACAACTATATAATTATACAATACCACCTATGTTCTACCGGGACGCTTAATGTTATAGCCAGTATTTTGTTGACATTCATTGTGGGGTGGAATTGTGGCTGGGGTGGCGCCCTAGATTTGGACCCCCACCCCTATCTAGATCCGCTACTGCACATGGCCCCTACAAAACTCGCACCTGTGGTGCTCGGCTCCTGACTGCGTCACTCGTACTAGGGGTATGGGCATCAGTCGGTCGCATTTTGGCTAAACGACCCCCCAAATGAACTTTCTCAATCAACAGAGCACTTGAGTATAATGACAATTGAAATATTACGTTTTTATCTGTTCTGAACTTAAATTCGTTTGTTGTTTTTTTCAGTTCTGCTACGTTGCCAGTAACTTTCCGTTGTTTAGAAGAGAATTTAAATATTGACAGACGTGTAACAAGATTTGTCCTACCAATAGGAGCTACTATAAATATGGATGGTACAGCTCTATATGAAGCTGTTGCTCCCATATTTATTGCTCAAATGAATGGTATAGACCTCAACTTTGGTCAGATTATTACTATCAGGTATTTATAATGTCTTATTTTATAAAATCTTTTTGGGGAGTAGTATTACACTGTAACCCAGGTATCATTTAATCTTGTGTATTTAGCCCTAATTTCTTTCACATTCATTCAGTATCAAATCTTTGGGTGATTTCAGATGATTTTTACGAATTTAGATTCGTAAATTAGTGCTAAATATGCAAGATTAAATGATACCCAGATTACAGTTTTAGGTATTTATAATATAGTCTCATTTTATAAAATGATACCCAGATTACAGTTTTAGGTATTTATAATATAGTCTCATTTTATAAAATCCTTTTGGGAGTGGTATTACACTTAATCCTGCGTAATTAGCCTTAATTTCTTTAGCCTCAAATCCTTGGGTGATTTTAGTCGATTTTATGAATTTAGATTTGATATTGAATGAATATTAAAGAAATTAGCACTAAATACACAGTCTTAGGTATTAATTTTTTCCACAAGAAAATAAATGTATCTTAATTTTGAAAAATATCAGATTCGAAGTAACCCACCTTATTTTTATAATTAGAGCAAGGCTACTCCTAAAAAAAAAAACCTTAAAAATTTTGTATGGCTTGTAAATGAAAGTTAAAATATGAATATCTCTGTGATGGATGAACAGGTGTCTTTCAAATTTTGCATAGAATCTAATTTGAATGCTCAATAGTCAAATTCTACAAATCAAAAATTTTTTTTTAAAGTGCCTCTTTATTGTAAATGAACTGATTGACATGGACCATATTTTCTTTTAAAGAACTTATTTCAGTGAATCCTGCATACACCACTATATACTATGATTATTTTGGGAAGAAATGCATTGCATTGGTATCTACTTCAAATCATTTTTACATATTATTTATTTTGATTATTAATGGTTCTGTTTGCAGTTTAACAGCAACATGTGCTAGTATTGGAGCTGCTGCTATACCCAGTGCTGGTCTGGTTACCATGGTGATGGTACTTACATCTGTTGGTCTTCCTGCTGATGATGTCAGTTTGATTCTGGCTGTTGATTGGTTTTTGTAAGTTCCAATATATAACATTGACATTAGTAGTAGTACCTGAAACAGTTAAAAAAAACTGTGCCTGAAGGTGTATGGCTATTACATTATTGAGTCCATCTGTCCTGTCTTTCCATCTTTTGGAAACCTGTAACTTTATTTCTAGAGAATGAATTTATATAAAGCTGAGAACATATCTTTATTATCACAGTCACTGACCAAAGTTCGAACATCAATGCTATCTGTCCGTATTTAATAGGTCTTTTGAAAATGTGTAACTTTATTTCTAGAAAATGAATTTAGATACGGCTAAGAACATATCTTTATTATCACAGTCACTGACCAAAGTTTGAACATCAGTGCTGTCTGTCCATATTAAATAGGTCTACTGACATCTAGTTGGTTGATCCTTTAAAATGAAATAACTTTATTTCTGGAGAATGTTGATAAAACTGGGGATATACATACTATCATTATCAGTCACCCGCTTAAGATCAAGTACAAGTGGCAATAAAACCTGTATATTTTTTATATACCTTCAGAGCTATCCATGGATATTTAATTAACCTTTAGCAATTTTATTTGTTGATCCTTTGAAACCTAATAATTTTATTTCTAGTGAATAGATTTTCATTAAACTTTGAACATACCTTTATTATCATACTATATTCATAGACACTTGCTCAGGTTCAAACTTCAGTGCCCTCTATGTGGTAAAATGGTCGAGAGCCAGACATTATATTGAAACAACAACTCGTGACTATGCCACTTGTGTTGTTTCAATATATTATGCAATGTCTTAAGGTCGAGATCATTAAACAACTTAAAATACAGACACTCGCATGTGCTTTGCAATGAAATATGTCACAAAGGTCCAAAATTTAAACTAGTATAAACCATTATCTGAAATAATGTTACGCCAACATCAAAGAATGACATCACATCTGTATTTTAAGCATATTTATTATACCTTCTGCAATCTAATTATCAAAATGGTATCCATCCTGCAATCACATAATCTGTTCTATGTTTTTAGGGACAGAATTCGTACCTCTATCAACGTATTAGGAGACAGTTTTGGAGCAGGTGTGGTGGCTCATTTATGTAGACATCAACTGGAACAAGATCAGCACGCTCCTATAGATGATCGATCCATTGAACTTGTAGAAACACAGTCCGATAAAAAACGTGGGAGCCGGATATCACAAGGCAATGGTGATACTACACATGATGAATAAATGTCGTACATGTGTAGGTCATTAGGAATTTATAACTAGCATCGTCTTTAAAAAACCTTTATTTGGTATAAGAGTCATAATTTTACATATGGCATATTGTCCTTTGATTATAAATTTTATCAAATGATTTTACAGTGTTTTTACATACAGGGTTTTAATTTGCATAAACACTCTACCATTATTTTTCAATCTCAGCGTTTGTAAAATATAACTTGATACATAAAAAGACATGAAGCTATATTCTATTTGAAGTTTGTTACTTTAAAAATGTTATAAATACGGATAAAAAAAACTTCTATTAATACATATAGGGCATTGTAAAAACAAAGTGAATGTTGTTATTTCTATTAAGAGTTATTGAAGCTAGAGAGTACATATGTGTAATTATGTGGTATGCTTTCTTTTTTTTTTTTAAGTTTCTTCTCATCGAAACATGTTTCCATACCATCTGCAAACATCTTGCCAACTAATCACAAAATTAATGGATACTTTTGTTCAATCTACTATAGTACACTAGCTTAAAGGACAATGTTGGTGCCGGTCATTATCACATATGTGATAGACATTCCAAATATAATTTGAACACAGAGATCATTGCTACGATAGCTGAGTAATACAGCTTTCCTGAATCGGAAGTGACGAATGCCAAAGGAAAACACGAGTCATCTCTCTATATAACTGACTGATGTGACGAGTGATAACAGATACACGGCCGAATTTCTGCTCACTAATAGTTCCTTCGAAGACAAAAAGATGTTATATGGGACTGTAAGAGGATACCTGACAATTCAATAAAGTAATTGAATGTCATTAGATAAGAGAACACGAGAAAAATAGAAATTCCCCTGTTTATATTCATTCTATACCTTATAAAAACATGGTAATGCACAGCATTTTTATGTTTTTCTTTCGTTTTCACTTATCTAGTGGCAGTCAATTCTTTTTAAGAATTGTCAGATATCCTCTCACAGCCTCACACAACAACTTTTGGTCTTCGAGGGAATTATTAGTGAGCAGAAATTCGCCCGTATATCCGGTATCACTCGTCACATCAGTCAGTTATATAGAGAGATGACTCGTGTTTTCCTTTGGCGTACGTCACTTCCGATCCAGGAAAGCTGTATTACTCAGCTATCGTAGCAATGATCTCTGTGTTAAAATTATATTTGGAATGTGTTTAACCAGCTCTATCACATATGTGATAATGACTGGCACCACTATTGTCCTTTAATTTTAAGATACATAAGTTAGTGTTGTAAATACATTAGAAAATGTATAATATTTTTAAGTAAAAACTGATTTGGCAAAGAGGATGTACCATATATTATTAAGCTTAAATACCATAAAAAATGAAAGTATTTTATGCCTGAAATTAATGCAAAATTTATGATGGGTCCAATTAAAGGAGCAATCATTTCATGATAACACGGTTGTCTACGATATCACGCTTGGTGGTAGTGGACGTAAAACTCTAGTAACGGACAAACCATGAAACCATAACGATATAGCGTCTCAGAATTGAAGATTGGGTTTGACTTATTACATCTTAATTCACTATTGTTGATTTTCAGTAATTTCATGTGAAAATAAATTCATTAAGTCTAATTATGTAACAACAAAAACCTCATTTTGTTTTTTTTACTATACCTGAACATTGATATGTTTCATAAATATTGTATCTGTGCAGTTTCATATAATATCCAGAAAGGTATAATGTATATTGTTTCGTTTACCTTGTAGCCCGTAAGATGTTTCATATATCCTATACCTTTAAGGATAAAATCATGTGTTACATATATTGTATCTTTGTCAAGATACAAGTTATGTTTCATATATTGTATATCCATCACAATGCAGTTCATATGTGTCATATATTGTATATCCATCACAATGCAGTTCATATGTGTCATATATTGTATATCCAAAAAGATACAATTCTTATGTTCCAATATATTGTATATCAATCAAGATATCAATTCATATGTTCCATTGTATATCCATCAAGATACAATTTATATGTTCCATATATTATTGTATATCCAAAAAAGATATAATTCATATGTTCCATAATATAACATTGTATATCCAAGAAGATGCAATTTATATGTTCCATATATTATTGTATATCAAAAAAGATGCAATTCATATGTTCCATATTATATCCAGGAAGATCCAATTTATATGTTCCATATGTCTATCGATCAAGATAACAATTTATATGTTCCATATGTCTAACGATCAAGATAACAATTTATATGTTCCATATGTCTATCCATCAAGATACAATTTATATGTTCCATATGTCTATCCATCAAGATACAATTTATATGTTCCATATGTCTATCCATCAAGATACAATTTATATGTTCCATATGTCTATCCATCAAGATACAATTTATATGTTCCATATGTCTATCAAGATACAATTTATTTGTTTCTTTTATATTTTATCCAATTTATATGTTTCATATATTTTATATCCATAACAATACAATCTATATATATCATTTATAGTATATCCATATGGATACAGAGAGAGAGAGAGAAATGGGGTTTAACGTCTACTTGACACAAACCAGGTCATTTCGGGACTAACATATGGTTCTATTTTATTTCAATAACTTGCTTGCGCGTAGGGGTCTTTAACAGTGGGGGCAAAACAGAGGACCCGGAGCTTTCCCATGAGGTTGAACAGGCGACCCTACTCCTTGTCACATACAACCGGAGAATCGAAACCACGCCAGTTGACTCAATGACAGACTTAATGATACAGCGCGCACATGCTAACCATTCAAACATCCAACCCCCTTCATATGGATACAATATACTGTAAATGGTTCATAGACTGTATAACATGTTTCAATTATTCATAAAAAAACAATTAATCGTTGTATATATTGTAATATATAAATCTTATCACCTATATCTTCATTTCCATAAATGCCAATGTTTGACTGGACTGAAGATACTTATTTTTCTGGTTTTTGCAAACCAACATTCCTTTTTTTTAACGCGCTTAATGTATAATGGGTGTATGTAGTTGTGGGCTGGAATGTAGGACTAGTCACTGATTAGAGCGGAAGCATCTTTGTATTAATACCCTTGGTTAGCTGTAATTCTTGAAATATCTGGTTTGTCGCATTAAACAATGTTGTTGTATGTTATATGGCATCAGTGTTCTTGTTTGTTGATAGAACTTGTTAAAAGAGCAGTAAGTAGTACATCTTCAACCAATATGAAGAGCCCCGGGGAAGAACGATCTAAGTCACTTTTTCAACAAACCCCAGTTAATGGCACCATATATGGTATCAAATTGTATAAGCTTTCTGTGGAACAATCAATTTCAGGTAAAAACGATCAGTCACATCGAACCAAGGCCCTTCTGAAATGGCCTCCCGGACAAATACAAGTCCATTGTATTTATTTGACCTTAATTTGGCTAAAAAGTGGAAGTCAGTTGTTGTACTGGTAATTATGATTCGTATTAACCATCATTTTGAAGTTGTAATTAAACCCACTCGCGTCAAGCATTCTCGTCCAAAAGTCTGTTTAGCCTTTTATGCGAAAAGACAAAAATGTGACTTAGATCGTTTTTCCCATTGACTCTTCATATATACCCATAGCAATTGATCAAGGATAAAGATTGGGTTGATGTAGAAGGATTTTTTTGTTGGCAGCAGACAGCTAAACAATGCTTTGTAATATTCGCTTTGGTTCAAAACTAGTAATAGCAGTATTAGATCAGAAAGCTTAATGGTGCCTTATTGTATGTCTTTATAAGCTTACATGATAAAATTTATAACTTTTATCAGTATTTTATTTGACATTGAATCTAAATATATACATTCTTTATGTACATAAACTTTATTCTTTACTATATTCAGTTATTTCAACTCATCTTTGTGTAAACATCTTAACCCTTAACCGGTCTTTGTCGACTATAGTCACCATAACATTATACAGCTAAGTGGTCACGGTCGACCGCAGTAAGAACCTTTTTTATAAGCCGCTTTTGAGTAATTAGTTTCGTATTTAATTGATATGGCCATGCATGCGTGTCAGACAGAAACTTGTCTTGTCAACATTTTTTGACAAAAACGTAATTTTTTAATGATGTCGGGAGGTTAATTAAAGACTGTGAAAGTGGTTGAAATGCTTATGAATGATTCCGACTCAGATTATATCGATGACACTGATTCTGAAGACGATATTTCTGATGAAAATGATTTAGAAAAAGAGAGACAACGTGCAAATTATAGATCAACTTATCCCCTTCAACTTTTTTATTGTTGTCAGGTGTATGTCACGTATAATTATCCAGCAGTAGTCGTTTGAAATAGGCATACAAAATATTTCACATTAGCCTTTATTTAGCCAGACGACTTCATGACGTCAAAATGACGTAGACCAGTTGGGGGTTAAATCTATTTTAAATTCAGCTATATATGTAAAGTTATTTTTGAACTTGACCTATCTAAGGTAACCTAAGGTAAAGTTATTTTAAAACTTGACCTATCTAAGGTAACCTAAGGTAAAGTTATTTTTAAACTTGACCTATCTAAGGTAACCTAAGGTAAAGTTATTTTTAAACTGAACTCGCGGTCGTTTTCTTGTTTATACCAGTGTACCTAATTGTGTTCAAATATTTGATGATTTGAAAGATAAGATAAATATTGTCTAATTTTTATCAGTACTTGTAATAAATATACATTTTTAAAACTGTTATTTTATATTTTTAATTTTTAAATGTTACCATAGAATAATGAAATTTTCTCTTGTGTTTACATATGGATAAAATATTATCACATATTAATTTCTTAAGGTCTTTTCAATTAGTGTAGATTAACGCTTATTTTGAAATTAACTTGAAAAATAATTGGAAGAATAGTGTTGTTTCTGAAAGGGTGCTAATATGTGGGTAATCAATCTATCATGGTTAAAGAATGTCAATTTTGTAAAATTACAACATAAAAATGATTTATTAAAAAATACTGAACATTTAATATCTTTAGAATATGTATTTTAAAATATATATAATGTAAATGGTTTTTCCAAAATATTTTTGAATATGGGTTTATTTTATAAGTGCTCTTTTTTACTCATTGTATATATTTTTGAAATGTATTGTCAACTTTTTGTGCTTGATTTTGTTTTGTATATTATTACTCTATAAGCTTTTAGAATTCTGTGTAGTATTTTTTGTACATACATCGATGTCAAACTGAAGGTTTCTTTTCCCTTCTGGTCATTTATTTTTAATTACAGTCAGAAATTAGAATATGTTTGTAATTATTACTAAACTGAATAAAATTACTGATAAATAGATTTCATTGAGTCATAGTCATTGGCCATCATTCAATTCAAGATGCATTATGTAAGAGCTAAATCTGTCTACAGCAGGACTTTTGTCTAGCTTCAAATGCTCTATAAATTATTATTTAGACATTTATTCACATGACAAGCCTATTATTAACTCTCTAGACTATCAAATGACTGAGATATTAAGTGGATTAGACAATGTCTGTGATGTTTTCACTAAACATTAAAATGGAAAATCGATACTTTCCATGTTTGTTATTGTAGCAAAGGTAATTCACAATCGGGACCATTTATGCTATTTCTTGTCAAAATTTCAAACATTCATAACTTCACCCAGATTAAAATAATTTGATTGAAATTTTCAATATATTGATCTATCATTATCTATTTTAAATTATTATAACAAGAACGACAATGCATCTTTAAGAGAGAGAGAGAAATGGGGTTTAACGTCCATTCGACACAAACCAGGTCATTTTGGGACTAACATAAGCCATGTCAGTGAATATTTTCTGTTTTCTGAAAACATAGGCATAAACTACCAAGTGAGAGAAATGGGGTTTAACGTCTACTTGACACAAACCAGGTCATTTCGGGACTAACATATGGTTCAATTTTATTTCAATAACTTGCTTGCGCGTAGGGGTCTTTAACAGTGGGGGCAAACCAGAGGACCCGGAGCTTTCCCACGAGGTTGAACAGGCGACCCTACTCCTTGTCACATACAACCGGAGAATCGAAACCACGCCAGTTGACTCAATAACAGACCTTATGATACAGCACGCACGTGCTAACCATTCGGCCATCTCCCCCCACAATGCATCTTTAAAGAGGATCTGTTAAGCTTCAATGATAATAGCAGGAAATGTTTTGAAAATGTATGTAAAATGTCAACCATCATATTACTAATGCAAACCACACCTAACTATAATAGTTATGTCATAAAGAGCTTGTTAACCTTTTAACCTTCATAATTATATTTAACTTTATTCCCTGCCTCCCTATATCCTTAATATAAAATCTGCAGCAAGTGCATTAGACTTCTATTTTATTGCTTATTTAAAGTAGCTAAGTCTCTAACTCAATATCATCCAAAGTCTTTGACAATGAAAACACAAATTATTTGTCAATTTAAATCAACATTGATGTTGTGATCCTACCTGGAAAAGATGGCCTTCTGATATCCAGTATTTAAGACAAGATAAACATTTTACCATTGGTACATTTTTCGTGTACCATAATCCGTTTCTGTGCCATTTGTAACAAGGGATTCGAAGAACGAGGCTAGACATATTCCACAAGTCATGTCAAACGGTGACACTATGTTCTTATCTGGAGAGCATGTGCAATAAGTACTATCGGTATAGACTGGAATAACCAGACGCTAGAGATTGCCATTTGATTGAGACTTCTGGCGTATTTCGCCGAACATAACTTATTAGAAAGTATACTAAAAACAGAAACGATTGAATTTAAATCAGTTTATATACATTCATATTACATTATTATATGCGTTGCGACCCATTTGTGTCCATTTCCAGGCCCCAAATATTAGCGATTTAGCTCCTTTAAATTCCAGTTTCAAGGATAATTTTAACATATTAATAAATAGTTTACTTCAATCAAGCACACTTATAATGGTGAATAAATTTTATGTTTTATAAGGGGGTTCAGAATGAAATTTCAATAACGGGCAAATATCAAATTAATTCATGGTAGAAAATGGAAATAAATCAGTTAATGTTTACATTAAGTTAGTAGAGACTATGGAAACCCATTATTTATGTAAATGTTAGAAAATGAAATGAAATGAAATGAAATGGGGTTTAATGTCCTACTGTTTTGCTCCGAACTGGGCTAATGAAGACGGGCATACGCCATACAGTGTGCTATGAGGGAAATTTTGCCCGGACAGCGGCACTACGTGCATGCCAATGTGTACACGGGACCTCGTTTTTTCGTCTCATCCGAATGACTAGACAGCTGTCCTTGTCAGGCCCTCCGTCCTGCATCCCTGACAAGGGGGAACCACGCAGGAAAATTGGGATGAACTTTCTCGGCCAATGCAGGGATCGAACACCCGACCTCCAGGCTAGCGAGCCAGCGCCTTACCCACTAAGCCACCGTGATCCCCCGTAAATGTTAGAGAATTAACGAGAGACTTTAAAATTATGGATGGTGTGGTTAGGTTAGTAACAATTATATATCTTTAATTTTTTTCTTATATGATATATAATTATTTCACAGGACACCTGCCAAGCTATATTATGTGTGTTGTAACATTTTGTAGTGCTCCCCACCTCAAGCTGGTTGTCTTGTCTACAAGGGACAGTCACGTATATCTCATGTTAAAATAGGTCGCTGTTACCTATATCTATAAATTCCCAACCAACCTATCAGCCTACGATGGCCGTTGTGCAGGCAAATGGGTGTATATGTGTGGTTTAATGGTCGAGAGCGAGACATTAAGTAATAATGTAATTAAGCTTGAGACCATTAAACAACTTAAAATACTTTGCAATGAAATACATAACGCGGGTCACAAATTTTAACTAGTATAAATAATTTATGCTTGGCACATTGGCCGTACCATTTTTTGAAATAATGATACGCCAACACCGAAGGATGACGTCACATATGTATTTTAAAGGGGATTAGTTGTCCACAGACAAGCCGAGCACGTTTAACACCAAGCAGCTAATCTAGCATATCATGCAATACATAGGTATATATATATATATATATATATATATATAAGCAAGTAATGTAAACTACTCACTATAATCCAATCGAAATAAACACATCCAATAGAAATGAACAACTGGTTTTTGCACCCAGCTTGGCTGAAAATCCTGGATCAAGAAGGGCGGGACAAACCACACCGGCTTTTATATAAAAAACAACTGCACATGCAGATTTCCCCTAAACCAATAAATGTTGTAAATAGGCTGGTCCATCATTGCACAAGGGGAACCCGCTCATGTTTACAACATATCTCATGATCAGATTCTGTACACAATTTAACAGAAAAACAAGCTGGGGTTTTAGGCCCTTGACCCTCTCAGTAGACTTACATATACAACGCTCCCGGGATCCGCAGCTGGATTAATTTACTTGTGGTTTATGGTCACTCGCCTGAAAAAATGTAGGTTTGGCTCTGCCTGTGGTAGCTAATACCCCCCAAATGGGACACAATTACAAAATTTTGCCCCTCTTGCTGCAACCATCCCATCACACCACTGCCTCTATCCTTTCCTTTATAATTTTATGCAGTTAAAACAAAATAACATTTAATTCTTACAAATTATTTTATTATAAAAACTAAAATAAAGAATGATAAATATAACAGTAGGAATAAAGTAATTTATAAAATAAAACTTATACAATAGTTGTTACACTTGAACATCTTCATTAGCCCTGGTTGGTGTAAAGCTAGATGTTAAAGGACAATATTGGTGTCAGTCATTATCACATTCAATTACTTTTTTGAATTGTCAGATATCCTCTCACAGTCTCACATAACAACTTTTGGTCTTCGAAGGAATTGTTAGTGAGCAAAAATTCGGCCGTGTATCTGTTATCACTCGTCACTTCAGTCAGTTATATTGAAGGATAACTCGTGTTTTCCTTTTGTGTTCGTCACTTCCTTTTGTAGAAACCTTCATTACGCATCTATCATAGCAATGATCTCTGCGTTAAAATTATATTTGGAACGTATTTAACGAGTTCTATCACATATGCAATAATGACTGACACCAATATTGTCCTTTAAACCTGATTTTATTTATTACACATTGAATCTGGTAGAATATATAATACTGCCAGCTTTTATACCAGTAATAGATGAACTACCCTTTATACTACTATACAGTAAATAATATCAAATTAAAAACCACTTGTATAATATTATATATATAAACAGACTGTTATATTTCCCAGTAATCATAAATAATTTTAATGGACTACATTGTAATTACTAATGAGAATCTTCTACTTCATTTGTTTAAATGACTTTCCATTTCATTTATATTAAAATTTTATTATTATTACTATAAAATAAAGTACATTAGATTAATCATATACCTTATGTTGATATATATAGATATAATAATAAAATCATTTAATATATATCATTTAAATTTTTGGGAATTTGTATTGGATAAAAATCACTATGTTCACTGAAAACAATAATATTCTCGAAAGCAACAAATTCTCAGCTTTAATTTGTTATAAACTATCTTCATTTGGCAGTTAAATTTTAGTGCAACTTTTAATGCACCGGTACTTTGACACAATATAGCCCAGTTGGAGCTGATGTACCATAAAACTTCATTTCATTCATTCATTAATTAATATAATGGTACACATTTTTGGGGGTTGACAATGCAGAGGAAGGAAATGGTTTAACATTCTACTGTACTGTTCCAACTTGCAGAGGAAGGGGAAGAGGTAGTAGAATAGAATACCATTGATAACGGTTTAAAATTACTTCCTGGATGGTAAAATATACCGGCAGTTCTATGTTCAGCTTTCAAAGATTTCTTCCCACACAGAGAAAAAAAATGAGTAGGAAATGAACCAGGAAAGTGAAAATATTTAAAATGGGAGGAGTAGATTATTATATAAAAATAAATTAAGTTAAAATACAGTAAATCAAATTGCTGGGTATTTCATTTTGAGCCACCAAGATATTTTTGAATTAAAAATATCAGAATTTCCCATACAATCACAGAGGGCAAGAGATAAAACAATACTTCTATACTCTGTATGGCTATATAGTAGTATTGTGATCATAAAACAATATATAGATCTGAATAGCCATACAATAGACAATAACTGGTTGAATTAAACAGTAGATATTATAAAATAATACCAATACAATCATATAATAGTTTATAACTGGTTGAATTAAACAGTAGTTCTAATAAAACAATCTAATAAATAGATCGACATAGCCATACAATAGTTAAAAACTGGTTGAATTAAACAGCTGATATAATAAAACAATACCTTTATATTTATATACAACCATAATAACTGGTTGAATTAAACAGTAGTTCTAATAAAACAATACTTAGATCTACATATTTCGCCATACAATAGTTAATAACTAGTTGAATTAAACGGTAGGTACAATAAAACAATATATAGTCATAAAATAGACAATAACTGGTTAACAGTAGTTATAATAAAACAATATATGTATCTCTTGCTATACAGACATAAAATAGAAAATAACTGGTTAAAGTACAGGTCGGCAGTAGTCGGTACGCTTTCATTCTATAGTATTACAACAACACATAATTTTGTAAGAATATTACTGACATTAATTTGAATACCGCACAGGAATTAAATATCAAAATAATGAGGTGCACGTATTTTTTATTATGTACGAATTTGAATATTTTGTTGACAAACGATTTTTGTGTGTGGTCTGAAACTGCCTGTTTAAATAAAGATAAGAGTTATGTCCCTTTACTGTCGGTAAAAACATCTGACAAGAAAAATTTTGAAATCCCAACATTGCCTACAGTAAAACTTCACGAATATAATCAAATAGTTCTCTAAGTATCATAAAAATGTGTAAATTCTATACAATAATTCGTTGAAATCATGTTTAAAATTTGAAATAAAACATTTAATTATTCAGCAGTAATTTAGGAATAAAGATGTATACAAGAGCTAAATCTGCCTATAGCACGTATTATTTACGGCTATAAATTTTATATTAATTATTAGGCCATATAAAAAAACATTGTGGTTCTAAGATAATCCTGTGTGATGTGTCCCTAATAAAGATGTATGCCCATATGTATGCAAGTATTTTTTACGGCTTCAAATTTTATAATAATTATAGGAAGTATTATTTTACGGCTTCAAATTTTATAATAATTATAAGGCCATATAAAAAAATATTCTGGTTCTAAGAGCCATTTTTTTTTTTAAATTTAAAAAAGTCTCATTAATTTCCGGACACAAATAGTTTACTCAATAAAAAAAGTCACAAATGTGCTGTATCCATGACAGTCAAATCTGATATGAAATCAAATCTCGTACAACATACAATAATAGGGATTTGCCTGCTTCCATCAACATCACGAAGATCCCCTAGAATTTATTCATAATGCTTATCTGATTATGAAATAATATTCTCGATATATGCCATGTCAAAATTAATATTGTCTTAATAAACTGTCACATATAATCAAATGCTTTAATGTTTTACAAAAACTTTTAGAAGTCACTATCTATAGAGATTTTTACCCCATAAAATATCTTTTATTTGTAGTCTAGCTCAGTCTACAAATTAGATATTTTATATTTACTCTGAGAAAATGTTTTTGGCTAATTTAAATCATAGCCAATTGATTTGGACATTTTGCACTATGTTTGTACCAAGTTATTAACACTAAGATAAATTTGTATTATAAAAGCACAATGTAGGCATTCTAAAATATATATCACTAAATAAAATAATAAAAAATAGATTTATCAAATATCAACAATTAAATAGGACGGAATGATAAATGTAAATTAACCCGGTGTAATTTTATCTTGCCCGCTTGGTCAGTTTCCTCTTAGAAACAGGGTGAGGCATGGTTTGGTTCAGCATTTTAGGTTTGGAGTTATTTCGACTTAGTTGTGGCAGAACTGGCATGGTTTTATTTAATGACATATTATGCTGAAAATGACAACGAGAAAATACATATTTAACTACGGGTAACACATAAAAAAATAGAATTCCAACAAATAGTAACTTCCCACTTTTACAAGATGCAGTGTTACTCTTTATATTATAGTCCACCTCTCTTTTACTAGGTGCATTGCTAATCTTTATAGTTTATTCCCTCTTTTACTGGGGGCATGGTTTATCTTTATAGTGCGCCCCTGTTTTAATAGTTGCATTGCTAATCCTTATAGTGGACCCCTGTTTTACTAGGTGCACTGTTAATTATAAATTGCATTCCTGTTTTACCAGTTGTATAGATAATCTTTATAATACACCCCCTTACTATGTCAACTGGTAACCTTTAAAGAGTATCCAGTTTTTTATTAGGTGGATTAATAATTTGTATAGTGCATCCCGTTTTACTAGAAACAAGGTAATTATTACCAAGATATACGATGACAGCCTTTTTCTAATTTAGATTACATGTCAATTTAATAATAAATCTACATACCAGTTGACGTCTACGAACACGAGCTTCATTAAGTAGTCCTATATCATTGATACTATTAACAGAATGGCGTCTATTAGAAGAGTCTTCTACATGTTTTGTAGCTGATACTATCATATGACAACCACCACATGCTACCTGTAATAATATAACAGGTACACCAGGTGAGACACCTAGGTCATTTCGGGACTAACATATGGTTCTATTTTATTTTAATAATTCGCTTGCGCCCAGGGGTCTTTAACAGTGGGAGGAAACTAGAGGATACAGAGAAAACCCACGGGGTTGGACAGGCGACCCAACTCTTTGTCACGTACAACCGGGGAATCAAAACCACACCAGTTGCTTGTATGACAGACCTTATGATGCAACGCGCACGTGCTAACCATTCAGCGATCCAACCTCCACAAGTCAGAGAACTATCATCATACCATTTATTCAAAATAAATTATTTTTGGTACGATTGTATTAAAGTAAGTTATGGTATTCCTATCTAATCTGGAGTGTTGGATGGCTGAATGGTTAGCGTATGCCCGCTGTATCATAAGGTCTATCATTGAGTCAACTGGCGTGGTTTCGATTCCCTGGTGTATGTGGCAAGGAGTAGGGTCCTCTTGGGTTTTCTCCAAAAATAAGCACATTTTATACATTACATTGTAAAATTACATTACATTGTAAAATTAATATAATTACCTTATGAACAAAGAACTGTCTAAATCTGTTAACTCTCTGAGGTAAAAATTGATTAGAATAACTATCTTGTTCTTGTGCTAATCTACCATGTCTACCATTACCACACGTATATAAAAACCCATTCTCTACAATTATAATCATTACATTTACATCAAGCTATAAAGTAGAACAGCGTTCACAAGGTGCAATAAAGTGAAACAAGGGCCATAACTCCAGAAGAAACTAACGGAAATTATTGAAATTAAATAGGATTCTTCATCTCACTAAAACAAACAACATATATTAATTTCAAAACGGACGGGGGCAACGACAATAGATTGTATAAATCTGTGCGAACCTGTGCGAACACTGTTTCGAATACACCCTTAGTTTCTGGGGATGAATATTAAATATAAGACAATATATACATACTCAAAAGTACTTTTACTTTTTTAAAATCCTGGTCCAAAATGCATTAAAATCGATCAAATCTAATTTATGAGTCATAATCATTAAGTTACGATCATTTAAAGTTTGCATTGGTTCCTATTGATTTATGCTGTCATCTTTATGTATTTTTTCATACAAGCCATAAATGTTTGGTAGGGGATTTTATACTTGAATGTACTTAATTACATAAGTATAACATTTACATAACCAACTGCCGTTAATTTGTTGCTTGCATCAATATCTTGGTTTACAGTTCACCGTATCTTCATATCAAAACTTAAATTCATCATTAATTGTTAAAAGCAACATTAATTTAAAGGTTATAGAATTTGCAATCATTGAAAATTTTCTAAGCATAACATTAAATGATATTTGTATAAAAATAATAAGTAAAGATAAGAAACCTGATATAATGGCAGTGAAGTTTTCACCACAAGATACATCAACGGCTTTAAAACCAAGTTCTACACACTTCGGTGTCCATAATTGTAATTCAGATGTACCTCTTCCAAGCTGACCATTTGATCCATCTCCAAATGTATAAACTTTACCATCCACTACAAATACATGTGTCATATGTTATCCAATCTGATTAAAATACAGATCTATATGTTGTTTCCTTTTTTCATACTTTCGATGGACTACACTACATGCGAGAGGCTTTTGACCCTATGATGTTAGACATTTGATTAACCAATCAGCCTTGATGTCTCTTGTGGATTACCCACTCACGTCAAAACTCACCGTAAAATCATTTCATTGGCTAATTCCTAACATCAATAGGAATGCAGGTTTCGTTTAATCTTGTGTATCTAGCACCAATTTCTTTCACATTCGTTTAATATCCAATCTTTGTTTAAAAATTTGTAAAAACTGTTTAAAATTACCATAAATCGTTTAATTTGTACTTCTGTCCAGTTTAAAGCTGACCATTCAATTTTGATAATGAGTGTCCAATTTACAAGTGTTTAATTTCTCAATCATTGTTAAAAAAACCCCAACCCAATTGATTAAATAATTAATGATGTATAATGATTAATTTTTGAACAGTGATCAGGAAATTAAATACTTGTAAATTGGACACTCATTATCAAAATTAATCAGTCAGCTTTAAACTGGACACATGTACAAATTAGATGATTTTTGGTGATTTTAAACGATTTTTACAAATTTTTAAACAAAGATTTGATATTAAACGAATGTGAAAGAAATTAGTGCTAGATACACAAGATTAAACAATACCTGGGTTACAGTGATACTTCCATCATTTTAAATATAAATTATCATGCTAATTAATTCACAAATGAAGAAAATACTGTTTAACATCTAATACCTAGTTACTTCAGTTATTTAAGACTACCAATATTAATTTTGCATGAAAGTTGAGAGGGTTAAATGAAACCGAATCATCACATGTACTAGAATATAAATATAAAACCAACCTGTTACTACGGCTGTATGTGATCCACCACATGATACAGCTTTCACTTTTTCTGGTATAGAAGACACATGATGTGGTGTAAGAGCTTCTCTTACAGATTTTTCTAAACCAAGCTTTCCTTCATCTGTTTCTCCAAAAGTATATAGTTTACCACTTACTGTAATTATAAACAACAATATTCTTTAACAGAACGAACAAAAATATTTAAAAAATTATTATCAAGCTTGTTCATTTCCCATACAAAAATATAATATTTTAAATCTAAAGTCAATCAGATGATAACTTTGGTCTCTAGTACCATAACTCTGGTAGTAATTATCGGAAATCATTGAAAATCTCTGGGTTTCTTTGTCTCACGAATGAACAAAAATATTTAAGAAATTATTATCAAGCTTGTTCATTTCCCATACAATAATAAAAATATTTTTAATCTGATTTCACTGTGTGTAGGTTTTAACAGGAAGAGTGATAACTGAATGATAAACTAATATATTATTTCACCTGTTACAAATGCTGTATGATAATAACCACATGATATACAAGTTATTTTTTCATCAAATGGTAATAAAGTTGGTATATTGTGTTCTTTTTCATCACCTAATCCTAATTTACCATCATCACCACCACCCCATACATATACTTCACCATTTACTACAAAACACATATAATCATAGTTAATACATAATAATAATAATAATTAATTTATATAGCACCGACAAATCAAGCAAGCTGCTCTAAGGCGCTTTACATAATACTTTTACTCTTTCTTGAGTTATAACAACTTCCATTATCTTTTTTTTTAAAAAAGGCTGTCTCATCAACATTTAACAGATTTTAAAGATACGTATTTAAAGATACGTTATGTAAGCTTTAGATAAAGAACTGATATTTCTCGCTATAAAAGTTAAAAAATGGATAATGAAAAGGAAATATGTTGGAAATTTCAGACCAATTACTGTACTTTATTCTGAGCTAAGTTACAGCTGTTTGGAGAATAGTGGAGTCTTGATTGTCATTGCAATCATTGTTATGATAGTAAACAAAGTTTTGATTATCCATTTTTTAATTATAATCAGTAACTGCCAAAGCATCTTCGAATCATGACCTTGAACAAAGTGTATAACTTTAAAGTCAATTGGTTATTAACTTTAGCCTTTAGAGCATCAGTTAACAGACAGTTAACAATATATGACCCCATTTCAATGTGGGCTGTATAAAAAGGCTTCGGCTATAGTGATTAGTCAAGATAGTATAATATGCAGTTGGCAAAGGTCTTGGTTTCTAAACTTCTTGTATATATTTGCCCGTCACAAATCGAGGGACTGATCAGTTTGAGTCTTCAGTAAATATTCTATAGTAATATATGGGACATAACTCTTGCAATCTAACACTTACCTCCAAAATCACATTATTAATACAGAGAGAGAGAGAGAGAGAGAGAGAGAGAGAGAGAGAGAGAGAGAGAGTTTAATGTGCACATCCACTCGACACAAACCAGTTCATTTCGGGACTAACATATGGTTCAATTTTATTTCAATAATTCACTTGCACGTAGGGGTCTTTAGCAGTGGGGGGAAACCGGAGGACCCAGACCCATGAGGTTGGACAGGCATCCCTACTCCTTGTCACGTACAAATGGGCAAAATTTAAGGAGTAAATAGATAGTTTTGGGATAAAAATGAAATTGGGTTTAACGTCCTACTGTTCTGCTCCTATACAGGGCTAATGAAGACGGGTATACGCCATACAGTGTGCTATGAGGGAAATTTTGCCAGGGCAGCGGCACTATCACCTACTCTTATATCGAATTCCAACTGCCAAGGGATCTTTTACGTGCATTCCAATGTATACACGGGACCTCGGTTTTTCGTCTCATCCGAAGGACTAGTCAGCTGTCCTTGTCAGGCCCTCCGTTCTGCACCACTGACAAGGAGAAACCACGTCGGAAAACATAAATAAATAACAATCGAAAACAAAGCAAAAGAAATCTGATGTGTTTTGAAGGATAATGGATGATTATTAGATTACCTGTTAAAGCAACACTATGGTCAGCACCACATGATAACATTTTATATTGTTGTGGTTCAACACCCTTAATACACTGTGGTTTATCAACTTGTCTAACTTCTTTTAAACCTAACTGACTCTCTGAATTACTACCACACGAATAAAGATAACCAGATTCTGAAATAGCAAATCATAAAAATTGAATTTTCTAATTTATCAGTTATATAAATGTATGGAAAACTTTTATTAAAGTGAGAGAAATGGGGTTTAATGTCCACTCGACACAAACTAGGTTCGGGACTAGCACATGGTTCAATTTTATTTCAATAATTCACTTGCGCGTAGGGGGCTTTAGCAGTGGGGGGGGGAACCAGAGGACCAGGAGAAAACCCACGAGGTTGGACAGTTGACCCTACTCCTTGTCATGTACAACCGTGGCATCAAAACCACACCAGTTGACTCAATGACAGACCTTATGATACAATGCGCATGTGCTAACCATTCGGCCATCCAACCCCTCTTAGGCCTATTAGAACATGCTGCAATAATATAGAGCTCAAATTTACAACCTCTGAAAGTGGATGAATCTTAACAACAATGGCGACTTGTAGATTTATCCAAAATAACTATTGATTGCTGTTTTATCTGATTCTTCAATTTACCTGAAGCAAAAACTGAATGAGATCTCCCACAAGCTACCAACTTGATTTTTTCATTTTTAATTGCTGCAAATTAAAAAGTAATCTTATAAGTCAACATTCTAATTAAACCATATTTAGTTAATATTCTTATCTGGCATGATGAATTGAAAACATTATAGACGTGAGTACATTTTAGTGTGGATTTTAAAGTCATTGAAAATTCGAAATTTTTCCGAAAAATACAAATGATGCACAAAGAGCTAATAAATTTATGTCACTGATCTTGGGAAATTCTATTTCTAGCATACAGTAGATATTATTTAATTAATTTTAATATTGGATACTATTAGAAGAATAAACACCGCTGTCATGGTAAATACCACACCATTATTATCAATACATAGACTTCATTTAACTCAAGAAATATTAATTTAAAGGTCACAATCAGTTGAAATGAGCCACTTAAAGAAGGCAAGTCGATAACTCAATATCATCCACAGTCTTCGACATCGCAAACACGACTCTTTGGTTTATTTAAATCAACATTGTTGTTATCTTACTGTGAAAAGATGGGCTTCTGATATCCAATATTTAACACAAAATGAAAATTTTAAAATTGGCACATGAATCGCATGCCAGTAATGCTTTCGAGTTTGTAATGAAGCGACTCGATAAACGAGACTGAACATACCCCACAGGAGAATACTACTGGTGTAATAGTATAACCAGAGGCCAAAGACGGCTATCAAAATATTACACATCTGGCTTAAAGTGTATGGTGGATTGAATCTGTATTCAACCTATCTTTATATGCTAATTTTTTTCTGACCAAATTCAAATATCACGACATAAATCATAAATATAAAATTCTTGGATACTTTTAACTTCAAAATTCCAACATACTGCATTGCCAATAAAAGAATCCTGAATCAGATATTACTCTACCAAATGATGAGCTCTTGGATTCAGGAAATTTTATACTCCCATTTAAATGCAGCAAACAATGTATCAAAAAGATTGGCAGGCAATTTCGAGTGACATTTTAAATGAAATGATGTACCAGTATTAGCAGACTGATAGTGATAAAGTTTGGATACTTACATTTAATACAGGATGGTTTCTTAGTAGTTATATCATTTCCTAAACCAAGTTGACCTTGAGCATTATTACCAAACACAAATACTCTACCACTTTCTACAAAAGTAAACCAATTTAAAGATTCAGAAAATTAAAATAGAAAAAGTTTAGGTGAAATGATCTACAAGCTTAAAAGGCGACACAGAGAGAGAAATTTGTTTAATGTCCACTCGACACAAACCAGGTCATTTCGGGACTAACATATGGGTCAATTTTTATTTCAATAATTCGCTTGCGCGTAGGGGTCGTTAGCAGTGGGAGGAAACCGGAGGACCCTGAGAAAACCCACGAGGTTATACAGGCGACCCTACTCCTTGTCACGTACAACCAGGGCGACACAGATATTAGGGTTACTGAGTAAGTTAAATGGATATTTCAAAAATGGTAGCCGTATATATAAATGATTGTAGATGTAGCTAAATACAAACCTGCTACAAGTACTGTATGTTCATCCCCACAAGAAATATCAACTACACTGTCATTATTTACCCAAAACTGATTTGGTAAAAATTCAGATAAATGACTTTTACCAAAAGTGAAAATAGCTCCAGAAACTGAAAAACAAAACAACAGAACAATTTTATTTTTGAATCGATAGGTACATGTATTTATCACAAACATTCAGATTTATAATCTTGGTTTGTAAACCTTAACCTTCCTAATATAAAGGAGAGAGAGAGAGAGAGAGAGAGAGATGGGGTTTAAGTCCACTCGACACAAACTAGGTCATTTCGGGGCTAACACATGGTTCAATTTTATTTCAATAATTCGCTTGCGCGTAGGGGTCTTTAGCAGTGGGAGGAAACCGGAGGCCCCAGAGAAAACCCACGAGGTCGAACAGGCAACCTAATATAAAGGAAGCAGTGAAACAATCCACTATCTAAAACTGTTTCAAATGCATCATATAATCCTATACCTGGTACACTCAATTTAGCACAGATCTTAAGTTTGTGTGGGGAGCAATGGTGGCTAAGTGGGTAAGACGCTGGCTTGCTAGCCTTGAGGTCGCGTGTTTGATCCTTGCATTGGCCAAGGAAGTTCAACAGGATTTTCCGACATGGTATATCCCCTTCGGCTTGTCGGTGGTGCAGGATGGAGAGTCTAACAACAAGGACAGCTGTCTAGTCATTTGGATGAGACAAAAAATTGAGGTCCCATGTATACATTGGCTTGCAGGTAAAAGATCCCTGAGCAGTTGGAATTCAATATAAGAGTAGGCCATAGTGCCACTGCCTGGGCAAAATTTCCCTCATAGCACACTGTAAGGCATTTATGCCTGTCTTCATTAGCTCAGTCGGAACAAAACAGTTGAATGTTAACTGCATTTCATTTCATTTTAGTTTGTGAGATTGGTTATAAACCAAAAGCCATAACAGGAGATGTCAATACTGTCATTGAACATTCAGATTTATAACGTGTTTCAAGTTGACTGCAGAAGGCCCGTCTATGGGAATGGTCAGAAAAATACACATGCCAACAGATAATGACAATATTTAAAACCCTACAGTGAGGGCTAAGACTGGGTCCCAGGAAGCCCTACTGGGAGCTGGGTGCCCAAATGAGCCAAACCAAGCAAGGTCTGGCAAGGCTTGGAGGCCGAGACGTCCCTACAGTAATTTTTCAGTATTTCGATATTTTTTTTTTCTTTCCGGTACTGGCATTTATTCAGTAATTTTTCGGTATTTATTTTTTTTTCAAAATATTTCATTAATTTCTAAATTAGTCGATCTATTTATTCTGAATGACAGTGCATTGGGCTGGCGCCCCCTCGATCAATTCACTTGATTTGATATACATATGTTTGTTTTTTAGTGCTTGCAATGTCTGTGTGTCTTGTCCACCGGTTCGTCTCGTTTTGTTATAATGTTTTATTGACGTTTTTTTTATAACTTTATTTATCATTTTTATGCAAATATAAATTTATAAATGATGATTGTTATTGAATGTGTGGTGCGGTCCTCCTGCACTTGTGTAATGGGAGCAAACAACCATTTTTGTGGTAAGATTTATTGCCAAGTTTTAAAGTATTCTGATTTTCGTAAAGCATGAGGAGCGAACAGTAGAGCAGAAAAATCACATGCATAGTTTTACCTGGTATTTCGAGTTCTTCCATACCATCCATTTTGGTAACTCACAACAAATTAAGGACGTACTCGCTTTGCATATTCACGTGATTCTATAAACTGTTGTAGTTCAACATTCTATTGTTTTGAGTATTTCTGGGTTCCGTATGCTATGATATTACATGTATCAATAAAAGAATTAATGTCGTTAGCACATATTCTCTACAGATTTAACTAAAATTGTTTTTACAAGATTTGTAACTTACCGTGCCGATTCCTTTATTTTAATCCTAAATCAAGTTCGACTGTGAGACAAAAACACGAGAAGAGAAAAATTGTAAAAGGGACAAAATTATCGCTGAATTGTCTTTATTATTATGAATACTTGCTATGTTATTACATTTACATAACTATCTTATTTGTGAGTTGATCTCTGTTAAAATTTAATTCTTAAACATCATAAATCAGTCTTAATAGGACTAAAATTATTTTCTTTTGACATTTGTCAATTTGTCTTTGTTGTTTATAAACCTTTGGTTTTGTATGCTGTCAGTATCCCGCGGGAATTAAACAATTTCACCGCCTCCAAGTTGATCTTTTTATTCAGGGACTTTTGAGAAAATAAAAGGAGTTAGTTGTTGTTAATAATTAACAGTGGTTGATTCGGACCAGATTCTCGGCCAAGATTCTTTGCTCATGAGTCATTAACATTTGGACCATGATAAGGCTCCTTCACTTTCAGACCATTATTGGAATGGCTAGAGGCTAGAGTATTTAAGATATATGTTTGCATATTTAATAATATGACAAAAATGACTATAAGTAGTGTAAAGTGATTACTTCAGTAATCACGGAAACAGTCGTTAAAATGTGATTAACAATTTCCAGTTAACCCAGAACTAGGAAATAAACTAATGCTAGTCACCATGTCCATACACTTACCCAGTATTATCAATTTAATGAAATGATAACCTAAAATTATCAAATAGCTGCATACCAGTATAATCTGCAACGAATCTGCGATATTTTGCAAACAGGAAAGAAAAGTGTTCTGTGTATAATATTTTAATTATTACGTAGCATTTTATGAGTGTGAAATCAAAAGTGGATGCTTACGTCTAGCCCCCAGATCCATTCACTTCATTTGATATGTACGTTTGTTTGTGATTCCTGCGTATTGTGTCTTGTCCGTAGATTTGTTTTTGTGTAAATTATATGTGGTGCAGTAGCCCTGCACTTACTATTAAAATGTGTTGGCCTGCAGTATTATTATATAAGATGGCTATCCAGTCTGATCATCATATTCAAGGTTTGGCTGTACGTGCGGTTGATGGTGTCGTTGATGTGTGGCTTTCATGTTAGCTGTGAGTCTCTGATTTAAATTGTGCCGTTGAGTTTTGACTCAATTTTTGTATTGCTGTCAGGGATGGAACAGCATTGCTAATTGTGTTTCTGTGTAATATTTTGAATCCCCCCCCCCCCCCCCCCCCCCCCGCATCATTTGCCCATTGAGATTTGATCAAGAGTATAAATATTGTAGTGAAAATTGTAATTTTTTTTTTTTTTTTGATATCTTTGATGATTTCCAGAAAGTGCTATCTGCGAAAAGTGCTGATTCAGCATTTTGCCGACCCCGAGCTTGGCAGATCATTTATCATGTTAGTTGAAAGAGTTGGACTGATGATGGATCCTTGAGGCATTCCTTTAGTAATGTACAAAAATACACACTAAATGTTTTAATTAAATACACTAAATGTTTTAAATTAAATCACACCTTTACTTGACAAAGGTATAAAATCGCAGGTAGAAATATACAAGAACCTATAAATCACACCTTAATTGTTAATTAAACACTAACTTACTAAGTAATAAATCCAATAAACAATCAGATACATGTATCTCCAATAAAACAAATTATCTATTTCTGAATAAGATTAGCTTAATATTTTGATAGCTTTTCTAAAGATCATTTATTTTCATGATAGTACATGTATAATTATGTATAGTACATTTTCCACAATGTTACTGGGTTATTGCTATTTGTATTAAAATTGGGTCCATAAACTGGGAAACCCCATAGATATACTTATATGTCTTATTGAAATTAACTTAAATTGATATGAATAAAAGCATATAGATAGTGATGATATAGTCTTAATAAAACCCATTTAAAGTAGCTAAGTCTCTAACTCAATATCATCCAAAATCTTCGACATTGAAAACACGATTTATTTGTCGGTTTAAATCAACATTGATGTTGTGATCTTACTGGGAAAAGATGGACTTCTGATATCCAATATTTAAGACAAAATAAACATTTTACAATTGGTACACGAATCGTGTACCATAATGCGTTTCGGCGCTATGTGTAATAAAGGACTCGAAAAACGAGGCTAGGCATATTCCACAAGTCATGTCAAACGGTGACACTATATTCTTATCTGGAGAGCATGCCCAATAAATACAAGGGTAGACTGGAATAACCAGAAGCTAGAGATTGAAATTCGATTGAGAATACTGGCGTATGTCGCCGAACCTAACTGATTAGAAATTACAGTAAAACAGAAACGATTGAATGTAAATCAATTTATATACATTCATATTACATTATTGTATGCGTTGCGACCCATTTGTGTCAATTTCTAGGTCCCAAATATTAGCGACTTAGCTCCTTTAAACTTAGTTAAATATCTAAACTAAGTTTCTAGTATTTATTATCATATAGTCGCAATCCGTCTGATAGTGGTCCAAATCAGCCATGAATGTGGTCCGAATAAACTTTAACTTTTGGTTTCATGCAAACGACTACCATTCAGTTTGAACTGCTCACATTTTTCACCGAACATAACTGATGAAAAATTACACAAAAAATTTAATGAATTGAGTGTAAATCAGTTTATGTTCATTCATATCACATTCATTATCAATATGTGCTTTTCGACTTTTTTGGAGGTTTGGATGGCCGAATGGTTAGCACGTGTGCGCTATATCATAAGGTCTGTCATTGAGTCAACTGGCTTGGTTTCGATTCCTCACGACACCGAGTAGGGTCGCCTGTCCAACCTTGTGGGTTTTCTCCGGGTCCTCCGGTTTCCTCCCACTGCTAAAGACACCTATGCGCAAGCGAATTATTGAAAAAAAATTGAACCATGTGTTAGTCCAAAAATGACCTAGTTTGTGTCGAGTGGACGTTACCCCCCATTTCTCTCTTTCTCTCTTTCTCCAAAGAATAGATTCAGTTATCCCCTTTAATGTTGTGAAATGTATCGCTTGTGGACTGAAGTAGGACAAATATATACTAACCATTATTATTTCTAGCAGATTTTTTTTGACATGACAACTAAATAGTATACATACAAGGTTAAAATACTCCAGCTTGTATTATTATTATTTTAATGTCAGTTTTTGACAAGGAGTATTATATTACATGAACATCTGTTACAATTTTTTTAATTTTTTTTTTTTATCCAAACACTATTTTATTATTATATTGAAGAGAATTGATTCAATGAATAATGTTTCAGGATCATGAAGAAACAGAGTAAAGAAATCAACTTCAGTATACCAAAGATAAAACCTGTGAAATGGAAAGGTTAGAAAATTATATTGCTGATCTCGTATGATTTCTTTGTTGGGATGACAGTCTGTATTCTGTATATTATGTTCCAAATTTTGTGTTCATAGATAAACATAAGATTGAGACATTTATTCTGATTGTCTGTTCCTGTGTCCATATTTGACACAGTAAGCCATAATTAAAGAGGCATTATGGGAGATTTAGATAAAGAGCTAGCCTTTCTTGCTATAATAGTTCGAAAATAGATAATGTAAAATGAATAATTTGAAAATTTCATTCAAATTACTCTATTGCGAATGAAGATATTAGCCTTTGAAGGTTTGACAAGACATGTGCAATAATTTCAACCACCGTACTGGTTGTTCGAAGCTAAGTCTCGCTCCTCCATTTTTAGCTTAAATCAAAATATGGCTGAACTGTTCTAATCTATTTAATATCGGAGAAATCCGATGGCATCAAGAGTTAATTATGGTTTGGATAAGTTAATTAATGTCTAATTAATAATTTAGATAACATTTCAGGCCTAAAGAAAGACCTGCAATAGGCAGATTTAGCTCTTGCATAATGTATGTTTAAGGAGGCATTATGGGAGATTAGATAAAGAGTTGACTGTTCTCGCTATAATAGTTAAAAAATAGATAACGTAAATAGAATATATTGAAAATATCAATCAAATTGCTCCACTGTCCACTCTGAACCGAGATATTAGCTTTTGAGTTTTAAGCCTGGCCTCGGTCATCATTACTAAAGTCAGTAGGATAAAAAACATAGTCTTGATTATCCATTTTTGGATTTAATCATCAATGAGCGTTGAGCAGCAGATCGGATTCAAATCCAATGAAAATCTGACACATATGATGACATCGAGAGTTGATTATGGTCTTGTCATTGTAATTAATGTCTAATTAATAGTTTATATAACATTTCAAGCCTAAAGAAAGACCTGCAATAGGCAGATTTAACTCTTGCATAATGTATTTTTAAGCCAAACAGCCGACTATGGATTAAAGATGCATCATGTAAGAGCTATTTATCTGCTTATTGTAGGTCTTTCTTCTAGTTCAAATGCTTATAATAATTATTATTTATAGATTTATTTACTTGCCAAGATCATAATCAACACTGTAGGTCTGATCGGATGGCTCGAGATATTTAATGGATTAGAACACACCTGTGTCATTTAATGATTTAACTTTAAAATTGATAATCAATACTTTGTTTTTTATCATAGCAATGATACTTGACAATCAAGACTATTTTGACTAAATCTTGTCAAAACTTCAAACAGTCATAACTTCACTCAGAGTAATGTAATTTGACATATTACAAATTACACGTAAGAACATTCATCTCTTTATCTAAATCTTACATAGTGCATCATTAATCATTTAAAACAAACATATATATATACGCCTGAAGGTTGGGTGTTCAATCCCTGTATTGGCCGAGAAAGTTCGTCCAGATTTTCTGGCGTGGTCCCCCCTTGTCAGTGATGCAGGACGGAAGGCCTGACAAGGACAGCTCTCTAGTCGTTCAGATGGAATGGAAAAATCGAGGTCCCGTGTACACATTGGCATGCACATAAAAGATCCCTTGACAGTTGGAATTCGATTTAAGAGTAGGTCGTAGTGCTGCTGTCCGGGCAAAATTTCCCTCATAGCACACTGTATGGCGTATGCCCGTCTTCATTAGTCCAGTTCGGGGCAGAACAGTAGTATGTTAAACCCCATTTCATTTCATTTTATATATATATCGAGGGTTTAGAACATAATTGTGATAAGTCACAATGCTTGATATATTGACTTATCACAATTATGTTCTAAACCCTCGATATACAGTAACAGTTTCCACCTCATTCACAAAAACAACTTGATTGATCTAAAATATAAAATGTCAAGTGTCTTGCTTTAGGTGGTTTTTATTCAGATTCAGTTAATCGGCGACTGAACTTCAGCCACATACTGTGGAGAGCGAAATTTAGAAACAAATTTTGTATGAATGTTGATTCTGTAGTACTTTTACAGATGTGTGTAAGCTAGAAATTCCTTGAATCTATGGTAATTATCACATGAGAAAATGTTGATTAAAAATAACCACTTGACCTCTTAGTTTTATTATTATAAGGCTATTATGTTATAATATGTCAGTCGATTCCCCAGTTGTACGTGACAAGGAGTAGGGTCGTCTGTCCAATCTTGTGGGTTTTCTCCAGGTCCTCCAGTTTCCTCCCACTGCTAAAGATCCCTACTCGCAAGCGAATTATTGAAATAAAATTGAACCATGTGTTAGTCCCAAAATGACCGAGTTTGTGTCAAGTGGACGTTAAACCCCATCTCTCTCTCTCTCTCTCTCTCTCTCTCTCTCTCAGGAAAAAATGAAGGGGGAACGGCAACACTCCCTTAAAAGAGTAGCAGAGGCGGGACAGGCCGGTAGATCTGTGTAGTTGCTGGATCATGCCAGCAAAGAGAGTAGACGTAAATGAAAATATACAAAATATGTTATATTGTATTTTATAGATAATCTACGAGAGGTTGAATTAACTAGTCGAGATGCTATAGATGTAATGAATATAGTTGATCATCAAGCTATGAATCATTCGTTTAAAGAAGATTGGACCACAGGAAAGATATCATTAGTAGAAAATAGTACACTAGAAGCTGAGTATAGGTTAGTAATGTATAGATTTATTTTTGCAAGGGGGTGGGGTGGATGGCCAATGGTTAGCATGTGCGCACTGTATCATAAGGTCTGTCATTGAGTCATCTGGCAGGGTTTCGATTCCCCAGTTGTACATGACAAGGAGTAGGGTCGCCTGTTCTAGCTCATAGGTTTTCTCTGGGTCCTCCGGTTTCCTCCCACTGCTAAAGACCCCTATATACGCGCAAGTGAATTATTGAAATAAAAAAGAACCATGTGTTAGTCCCGAAATGACCTAGTTTGTGCTGAGTGGAGTTAAAACATCTCTCTCTCTCTCTCTCTCTCTCTTTTTTCAAATGCTAAATTTACATATTGAGATATGTTTTTAGCATTGGAACTAGGTAGACCTGACAGAGGCATTAAATGCCAGTAGACATCATGACTAATGATAAGTGAAGGAGAACCTCACATAAACAAATAGAAACCCAGATGACAAACCCAAAGACAAAATACATCATACACAAACGTTGATAAACAATAAAAGTACTATCAAATCAAGTGAATGGATCCAGTACCAACTGTAATAACCTACTTCCCATACATTCCTAATAAAGGCCTTACTCAAAATGAAAAAAAGAATCATATTGAATAGCAATGGAAATCTTGTATTAAAAGGACTCAATTTGAATTGGGCAAAAACTAAAAAGTCAATCTGATTATAGTTGATGGTCTAATGGTCATTTTGTTTTACGAGATGACAGTCTTTTTGCATTCCAAATTTTATTTCCATAGATTAGGCTAGTCTAGGGGTTATATTTTGTTTTCATCGCTCTAGCTAAAAACCAAACTAAATCAAATTTGTTTTCCTGAAAAAAAAAATGATCAAATCTGAGAAATATTTAATTAGCAAGTTTCAAAGCTAATGTAATAGGTTGATATGTGAACAAAGTTTCATAAAGGTATCTTGAACGGTTTATAAAATAGGCCTACAAAACTGGTACACAAGGACGGATTGAGCCCACTTAAGTATCTCTCCCCTAACTTTGATTGGCGCAGAATAATTAGCAAACAAACTGACTTATATGTAATCTGCCTAAATGAAATTTCAATAATATAGAGTCTCTCTCATCAGTAACTGAAATAATACTTGAATTCTACACTTTAGTATGACCAAAATCAACTAGGTATATTTGTTATGTAAAAACTTATTCCTTATACTGTTGGTCTTTTTTCAGAGAAAAGAGAAAAGATTTGAAGGAAAATGGCCGAAATACAAGAGAACTCACAGAACATTATGGATTTCTATATGTCAAAGACCAATATTTAGTAGCTAAAATGGTCAAAGAAGGTTTAAAAACAAAGAAATCCGCCTTCAATCCAATAGGTATTTGATATATATATTTACTATGCTCATAAGATGCCATCATGATATCTAATTTTGCATGGTATCCTTATAAAGCTTGCATGACTTACAAGGCAGCTATTTTTATGGGTTGGAAATTTATAGTTTTCTGTGTACAGTCCTTTTTATATTTGTCACCATACTACCAAACCATAGGATAGACAGAATATATGCTGAATTTTTAAAAAAAATGCCTTTGTATTTAATATTATAGGAGATAACGAATTTGGTATCTATGTTTGTAAGCATCCAGATGTACAGCTAAAATTACCTGTTGGTAAGAAAGAAGAAAATGCATATATTATAGTATTTAAGGTAAGTACACACAGAGAGAAATTTATTTAATTTATCTGTATTTATACTGATATAGCACTCTGATGTCAAGATTGTAAACATACATATTTTGAGCTAATATCACAATCATCGTATTAAAATGGTAAACTACAAATTTCACCATATTTATTATTATTTTAGGTTGCATTCTTTAAATTATTTGAGCCATTTAAAATCATTGAATTTAAATTTGTTAGTTTCTTAGCCAGTCAGTCAGGTCTTGCAAATATGACCTAAAATAAGAGCCCTGTATGTAAAACATACATTATGGGAGATTAGAAAAGGAGCTGGCAGTTCTCACTATAATAGTTAAAAACTAGATAATATAAAGGGAATTTGCTGAAAATTTCAGTCAAATTTATCCACTCTGAACCGAGAATTTAGCGATTGAATTTTGGGCCTAACCTCAATCATCATTACTAAAGTCAGTTTGATAAAAGAACATAGTCTCTATTATCCATTTCATGATTAAATCATGAATGAAAGTTGTTCAGCAAATCGGATCCTAATCCAGTAAATATTGCAGGCTAGTGATGACATCGAGAGTTGATTATGGTCTGGATAAGTTAATGTCTAATTAATTATTTAGATAACATTTCAGGCCTAAAGGAAGACCGGAAATTGGCAGATTTAGCTCTTGCATAATGTATGTTTAAGCATACGAATTTGAATTTTAATCCTCTAACTTCTTAATTCTTGGGGAAAAAAAATGGAAATTCCAAAAATTGCTTCTTGTCCTACAAAAAACTCTTTTTTTTCCATTTAAATTACCCCCCCCCCCTTTTCTCTCTTCTTTCCAGTAATCATGTACAGTTCATCATTTCTAAAATAGCATTATTTTGTTTATTTCATTAAGATGATATATATTAGAATGTGATGTCAATAATTATTTTGTGTACTTGTTTCTTGCAGCTGCTACTGGGTCGATGTAAAGCTGTTCAACCTCAACAGAATGTGACTGGTGAACCTGTACCTAATTATGATTCATGTAGTAGTTCACTTATAGCGCAATCATGTGATCCTCATAATATTCTCTTCGCCAGAACTCAGGTACGTTCTATTGAGATCGGGGGGGGGGGGGGGGGGGGTGGATGGCTGAATGGTTAGCGTGCGCGTGCTGTATCAAAAAGTCTGTCATTGAGTCGACTGGCGTGGTTTCGAATCCCCGGTTGTACGTGGCAAGGAGTAGGGTCGCCTGTCCAACCTCGTGGGTTTTCTCCGGGTCCTCCGGTTTCCTCCCACTGCTAAAGACCCCTACGCGCAAGCGAATTATGTAAATAAAATTAAACCATATGTTAGTCCCGAAATGACCTAGTTTGTGTCGAGTGGACGTTAAACCCCATCTCTCTCTCTCTCTCTATTGAGATCGCTGTAACCCAAGATTACTTATTAATCCCAGATTTCTCAGGGTACCGTATATAGATGGACAGGCAACGAGTCCCGTTTGTTGGTTTCTTTGCTGCTCAGTGTCAACGGCAAATCAAGCAATGTGATTTTTGACATTGCGGGATTTTATACAGATTAATTTCTCGAACTCTTCCTTAGAATTTACGGTATTCTTATAGTTACATGGTAATTTTTCTACCCGATAAGTATTCCTATCCAGTAGTAATGAATTTATCCAGTTTATCCCAAGCATGAAAAAACTAACTCTGGTAATTAGAAATCAAGAAGAACTAATGTACTCAATGTCTTTTGTTGTCAGGAATAACATAAAATGTTTTTAACAAAACTAAACCATCAACAAAATGTGCTGATTTTGAAAACTGTTCACTGAAAATGTATTTTTTTTCAGATTTTTCTCTACGAGTATTCAGATGATGCATTACCAATGAATAGACCAAGACATTGTCTTCCGTACGCTGTCGTAAAATTTGTAAACAAAACAAACAAACCAAAGTCCTCGCCCTCGGCTATTTCTAGCATTTTCTCCATTACATCCTCTCCTGCTGTCGTACATCGAAGATTATCCTCTGATTCTACACCAGGATATAAACCAGGAACTTACGGTGCTAGAAACCGAGCACTTCAGAGAAACAGTTTAGATAGACCACCGATTCTTGCCAACCCCATATCCCCACCTGTTATGAATATAAACCGTAATATAGATAACCCTAGTGCCATGAACAGATTCCCGTTTCCAAACCAAGCTGGTTTATATGAAAATAGACCAGCTTTTTATCCTAGCACCAGCAGTAATTCCATCATTTCTAAAGAAGGCTTCACTGTATCTACAAGTCCATCTGACCATTTGGAAAAACAGAATCGCTATGGTAACATGGAGGAAGTGAGTAACCTAGATAGAGGTAATAATGGAGATCAAGTTAGTAATATAGATGGAGCCAACGATCAACAATACCAAGGTGAAGCAACCGCAAATAAACCAGATCAGAATGCATCCACCAACAGACCCCTTAATCCTTTGATGCGCAAGAAAAAGAAAGTTGGGGCTACTGTTAGTGACCCACGATTGTTTACTCCAATGAGACGTAATAATTTAGTGATAGAAAGATTAGATTATCCAACAGCGGACGTAGTAAATGCAGTGTACCCTGTAGCACCAGTTATAAAAACACCAGAACCTGTCCCACCACCACCACCAGTAGAAGAGGAAAATAAACCCATTGATAATAAAGCTGATATGCAGAAAATGTTAGAGACTGTTAATAAGATATTTGGTAAAGTTCCTGTATCTGATGAAACCATGGATACCAGTTTTGAAACGGATTCTAATTTTGATGATGATGATGAAAATATCAAATTTATCAAAGGTCCCCATACCGGTTATGATTTATCAGATTATGAACCGAGTCCAAAAAGTAAGTTTTATACAACCGACGATAGTAGTGTCAACAACCAGTCAGACCAAGACATGGACACTGATAAACCTAGAGCTCAAAACTCACCTCAAAGCAAACCAAAAGAAATTGGATACGTTCAAGATTTAGCTGTCCAGTTGCAATCTATGGGGGATTTGAAGGACGTATTATCTAAATTTAATTTTGGAAATGATACGGACCAACAATCTCAACAAAATTACAACCCAGATAAAAAAATTGAAAGAAGTTTTAGTGAAGATTATCCAAGAGGGCAATATTCTGCTGATAATTCTACTTCTAGACGATATAGTTGTGAAATGGGTGAAGTTGCTGATAAACTCATCGATAGATACAGCCAATTAGGAGGTGGGTTTTATACGAACAATAATTATGATAGTGACCAAGATAAACTTCCCAAGAATTTAGAAAACTTTAAAATACCAGGTCTGAATAGTCCTGGCAAATGGATAAATCCTCTGAGCAGAGATCATATCACTAATTGTTTCGGAGATAAAGATTATCGTAAAAAACCCTTTGGAATGCCGAACGACGGAGCACAGATTTCCCAAACATCAACTAATCAGCATCGAGGTAATGTAGATAATAGAAGTGGTTATTTTAAATCGCAGGATTCATATAAATCATCGTCGTCGTACCCCAACTCGGACCTGCCCAATTACACCCAGACGTCTAACGACAATCGCTATAACGTCAAACAGAACTTGAATCAAAAATTAATGGCTACTGATGTACCCCTTAGAAACAATAAAACGAATGTGTCTGTCATGGAATGTTATTCAACGGCACAATACAATGTGAAGTCAACCCCAACATCATATGTGACACCATCTTCATCTAAATTTGGCGACCCTCAACTTAAATGTAAGGAGCAGGACGGTGATATAAGTACTGCTGATGGTTTTAGCTCAGATAAAAATGATTTAGTAACTGATCTGAAGTCAGATAAAGAAGAACCTAAACCTCTAGAAGAAAAACTGTTTCAAGATCCGAAAGTTATTCTTTTAGATCTGGGTAGGGTAAGTAAATTATCTTTAAAATAAACCAGAAACCCCGACAGATAAATCACTTAAAAATACAATCAGTCATCCAGTGAAAATGTTTTTGGGGTGATGTTCGATCCCAGTGTTGACCCTGAAAATTCGTCTGGATTTTCCGGCATGGTTCCCACTTGCCAGTGGTGTAGAACTTGAGGGCCTTGCAAGCGACAGCGTATAGTCTTTTGAATGGGATTAAAAACCAAGGTCCTGTGTACACATTGGCATGCATGTAAAAGATCCCTTGACAATTGGAATTCGAAATCTAGAATACACTGTAGTGCCACTGTCCAGGCAAACTTTCTCTTACAGCACACTGGATGGTGTATGCCCATCTTCATTAGCCCAGTCGGTGCAAAACAAGAGAATTTTAAAATAGATGTCATTGATCCCGCACTGAGCCATCAATATCTTTACCCAATCTGATTAAAACACAGATCCTATTTCGTTTCCTTTTTATAGTTCAAAATTTCATTTTAATTGTCTTTACTACACTAGGATCTGGAGGAGTTGTTATCATTGACGTGTTCTGGATGATTTGAGGGATTAGCCAATGAAACAGTCTGTTACGGCGAGTTCTTGGCCTTTTAATGCACGGAACTGTGGGTAAACCACTAGTAACGTCAATGCTGAGTGATTAATCAATGTCCGACGTCATAGGGTCAAAAGCCACTCATTTGACCCCTGACGTGAACTCCCACTATAACTTGTCAGATCTTCATGTAGTGTAGGCCAACGAAAGTATAAAAAAATACGAAACGAAATATAGATCTGTATTTTAATCAGACTGTATTTTTACCTGTCAGTATTTTATAATTGATTAGAGTCGTTTATTTTTTTCAGATGAGTGAAATAATGGAGAGCGAGTGTGACGTATGTAAGAAACAACAAGATTTAATTATTTCTAATGTTCCTGAAAGTAAATCTAATGATGTGCGAAATTATCTCAAAGATAAAGACATCCAGATGAAATCTCCACTAATAACCAAAACAACTGATCTACCGGAAGAACCCCCTGTAATTGATTCTCATCTTCTTCAGAATGTTAAAGATATCTTAGATAAGTTTAATGTTAGTGGCTTGAGTGGACCTCAAGTTACTCAGTCTACTGAAGTTGTTAGTTCTAGAGACACTCAATCTCCACTACCTAATCAATCACTTCTTCCTTCTCAACCCCCATTCTCCTCTCAATCAACAATATCTACTCAAGCTCCATTCACTAAACAACTTCCGCTCCTTACTCCTCAATCAACAATTTCTATTCAATCACCCATTTCTATTCAATCACCAATCCCCACTCCATCACCAATATCTATTCAATCACCACTTTCTACTCAATCCCCATTCCCCACCCCATCACCAATCTCTATTCAATCACCACTTCCTTCTCAATCCCAATTCCCCATTCCATCACCAATATCACCATTCTCTACACAGTATCCACTTACTACTCCATCACCACTCACTACTCAATCACCACTCACTACTCAATCACCACTCATTATTCAATCACCACTCATTACTCAATCACCACTCACTACTCAATCACCACTCTCTAATCAATCACTACTCCCTACTAATTCCCTATTTCATACTCAATCACCACTCCCATCACCAATCTCAACTCTGTCGCCACTCTGTACCCAGTCACCAGTCTCAACTCAATCAAAACTCCCTACCCCATCACCAGTCTCAACTCTATCACCACTGTGTACCCATTCACCAATCCCAACTCAGTCTCCACTCTCTACGCCCTCTCCATTTATTACTCAGTCACTACTTTCTACTGTGTATCCTCTACCAACTCCATGTCTTGAACCTGTGTTAAAAAGTTCTGCGCCAAGTAGCGGCAGCTTGTCTTCAAATGAAGTAATCAGGGACAATCATAATTATTTACCATCAGTCACTGGATTGGAACCTCTCATAACGTACCCAATAAAAAGACATTCTTCTCAATTACAATATCCATTTGTTAAACGTTTCAAAAGTGATCATCCAGTAGATTCTGTTGAACACTCGGCCGAAACTGATGCTAAAGTTAGTGATTTAAACTCGCAATATATTCCTTTTATATCGTACCCTGTGTCTGCTTCCACACCAACATACGGGAGTACAGCGGATAAGAATGTGTACAAAACGGAACCCTCTGTAAATCCTAAAAAGGCAATCGGTCGTGTTTTCAAAGATTCAGCAGCTTCATCAACAAGTTCAAAGTGGACGCAATGGCATCAGTATATTGCCCAAACAAAGACATCTGCTGAGAGAAACGCGCAAAATAGTTTGAATACATCAGACAGCCGCTTGGAACAAAATGAAAACAAAGAGGGTAAAACGGAACAAAGTAAGGATGCACCTCAACCTAATAGACATTTTGGAGCCGAATTAGTGACACAGTCATCTGAAAAGGGAACTGAACCACCAGTCAAAAATTCAGAAATCCAGAAGAACTCTGTTGCTACCCACAAAACATCAAACATAGATTCTAGTCCTCTGTCTAAACATAGTGCTTTAAATAAACCACAAGAAATACAGCAAGAAAATGGCACTGAAACTCTCGTGAATAAAACTAGTCTAATTAAAGAAATCAAAATTATTCAAAACCTCTTGGAAAGACTTTCTAAAACATCCAAATCAGACTTTGTGAAAATGACGTGGGAGCTTCCTGCAGGTAAATCATTTTCTAAAGATGATATTACGCAATCTACACTCAAAACTGCTTTATTGGAAGTTGAGGGAGAACTTATCATGGGATTACATAGTAAATATTTCATGTATAGACCTAATGAACGAATCCCAAGTCCTGTATTGTTTGATCATGAAGTTAAATGTGTGTATGCTACTGGTGGCTGTTTTCTTTATCTCAATACTTTTATGTCTCAACGACTGTTTCAGTCTTTATTACAAATGAAGAAAAAGATATTGGATGTTTATTCCGAAAAACAGAAGGTCACAACTTCAAGTTCTAAAGTCGAATCGTTGAATGATCATTTGGATGCTTTGTTAACCAAGAGAAAATTACTACTACGAACACTCACTGGTTCGGTTAAAGAAGGACGGTTAAGACAATTAGAAAAATCTAGATGCCATTTTCTTATGTCTATTGAGTATATGAAAAAAACTCTACAAGATAAGGACACATCCAAGATGTCTTATCTTCATAATTTATTATCAGCTCTCAATGAACATGCTTTAATTGTACAAAGTGAGTTGGAAAGTCGTTAGAATAACTGCCAACTGTTTATATATATGTCTATACTTTTAACAAATCTTTTCTTGTTGTGTAAGGTGGGTGGGTGGGATGGCTGAATGGTTAGCGCATGTGGTTGTATCAAGGTCGGTCATTGAGTCAACTGGTGGGGTTTCAATTTCCAAGTTGTACATAACAAGAAGTAGGGTCGCCTTTCCAACCTCGTGGGTTTTGTCTGGGTCCTCCAGTTTCCTCCTACTGCTAAAGACCCCTTTGCGTAAGGGAATTATTGAAATAAAATTGAACCATATGTTAGTCCCGAAATAACCTAGTTTGTGTTGAGTGGGAGTTAAACCCCATTTCTCTCTCTCACTTGTTATGTAAGATTTAAAGAAAGAGCGGGCTGTAATAGTTCAACAATAGGTAATGAAAAATGAATAAATTGATAATTTCAGTCGCACTGCTTTAATCTGCACATGTGAAGTTTTGACAAGAAAGTAGCGTAAGCAGTCTCGATTGTCAATTACCATTGCTACGATAATAAACAAAGTCTCCATTTTACCATAGATATGGCAGACATTGTTGTCTAATCAACTCAATATCCCAGCCATCTGATGGTCTAGAGAGTTGATTATGGCCTTGTCCTGTGAATAAATGTTTTAAAAATAATTTTTATAACATTTGAAGCTAGAAAAAAAATCTGCAGTGGGCAGATTTAGCTCTTGCATAATCCATCTTAGTAGTCCCAGAAACTGATTGACCATACAATTCTATTAAAATACAACTAATGGATCAGCTGAGAAGCCAAAATACATCAAGCTTTATTTTATTTTCTATCCCGCCCCCCATCCTTTAATGTAGCCAGAGCTTACTGAGGTAGATATTCTGTTTGCTCTTATGAGTGCTATTAAAGAAATCCAATTCTGTATGTTTTCAACAATGTCTAAAACTCAGTCCTTCATGTTTATAAAATTGTGCGGGAGTCATAAAAAGCTCCTGATACCTTGAATATATGCAGTTTAAAAGTGAACAAAAACTGAAAGTAGTTTATTAATCTCAATATTTAAGGGATTTAGCTAATTTGCAGGAGTTTTTAATGACTCCTTCGAAAGACAGCCGACGTGCGTCGAGAGGAGCAGGAGCAAAGCTCCCCTTAAACGTGAAGGACTGAAAACTTGATGTATGAAAGTTTACATATATTTATGTAATGTTAAATTGTTTAAAACTTTTGATGCCTATGTTTTATATAGGACAATGTTACGTACAATTACATATCAAAATGAAGAGCAACTCACTCTTCTCAAATATTTAATTGAAGGATTAATAATAATATTAATTGGAAACCAAAATTTGAACTTTGGAAATCCAGTGAAATGATATGTTTAGTTAACCTAAAGAAGCTGTGTTGAATGATGTATTATAGTTAGATATATACTAATGTCTAAAAGAAAGTATACACTGTGCATTTTGTGCTGCATCAACCAAGGTCGTTTTTCCATGCTATACGGTATTTGGGTAGAATGTCAATTTTTTTCACATTTTTATTTTGCCTAGAAATGTTGAGTTTGGACGCAAGAGAAAAAAACAAAGATTTGCTTTATCAAATGTTTTTAATCTAAACAAAACTTAGTCATACTTTTAGTGTATATACTTTCTTTTGGACATCAGTATATGTAGAATTTGTTCTGTTTGTACAATATATAGTATGGTGTGAATGCCAAGCCAAATGTATCCATAGATAGTTTACAACACAATCTGATTAAAACACAGATCCTATTTTCTTTTGTTTTCTTATAGTTCAGAATATTGTTTTACTTGTCTTTACTACGCTAGGATCTGGAAGAGTTGTTATATAACCTTCGTTCTTGATGGTGTGAGGGATATTAGTCAGTGAAACCATCTGTTACGGCAACTTGTTGGTGTGCAATGCACGGAACTGTGGGTAAAACCACTAGAAACGTCAAGCTGATTGATTAATCATAGGGTCGAAAGCCTCTCCTATGACCCCTGACGCGACCTCCCAATACAACTGGTCAATGAAACCATATGTTACGGCAACTTGTTGGCGTGCAATGCACTGAACTGTGGGTAAACCACTAGAAACGTCAACGCTGATTGATTAATTAATCATAGGGTCGAAAGCCTCTCCTACGGCCCTTGACGCGACCTCCCAATACAACTGCTCAGATCTTCATGTAGTGTAGGCCATCGAATGTATAAAATATACGAAACGAAATATAAATCTGTATTTTATTCAGATTGAGATAATTTATATTATATATATATATATATATGTGTGTGATTAATTATGTACTATGTACATTTCTGTAAGAAAGAGTTTTACTTAGTTGTTAACTTGAGGATATTTCATTATTCAGTATTAGAGGAAATTTAATCATGAACAATTTATTAATTAATTTGGTTATAAATATAAAACCTACTGTGATTTATAGACAATAAGCCAATTTTGCAAGAAAATTATTAAAAATAAAGTCCTTTGACCATTGTGAAAAAAGTTTAAAAGCACCCCTGCAAAACCTTAATTTGATGAGGGAGTATATTGCTGATGGTTCTGTCAACATGCGTTTTAAAATAACGTCCTACTTTTCTGCACCAACTGGGATAATGATAATGAAGTTGGCAGACTTTTTAAGATGAAGTTATTGTGGTTGTGACTTAATTACATAACACTATACTGTCTTTCGTTCTTCATTTTATGTTTATATTAATCCTATCTTCGGCCATTTGTTGCATGATCTTAGTTCAAGTAAGATATACCCTTAATAAAAAAATTATATTATGTTAAATACGGTAGATCTATGGTCTTGTTATTTCTAATTATAAAGTGTGATAAACATGAAGATTGCCACTAGACAGTCGAGAGTATTAGTAAGCAGTTCTTATCGACACTGCCGGTGATGCCATCTACATGGAAATAATGATTAAACATACGGTTGCCATGCAAGATACGCCCACATTTTGCAAGAGATGGACAGGAAACAAGTTTTGTAAAAACTGGGGCCATAATACAGGAAGTTAAGGCCCGATATGCACGAACATATCTAAAGGAACCGGGATCTGGGGTTATAAACATACATTTCAAGTTTCATCAAAATCATAAAAAAAATGTGACCTCTAAGAGTCACAACCAGGGCAGGGACCATAATCCATGAAGTTTCGGTTCAATACATGCCAATATCGAAAGGAACCGAGACCTTTTGGAGGTCAACCTATATTTCAAGTTTCGGCAAAATCAGATAAAAATTGTGACCTGTAGAGTGTCCACAAATTGTGGACGGACGTGCAGGGGCGAGGATATTAATATACGTCCACATGAAAATGCATAAAAATATATATCTAAATCCAAATGTGAAAGTGCATTGAATGATGCTATTAATACTCCAGGTTTTTTTTTAACCTTTTCTGAAAGAGAATATATTCATTGTAGACATATTATACATGTATATAGTACCTGGTCCAAAATTCATTTGGACACTCTAAATTAAAGTTGTCATCTGATTGAATAGAAACTTCCACCCAGTGTTAATATTCATGCGAATACTTATAAACATAACAGCTAAAATTATCACCCGATTGGCATCCCCCCCCCCCCACACACACACACACAAACACTCCCCTCCCCAACCCATAAAACAAACATGTAGTAAGGGTAGTGAACATATTCTGGTATTTAGCTAGAATATCGACCAAGTTAACCCAATTAACACTCAACTTTATATTATAGAATTGTACTTAGATTTGCTAGGGCAGCGGATTTTTTTTTTATAAAAAAAGGAGTCTGAACACAAACTAGCATGCAATCTTTCATCCTGCGGCTTGAATTCTCACGATACTTTTTTAAAAATACGTGTAGGGACTACCTATTACATATCTCTACACAATATCACCTACCGACATACCAGTAAGGAATTGAGTTCTGTTCCCAAGAGAAATTAACGATAAGACCAAACGTAATAAACTATTTATCAGTTTCAGTAATTAATTTCTTCCTATTCTTGTGCTCATCACGTATAAAAACCACTTCTGGCAATTCAAATTTATATTATCTATGCCTGCTTCAGGTAGATGAAGTTGTTAAAATCGTTGTTTATATTTATAGCAATATTCAATATTGGATGTGTACATATTATTATGGGAGATGGGGGCGATAAAAGATATAGCATGATACAGCAAGGATAAAAATCATTTAATTTTTGAGAATTCTGAAAATATTTTAGTTTCATTACATAAAGACATGTATTGATATAAGCTCCTTAGAGCCGTTTTCGATATGACCTGTTACGTTGATGATACAAAGAGTTCTATTATTGGAGATTTGTCTGATGATGACAACAATCTTGATGAGCCTGGAATCCGCTTAACCGATATTCTTGACTGTATCTCAGAAAGCTATCCGATCAGAATGGATCAGCCTGGAGAAGAAGAGAATGACACGGGTAAGACGGATATCTGTAATTTTCTACCAACGACAGAAGATATTATTACAGATCATATTGTACAGTGTGACAACCAGAGTTGCAGCCGTGAACTTAATTGTCGTCTGTTACTCACAGAAAACACTAAAAATCAAAACATGTCGCTTGGAATACCAAATAAATCAAGACAACGCAGACACACGGAATTGGAAGGCGATTATTGGAAATTAAAATTAGATTTACTTGGATTACGCAATGTTATAAAGAAACCCGTTAAGGAAAATTCGACTTCAAATGAAATCAATATATTTGCTATCGCAGATTACGTCACGCCATCTCCTACACCAGATTTATCCGAAGATGTGCGAAGTGTCGACCATTTTCAACAATATATGGGCAATCTGCAACAAAAGGCAGGAACATTTTCAGCACCACCAGAAGGTAGAGATAAAGTAGTTGATGTGAGGACCAAACAGCCTAAACAACCCGTCAGATTCTCATTACATGTTGCCGAAATCAATATTTAATACAGTTGAATATTCCGCTTTATCCAGATATTCATGCCCAAACATCCTGAAGTTTTCTTCACCTTTCCGGATCCAACTAAAACAGAGTTGGATATGTCACTTCATCCGATATTCAAGCCCAAACTTCAAGAAGTTTTCTTCACCTTCCCGGATCCAGCTAAAACAGTTCTACATTTCAAGACCTGTGTTGTATCTTAATATTGGTTCAGTTGAATGTGTTTCTGATATTCCCGTGTTCAAACATTTAAGAAACTCATTGACGAGGGTGTGAATAAAGACAATTTTTAAACGTTCATAATGTTAAATCATCGAATGAGACACGTGTAAATTTAGGTACCGGTATTATACTTTAAGTGATAGACTATTGAAGAGTCGATTCACTTTTACCAAAATATTTGAAAGTAAAATACTGCAGTAAAGTAATACAATATTATTTGGTGTCTGTACAATATTGTATTGTACGATTTTAAAATAGTTTTTCGCTTGAGGTGTAATTTAACAAATATTGACGAAGGTTTCCCCTTGTTTTTCACTTAATACAATCTGATTAAAACATGGATCCTATTTTGTTTCGCTTTTTTTATAGTTCAAAATTTTGTTTTACTTGTCTTTACTAGACTAGGATCTGGAAGAGTTGTTATATAACCCCCGTTCTGGATGATGTGAGGGATTAGCCAATGAAACGATCTGTTACAGCGAATTTTGGCCTGAGATGCACGAAACTATGGGTAACCCCCTGGAAACATCAGTGCTGATTGGATAATTAAATGTTTGACGTCATAGGGTCAAAAGTCGCTCGTGTGACCCGTGACACGACCTTCCACTACAACCGGCCAGATCTTCATGTAGTAGAGGCCATCGAAAGTATAAAAATAAACGAAACGAAATGTAAAATTAAATCTGTATTTTAACCAGATTGCATTTAATACAGAGTCCTGTATGGATTCTAAGAAAAAGAAATCCAGTCCGGTTCTACTATGGATCATGGATTTCAATTCAACACAGTGTAGATTTTGAGTGGATTCTGAAAACAACAGTACAACGTTTCTGCACCTTATCCAAACTGCTTGGTAAGTTTCAACCAAATTTGGTAGATAAGTTGTCTAGGTGTTCTTGATCTTATTCAGATTTGTCTAAATAAAGTCGGTAGGGTCTTTGGAAAAGAGAAAGGGCAACTAAAGGGGAAAACAGATATTTTCAGACATTGTCAACATCTTGTCAAGGACAACCTGATTTTGATATAGGCCTGTTGATTTGTGATGTTTATAGAGATATGATCAAATAAAGTTGCTAGGTTCCGTATGGATTAGTGTTCATTTGTCTCCTGGGGCTTATGCAGGGACACCCAGAAACGGTAAATAAAGGCAATTTCGACTTTTTGTACTAAATCGGTTGATGGATTTTTACCAAATTTGGTAGTTCGGTTGCCTGTTTGCTCAAATGATGTAGCTCGGACCCTTAGATATGTTAAATGGGATATTTACACATTTTTTTTTTTACTGTAAAGCTTAATGGATTAGTGCCACATTTGTTATTTATATGGTTCGGTCCATTTATGGTACAAATTTAAATATTTAAGAATAAATTTAATAGGCATGCTGCATGGGCAATGTATACTCAGCCAAATTAAAAACTTGACACTCGGGATTTTTGGGACTAGATTTTTAATATTCGGTTTATGGCAACTATTTTAGTGTTATGTTGTGCACAGACGACCTTGACATCAACAGAAAGCAAGAATACGCCTCGCCGAAAGTCCTTGACATTGATAACGTTCGTGATGTCACAGTACCCCCCAAAATGAAATTCACAGACTTGGAGAACAATCGGAATAAAGTGTTTAGTAACGGCTGTGGCCTCCTCTAGCGTCTCGTACTGCCACACAACGTCTTCTCATGGATCTCAGAACATTAGTAAACACTACCCGAGGAAGACGTCGCCACTGCTCAGCAGGAGCATGTTGAAGGTCCTGCAACGTCAGTGGTGGATTAAGGTCGAGGCTAAGCGACGGCCAATCCAGGACTTGGACACCGGCATTTCTTATAAAATTCTGGGTAGCAATTGCTATATGGGGTCGAGCATTGTCTTGTTGAAACGTTAGTCCAGGCCCATGTCTCTGCATAAACGGAAGAAGAATAGGTTGCAAAATCTGACCCCTGTACTGGACAGCATTTAAGTTCCCTTGGACAACAACAAGAGGAGAACGTCCATGTGCACAAAAAGAACCCCAAACCATGACGCTGCCGCCACCAAATCGGTCAACTTCTCTGACGCATACTTGAGCGTAACGTTCACCTCGTCTGCGGTACATCGGACCCTGCCATCGGCAAATCTCAAAGTGAATCGAGATTCGTCACTATAAACAACCGAATTCCACTGTATTTGAGTAAATCTTATGTGTCTTGTGGCCCACACAAGTCGGTTACGGCGATGAAGAGGTGTCAATATTGGTCCATTATAGGGCCTCCGAGCTCGAAGACCAGCAGCCTGCAAGCGATTTCGAACAGTTTGTGCAGTTACCCTTCCACCAAACATCTCTCTACTTGTGGAGGTTGCAGTGACAAATCTGTTTCTAAAATGACGTAATCGTATTGCTTGATCTTCCTGGAGTGACGTCACACGTGGCGCTCCCGCCCTTGGGCGGTCGGCAATAGTTCCAGCTTGAAGCACTCGCATTCTAAGATTAATTATTGTCTGGCGTGAACAATTAAAGGCTCTTGCAACAGTGACCACAGACTCACCAGCATAGAGCCTACCTATAGCACGTAGACGTTCTACATTTGAAAGGTGCGGCATTTTCTAACAAAGATGAAAATAACAATTTTAATTTGTTTTTCCAGTTCAAGTTACGTGTGCGTATTCAGTTTAAGCAAACTTGCATCGATTGACCTCACGAGTTTGTGTTTGCACGTGTTTTTCATCTTTATATGCTCAAAAGTCACGTGATCCACGTGACTTTACAATTTTATGAAATTAAAGGCTTCTTACTACTTACTATCGTTAGAAACACCTTAAAATTTATTTGACTTACCAGAAAAAGAAATTTGTTGAAATTCATCAGTGTCAAGTTTTTAATTTGGCTGAGTATATATCCTGAATTGCTTTAATGAAGTTGTTCAGTCTGTAGGGAAGATATGACCTGTTATGATAAATCATTGATAAGTCATGTGTTGAAGGGGCAGCTGGCTCGTTAGTCTGGAGGTCGCGTGTTCGATCCCTGCATTGGCCGAGAAAGTTCATCAGGATTTTCCAACGTGGTTTCCCCTTGTCAGTGGTGCAGGACGGAGGGCCTGCCAGGGACAGCTGTCTAGTCGTTCGGATGGGCCACACCTTACTATGAGAGACAGAGAGTAATGGGGTTTAACGTACACTCGACACCAACTAGGTCATTTCAGGACTAGCACATGGTTCAATTTTATTTCAATAATTCGCTTTAGCAGTGGGAGGAAACCGGAGGACCCGGAGAAAACCAATGAGGTTGAACAGGCGACCCTACTCCTTGTCACGTACAACCGGGGATTCAAAACCACGCCAGTTGACACAATGACACGCCTTATGATACAGCACTCACATGCTAACCATTTGGCCATCCAACCCCTCAACTTACTATGAAAAGAAAACTATATTACTTATGAAAAAAGAACTGAACTGAACATCATATACCATTACTTTATATATAATTTTTATGATACAATATAATATATTTATATATACAACATATGTAGGTGTAATATATAATACAATGATATATATAACTGTAATAACAGTGTGAAAGACTAAACAATTTCATATATCTATATGTGGGAATATTAAAGATGCAATATGTAATATTTAGATAAAAGCTGGTCGATCCTGCTGTAATAGTTTAAAAATAGATGATGAAAAATGAATATTCAAATTTCAATGAAATTACTTTTCTTTTAGGGGAAGTAATGAATATTGAAAGTTTTGACTAGAAATAGTCTGGATTGTCAAGTATCATTGCTACAATAATAAACAAAGTCTCGATTTTCCATGCTTTAATTTCATGCTGTCCATTTTAACATTTAATATCCTAGCCATCCGATGGTTTAGAGCAGTGATTCTCAACCAGTGTGTCGCGAGATCTTCCTAAGTGTGCCGCGAAATTTTGAACGGCACACTAAGAAAATTTCTCACTAAAGAAGCCAGCTATTTGACTGATGAAATTTTAAACACTGCAATAAAGTAAGTTCATAGGTGTGTTTTTCTTTATTTAGTTTGTCATTCTATGGTTGTATGCCGTCTATGACTTGCCATGTTTTTATTTTGCAAAATTCAAATATTTTTCATTAATATTTAGCCAGGTGTGCCACTATTTTTCCATGTGATCCAAAGTGTGCCGTTGACAAAAAAAGGTTGAGAACCACTGGTTTAAAGAGTTGATTATGGGCTTGCCATGCGAATAAATGTCTAAATAATAATGTATAAAACATTTGAATTGAAGCCAGAAAATAGACCTGCAATAGGCATATTTAACTCTTTAATGTAGAAATAATAATTCTACCAGCAGTTATATATTCAGCGTTAGTGATTGTATCATTTGTTTATTTCTATTGTAGTATATCATTGTGATAACATTATAATACTTGTATAAATATTCATTATGTTGTTATCTATCACATGTAATATTAAACCACAATCACTGCTGTACACGTATACTATATAAAAAGCGAATTTCTGTGGCAATCTTAAAATCCAATCTGATTAAAATACAAATCTTATTTTGCTTTGTTTTTTATAGTTCAAAATTTCGTTTTACTTGTCTTCACAACACTAGGATCTGGAAGAGTTGTTATATAACATACAAGTGAGGGATTAGCTAATGAAACGGTCTGTTATGGCAAGTTCTTGTGTGCAATGCATGGAACTGTGGGTTAACCACTCGAAACGTCAACGCTGATTGATTAATCAATGTTCGACTTCATAGGGACAAAAGCCGCTGGTAAAACCCCTGACGCAACCTTCCACTAGAACCAGTCAGATCTTTATGTTGTGAACGCCATCGAAAGTATAAAAAGACAAAACGAAATATAGATCTGTTTTTAATCAGATTGTCTTAAAATCCTATTGTAAATTTATGCTGAAGCATCAAAATATTTATCAATTAAATTTGCTACATCATCAACTGTGTATTTCATATATTTTTCAGGGTTTTTAGTAAAGTTGAGATTAGTATATTTATCAAGAAACATTTTATAACGTGGGCAGATATACTGTTTATTTTCTTCCTTTAATGCATGACGTAGTTCTGGATCTGGTATGGCATAACCTTTCTGTATCTTATAGATTTCATCTAATTCTTTATTAAAACCCTGTAATATATAGAGATTGTTAATGAAGTAAAAAAACAAAAGCCTGGATAAATTTGAGTCAAAGGCAGTCATTTTTAGACTATGGTACAACTATTTTTCAATAATTCGCTTGCATGTATTCAGAATTCAGCAGGAGGAAATCAGAGGACCCAGCGAAAACCCACAAGGTTAGACATCGACCCTACTCCTTGTCACGTATAAGATTGGGATTGAAACCACGCCACTTGATTCAATGACAGACCCTTATGATCTAAAGCCCAGATATCAGACCCATCAACCATCCAATTCCCCCTTCATAATTAGATATGTTAATGCCTGGTTTCTCTTTCTACTCATATCATATAAATTATAATAAGCTTATCGTGAAAGCTCCATTCCAAATTGTCTCCCCTTTGACCACTACAAATTTTGGTCTGGACAAAATCAATTATGTACATCTTAACTGCCTGCTCACACACTGACTTATAGGATAAATTCTCAATCCACCAGTTAACAATGCATCAAATAGGGTCAACATATTACTTTTCTACATCAGTTGCCAATGAAGCCACTGCAGCCTACTCGTGATCTTTAATATAGTGTCAAAGGTATATAGGGACCTTGTTATTCATCCCATCCAAATAACTAGGCACTTTCCCAAGGACTCTGTTCTGCACCACTGGCAATTAAAATGAAATGGGGGTTTAATGTCCTACTGTTCTGCTCCAACAGGGCTAATTAAGACAGGTATACACCATACAGTGTGCTATGAGGGAAATTTTGCCTGGACAGAGGCGCAGAGGCCTACTCTTATATCGAATTCCTATTGCCAAGAGATCTTTTACGTGCATGCCAATATGTACACGGCCGGGATCTCAGTTTTTCGTCCCATCTGATTGACTATACATTGTCCATGACCAGGCCCACTGTCTTGCACCACTGACCATTTGGAACCACACGGAAAAATGCTGATGAACTTTCTCAGCCTACTAAAAATTAAACAAATACTTACAGTAAATTTATCTTTGATATTTTGTCTGTCTTTGTCTTTGAGCTGAAATAATTCAAAATATTACACTTATGTAGATTTTGGCAGGAATAATCTCAAGCAGAGAGAGAGAGTTTAATGTCCACTGAACACAAACTAGGTCATTTCGGGACTAACATATGGTTACATTTTATTTCAATCCTTTCCTTGCGCATAGGGGTCTTTAGCAGTGGAAGGAAACTGTAGGACCCCGAGAAAACCCACGAGGTTGGTAAGGTGACCCTACTCCTTGTCTAGTACAAGCAGGGAATAGAAACCATGCCAGTTGACTCATTGACAGACCTTATGATACAATGCACATAACCATTTGGCCATCCAACCCCCACCCCTCAAGCATAAAAGTCCAGTTGTTAAAATAAGGCAAAACTTGGCACCAGAGTGATCGTGCACATTAAAATGGAAACCATGTTAAATATGCCTGAAATTCCTGGAAGTATAAAAGATTGAGATATATAAATAAACTAACCTTGGCAGCTGGATCTTGAGCTCTCTGTATAGATATTGGTTTATCTACTTCTAATAAGTAATGTAATACTTTACTCCAACTATAATAACACAATATAGTAACAATAACATCTAGCAATTCACTCATAGTGTGAAATATATAAGCTGGCCACTTTCCTAGCCACGGTTTTGTTTCACAAATCATATATAAGACTTACATAACAGGCTTAACAAATGTTTACTAAACAACACTGTATGTGATATTATATATGCATTGTAAAATGGGTTGAAGTTATATGTGTGAGAAATGTTTCAAATAAAAAATGATTTTTTTTACCAGAGATTTAATTTAACAAACCTTTGTGAATAGAATCTCTTTTGTACTTGAATCTGTTCTAAGTAAAAACCTTCAACTTTATCATTCCACATCAACAAAAGTTTTAACAAACCGGATCTAAAATACAAAATAATACCTTAATTTCATTTTAAAAACTCAAAAGTTTAAAGAACAAAAAATTCATCCTAGCATTACATTTAACAACTCATACAAAACACAAATTAAATGTAAAAAATAAACCAACATTTCATTCTGTAGTATTGTTCAGTTCTAGTAATGCATAGTATGAGATTGGTCAACCACAGATCAATCTACCAATCAACTTTCAGCAAATTTGATGGAAAAGCTCTGATTATCCAGCCATAAGATTATCCAGCCATCTAATCATGGCCAAAGGTACTATTATTCATAATAACAGACAGCTTTATGGATGACATTCACTAGGTTTATTAACTGCAACGTTTCAATGAGGTTACTCATATTGCTTGATAACGGTGAGAGTAACCTCATTGAAACGTTGCAGTTAATAAACCTAGTGAATGTCATCCATAAAGCTGTCTGTTATTATATATCACTTTCACTAAATGCCATTTAAAGATACTACTATTATTCAGTCATCACAGTCAAAATTCAGTGTAATAAACCGTTGAATTGTAAATTTATGTTATTTTTCCTGTTTAAATACAACAAACATTTCATTATTAGATCTTACCTTTTGATTGATTTCAGAATATAATTAAAATTATTTAACATGAATATTGGTTTTAAAGCTGGATCACCATATGTTTCTGCTTTATTAGAAAGATTTAAACCCAAGGCTGACAATACTCGAGCTGAAAACAGATCACAAAGTGTATATTTACTAACAATAACTATGTACTAATCACTTGCAATCCAAATCTACATCCCTAAAAACCCTATTTGTATTAATATATAATGTTTCTGTTTATTAAAGTTTTCCTGCTTTCCTTAAATCTATAATAAATCAATTTGTAAATAATCAAAAATGAAATGAAATAGGGTTTAACGTCCCACTAGCCTGATGAAGACGCTCATACGCCATACAGTTTGCTATGAGGGAAATTTTGCCGGACAGCGGTGCTTTGACCTATTGACAAGGGTTCTTTTACATATTTTTTGTCTCATCCGAACAACTATACACTGTACCTAGCCAGGTCCTTTGTTCTGCACCACTGACAAGAGGGAATCAAGCCAGAAAATCCAGATAAACTTCCTCGGCCAACATCGGGATTGAACACAGGACCTCCTGGTTAGCGAGTCAACTTCTTACTCACTGAGTCACCGTGGCTCCCAAACAAACAGATAAAGGTGACATGCGTGTAAGATGAACGTAAGGATGAGTTTCCCCTTAAGATCTAAACTGATAGACACTTTCTATTAACATAACGTCCTACTGGGCTAGTTAAGATGAGCATAAGCCATGGATTTTGCTATGAGAAAAAATTTGCCAGGGCAGTGGCACTATGGCCTACTCTTGTATCGAATGAGAAAAAATTTGCCCGGGCAGTGGCACTATGGTCTACTCTTGTATCGAATTCCAACTACCAGGGGATCATCATTTAAATGTACACCGATGTGTGCACTGGTCCTCATTTTTTGTCCCATCCAAATGACTAGACAGCTATCCTTGTCAGGCCCTCCGACATTCACATAACGATAAAATTACAAATAACATACTCATATAGTCAGCTACTTTCAATTTACATGTATCAGGTGTAATATTGGCTGCTGGAGATGCCTGCTCACCTGAAACACAAATTTAAAGATACATTATGGGAGATTTGATAACGAGTTGGCAGTTCTCACTATAATAGTTAAAAACTAGATAATGTAAAGGGAATTTGCTGAAAATTTCAGTCAAATTGATCCACTATGAACCGAGATCTAAGCGGTTGAAATTTCCGGCTAACCTTGTTCATCATTACTAAAGTCAGTACGATAAACAGCATAGTCTCGATTATCCATTTAATCGTTAAATCGTGAAGGAAAGTTATGCAGTAAATCAGCTAATAATCTACTAAAGATCGCAGGCTAGTCATGCCATCTACAGTTGATTATGGTCTGGATAGGTTAATTAATGTCTAAAGAAAGACCTGCAATAGACAGATTTAGCTCTTGCATAATGTATGTTTTACAACTGTAGCAATAACAAACATTTTATAACATAAAATATATCATATTTCAATCATCATACTCTTGATGGTATTATTAGGTATTTCTTTAAGCGGCATATAATATATATATAATGTCTATATTTATGAAAATACTTGATGTTTTACATATATGTTATCATTTGCTTGATAAAGACGAGAGTATAATTGTCGAAATGTTGCATGTTAATAAACCAGTAATTGTTATTCCATAAATAGTGTTAAGTGTGGTATTATGTATTATTTAGGTAGGGAGTGAAATGACACAGGTTAGTGAGCTGAATGTCAATTTCTTTATAAGCCTCTTTTCATATTTGACAAGGATACAGTAGTTCACGGTACAGAACAGAATCTTGTTGACTCTTCATTAAGGTCATTTTAAGACTAACACTCAGTTACTTTTCTTCAAATTCCAGATGCCCAAAGATCTTTTATGTAAACCTTGATTTTTTGGCCCATCAAGGAAGATATTAATATAACATCACTCCGTGCTCTGTGTCTTCTTACATTTGGGGAAATAGTATTAAGTCACTGAGCCGCAGGTTGAATGAAAATTAATTTTTTTTTGATGGACATGGCCAGATGAGAATATTAAACACATTCAGATAATTAATTACCATGCATTAATAACATAGCTCCAGCTGTTTCACCATATTCTTTTAATTGTTCTAAGAAAATGATAGTCTGAAATATAACAAATTTAGCAATAATTGTGATTTTCAAAATAAATGACACAGGCCATAACTGTCTAACTATGATAACTAACAGTAAAACAATATATACAAGTTCAGTCATATTATTACTTTGTAATCCCCTTCAAGATAACCCCTTATCAGTGATGCTGGGCGGAGGGGCTGACAAGGACAGCTGTCTAGTCGTTCGAATGGGACGAAAAACCGAGGCCCTGTATAAACATTGGTGTGCACATAAAAGATCCCTTGACAGTTGGAATTTGATATAAGAGTAGGCCGTAGTGCAACTGTCGGGGCAAAATTTCCCTAATAGTACACTGTATGGCATATGCCCGTCTTCATCAGCCCAGTTTGGACCAAAACAGTAGGATGTTAAACCCCATTTCATTTCATTTTCTTCAAGATAACTGATCAATGTTTAACTTTAATACAGACAACTATCTGTCTTGTAGTCAAATTAAGATTAACTGTAATATAGAAGTCAAATGAGTGTTATTGTACAGCATACAATAGATAATATAATTTACAATCACCAACAACATTCATCACAAACTGTTTGGTATTTGGAAGCAATTACAATACCTATCACTTCGACCATTCCCTTGGTATAGAATGAAATACTACTAACTAAAATTTACATGTAATTCCTTATTGCTGGTGATATAATAAAATTTAATATATATGACAGCAAAACTACCTTAAGTGTTATTGTGACTCTACTGGAACACTAAAATTTCTAGATATTTACATTCCTTTTATTTCCTTTTAACAATAAGCTTCCAAAGTCTATTATATTAAAGATATTAACTTACATGATTAGCTAATTCATGAACTGTTCCATCTCTTGGCATATTCGATGCTTTATCTGGATCAATCTATTGATGAAATATAAAATAAATATTATGAGAGGTGGAATACCTTGATGGTTGACCTGAGGCATCTTTTTGTAGGCAAAAGAGAGAGAGAGAGAGAGAGAGAGAGAGAGAGAGAGAGAGAGAGTTTAACATCCACTCCACACAAACTAGGTCATTTCAGGACTAACATATGATTCAATTTTATTTCAATAATTCGCTTGCGCGTTGGGGTCTTTAGTAGTGGGAGGAAACATCCACTCCACACAAACTAGGTCATTTCAGGACTAACATATGATTCAATTTTATTTCAATAAATCGCTTGCGCGTTGGGGTCTTTAGCAGTGGGAGGAAACCGGAGGACCCAGAGAAAACCAAGGAGGTTAGACAGGCGACCCTACTCCTTGTCATGACAACTCGGGATCTGAAACCACAGCCGTTGACTCAATGACAGACCTTATGATATAGCATGCACACGCACATGTTTCAAAATGTGTATGTTAGATAAAGTCTTATGGATGATTATCTATGTGTGATTATCCTGTGTGATCTGTGAAACACAGATTTAACAAAGACAAGAGAGTATATGCTTGAATCTATTAGATGTTATTTGTAGATCATAATGGAATGATAACATGAGATCCCCATCCCAAACTTACCCTAATACTGTCTGTGAATTCTTCTAATGCCTTAGCTCCCTGTAAATAAAATAATAATCTTTATTTTAATATCTTCGATCCAGTCTGAAGGACTGTTTAATGAATTACAAGAGAGAGAGAGAAATGGGATTTAACGCCCACTCGACACAAACTAGGTCATTTCGGGACTAACACATGGTTCAATTTTATTTCAATAATTCACTTGCATGTAGGGGTCTTTAGCAGTGGCAGGAAACCAAAGGACCGGTAGAAAACCCACGAGGTTGAACAGGCAACCCTACTTCTTGTTGTGTACAACTGGGGAATCGAAACCACGCCGGTTGACTCAATGAAAGACCTTATGATACAATGCGCACGTGCTAACCATTCAGCCATCCAACCCCCCTGAATTACAAGACATTATACCTTACTTTCCTTCCAATCCATACCACTGTAACATCAAATGATGTGTCTTTAAATATGTCTAAATGTCATCATTCAATTTGTTCCCAAAATAAACAATAATAACTTACTGTGCTGTCTAAAGTTGATAAAAGTGAAGCTAATTTAGCTCTTGTAGGTGCTTGACATCCCTAGAAAAAAAACAATGATTAATATCAGTTATTTATAAATCTGTAATATTTGTCATTTTACAAACTTTCTAGTACTAGGAAAGTGTAATAGATAACATTATACATTATACCACTACCTTTAACGTCCCCTCCACACAAACTAGGTCATTTCGGGACTAACACACGGTTCAATGTTATCTCAATAATTCACTTGCGCGTAGGGGTATTTAGCAGTGGGAGGAAACCGGAGGACATGGAGAAAACCCACGAGTTTGGACAGGCGACCCTACAACCGCGGAATCGAAACCACGCCAGTTGACTCAATGACAGACCTTAACTAATAACTCAATGACAGACATGCACTAATCCTTCGGCCATCCAAACCCCCTCTATTAATCTTTAACTAAAGGTATCAATGAAATCCTTATACGGCATTTAGTAACTGAACATATGATATAAAACACAAATCTATATGGAAAACAATCATTGGGTTTATTTCACACTACGTTTCAACAAGTTCCTCTTGTCGTTCTCAAGTAAGTAATGACAGTATATAATTTGATTTCTTGCTATCATACTGTCATTACTTACTTGAGAACGACAAGAGGAACTTGTTGAAACGTATTAATAATTGAATCAACGTATAATCCAAGAGTTGCAACCAGCTTGAAGCATATGATTTGTCATTTTATTCATTCTATGCAGATAATCTCTATAGTATTGTCTGGGCTGTATATGGACGAGAACAGACTGTGGTATAACATCAACTCGAGCTAACTAGTGGGGACTAAATCTTTTATCTAATATTTATATTTGTACCTATGGTTCATTAACTGAATAAAACCAATGAAGTTAGGTAAGTCATACTACTATTTTTTATGTGGAATGAAATGAAATGGGGTTTAAAGTCCTACTGCTCTGAACTGGGCTAATGAAGACAGGCATATGCCATACAGTTGAATATGAGGGAAATTTTGTCCGGACAAAGTCACTACGACCTACTCTTATATCGAATTCCAACTGTCAAGGGATCTTTTACGTGCACGCCAATGTGTACACGGGAACTCAGTTTTTCGTCAAAACCAAACGACTAGACAGCTGTCCTTGTCAGACCCTCCATCCTGCATCACTGACAAGGTGGAACCATGCCGGAAAATCTGGATGAACTTTCTCGGCCAGTGCAAGGATCTAACACCCGACTTCAAGGCTACCGAGCCAGCATCTTACCCACTTAGCCACCATGACCCCTACATGTTATGTACAAAGGTGATGGAATCGTACAGGTTTAAGTACATCAATATTTCTTACCTCAAGAATAAGATCAAATTCTGGCTTGATGGTTCGTAGATGTTTAACAATAGGAAATATAGATAATACCGTAGTAAATTCATGACGACCAATATTTCTTCTAGCACTATTAGCTAATAACTGTAATATAACATCAGTCAGATTTGTCATCAAATAAACATTATCTCATTAAATATACATTCTTTAGGCCTGAAATGTTATATAAACTATTAATTAGACATTTATTAACATGAAAAGACCATAATCAACTCTCGATGCCATCTTATCTGTCCGATTTTCAATGGATTTGAATCCAATCTGCTAATGCTTAAACACAAAAATGGATGATCTAGACTTTGTTAATTATCTTGACAGCTGTAACAATGACAATCAAGGCTACAAAGATTTTAAAATAAGGTTTTCTCGGCTCAGAGGGAAGAATATTTCCTTTACATTATCTAGTTTTTAACTATTATAATGAGATCTGTCAGCTTTTTATCTAATCTCACATAATGTATCTTTAAAAGACATTTATAAGTAGAGGTATAATATTCATTATAACACAATTATTGATCATTGCTTGATAATGATACCTGTAAGATTACTGAAACGTTGCATGTATAATAAACTAAGAAGTAGTAAATCCATAAAGTTGTGTTATTATGAACAAATATTATTTACAAAACTGAATTGTATATAATCGGCCATAATATTTACCTCCCCTTCATTGACTACTGTATCCAGACTAGGTTGAACAATATTATCGAATACCATACGATGATTTTTCTCTTGTATTATTCCATTCATTAAATGAGCTTCACTCTAATAAAATAAAATAACAAACACAGGTCATAACGTAATACTTCGACTGGTGGCAAGGTTTGACTCAATACTCGGTCTTGTACATGAACTCAAGCGTAACCTTATTGGTTACGTATCTATTTGTTTACCCCTATTCATTGGGAAGCTATTCTATAACAAATGGGTTTTCTCTGGATCTTCTGGTTTCATCCCACTGCTAAAAGACCCATACGTGCAAGCGAATTATTGAAATAAAATTGAACCATGTGTTAGTCCCGAAATGACCTAGTTTGTGTCGAGTGGACGTTAAACCCCATTTTTCTCTGTCTCTCTCAATCTAAAAGACAAGTAACAGAGCTAGTTGTATGTATGGTTTTATTAAATAAATCAAATACACACCTGCATAAGTCTTAATAAAGCACTTAGCTCTGTAATATATAACTCAGTTTCTATATCGGTAAATTCTTCTTTAATACTCTCACTTGATGAACCTTGTCTTCTATGACCTAAAATACATATATCATTTATTTATCAAATGACAGACTTTCATACACCAACCTAGGTCCAGATAACAAATCCAACAAACTATCCAAAACTTTATTTTATTTTAAATAAAACATCATTCTAATATAACTCACCTGGCTCAAATGGGGACATTAATGCTGTTGTTGCCTTCTTCGACAAAAACCTGAAATGAAAGAAATTAGAAATTGTAAATGAGAAAAAAAAAACTGTAATGAATGAAATTAAAAACTGTTAAAAGTAAGCGCAGGGGAACCGAACCACACACAATTACACAGGACAAATGTATGGTCAAGAAACAATATATAGAAATCACAATCAACAAATGCACATATCAGATCAAGTGAATGGATCTGGGTGCTAGATGTAAGCGTTCACTGCGCTGGATATAAATGTTGGAAATGAAATGAAATGGGGTTTAACGTCCTACTGTTCTGCTCCTATATAAATCTTGGTGGATTATGATTGTTTTATAGCCCAATCATACAATCTATCTTACTGTACTTACGATAATTTCTTTCTGCTTTTTCTAATTGGTGTATTATTCATTGGTTTTACTTTCCCACTCTGAAATTTAAAAAAAGATGAAAGTTCTGATTTGATTTCAATGTTCCATCAACCCTTGAGATTTTCCTCAGCCTACACTGGGATTTAAACCTTTGACATTCTAGTCCATTTCCATAACCGCTCGACTACCCGGGACCCTCCCATGAAATAACCGAACTCTATGCATACAAAACATGCATAATATTGTGCCAAGGCAGCAGTACCACAATTCTAATTTTAAATTAAACTTGTTTTGTTTAAATGCTAAAGCTATGTCTACTGACTGAATGGAATTCTGTTCATACACAAATTAAATAAATTTTAAACTTTACTACTTACCACATTAGGTGAACTTTGAACTCCAAAACTAAGAGAAGTACTATTACCACTAGCTGATCTCAAATGTTCCTTCAGCCTATAAAACAACAATTATATTTTTATATAACAAATTAACCCTTTCTGTCATACTTGTTGAGGGGGGGTTAGATGGCCGAATGGTTAGTTTTCAAGGAATAAGAATCCTAATCCTTTAGATGCATTTAATTTAGTAACTGGATAGAGCAATAAACTATAACACATACTTATGGAAAAACAATTACTGATTCATTTAGGCGACGTTTCGAAGAGTATTCTCTCAACGTACTTGCTTGAAAACGTTGAGAGAATACTCTTTGAAACGTTGCTTAAATAAATCAGTAATTGTTTTTCCATAAGTATGTGATTAGTGTATAAGAATCCCTTTTGTGTTTTCATTGAAATTAATTGTTTCAGTGTTGTAAAAGATAGTAAGAAACTTCAAACTAACCCTTGAATAGATTTACTCAGTATGGATGATCTTGAGTTCACATAGGATCTGTGAAATTCTGTGTTATTGCCACCATTGGCAACCAACCATCCTGATATGGCACTCAATTCTAAGATAATTTTTTCAGGTAAATGTTGTAGAGCTAAATCTGTGTCTGTTCCAACAGGTGGTAATTCTATAAAATAAATTCATAAATTCCAATATATCACAAAAAAGTAAAATATATCCCTTCAATCATATACTACACTATGTACTGCACCCTCGATCAGCTATTGTTCAACAACTGAAATCTATCATTATTCACTACAGTCAGGGTCCTCCGCTTTCCTCCCACTGCTAAAAACCCCTATGCGCAACCGAATTAAACAAATAAAATTGAATCATATGTTAGTTCCGAAATGAACTAGCTATTGTTGAGTGGATGTTAACCCCATTGATCACTCTCTCTCACATCCAATGGCAATACAGCAAGTATTCTAACGTTTACATACCCTCATCCATTCCTAATAAATCCATAATAACTATAGGTGGTACTGGAGTACCATGTCTGGTTAATAAGGAACGGAACTCATGTTGTAGCGCATCATTTCCATCTTCAAACAAACGAGACTAAAAAACATATTTAATAGTATTTAACATAATTTTAAAAAATGGATAACGGAAAATATACAGTCATCAAATTTATAATTTAACATCAAAGAAGATCACTATCTAAATGGTGTTCAACAGTAGTCAGATATATCAGTAGTTAAGGATATGTTCCCTTGAGTTCTCATATGAATCCCAAAACCTTATTTCTTTATCATAATATATGAATGATTCTTTTAAAGTCTTTGAATGTTATTTGAGATATTTTTAATCTCTTGCAATCGAGATATATTATTCTTTTAAAGTGAGTGAATGTCATTTTAAGGATTTTGAATCCTTTGCAAACTACAATATCGTGAAAGTTATAATGGAATATCTGTCCAAAATAGTTAGAATTCTGTTCAGTATTTACAAAGATATGATGAATTGAAATTTGTCAACATTCGGCATCTACTACAGATGATATACAGGATATAGTCAACACAAGTCAGTACCACCTATGGTGTCTGCAGGCCATTTGAAAATGATAGATGATTGTTATTTCAAAATGTATCAAAAATTCTAGAAATAAAATCAATTTAATTTCCATATTTCTATTAAATAAAAGATATTATTCACATGACAAAATAGAGAGAAAAGTCTATCTACTTACAATTTCATCCATTTGTTTTCCACTTTTATCATTTGTTTCAAAATATTCCATAGCTTTCAATAATTTCTCCATGTAAGAAAGATAGGCATTCAGACCAGCTGCATTAGGTCTGAAACATAAATTCTTATATTATTTTGAGATGAGATTGTACATGCATAATAATCTGATTGAAGGATCTTTGGATCTAAAGGCACAGATAAGACTCACATCATCATGGTTCACATATAAATCCTTGTATATATGTTTACAAGTGTAATCTTGTCTTCCCTGATTAAATCTATCACATTTTATTCCAATAAGTTACTAAGACCACTGACCAGAAACTTCACACAATTTCAGTAGAAATCAGATATTTAACTGTTTTGATACGTCCCCATGACACCATCTTCTGAATTATCTAATACAAAGTGTACATTCTCCATTTATATCAAATTTTAAGCTGGTGTTTGAAATCATATTAGGATAAATAATATATTCTTACCCTTCTTTAATGTAAGCTTCTACATCTCTGGCTACATGATAATAACCTAATACATTATCAACTGTATGTAACGTTTTCTCAATGTCTTTTACATTATAAAGGATGTATAAATTATTGCCAATGGAATTTTTGATCAGCCATCTATTATGTTCTTGGATTGACAAATCAATAACTTACTAAAAAGTTAATCTGATCAAGTATTTTTTACTGTACTGATTCAAAATACTAAATCGAGAGAGAGAGAATTGGGGTTCAACGTCCACTTGACACAAACTAGGTCATTTCGGGACTAACATATGGTACAGTTTTATTTCAATAATTCGCTTGTGTGTAAGGGTCTTTAGCAATAGGAGGAAACTGGAGGACCCGATCAAAATCCACATGGTTTGTCTAGAAAATGAAAAACATATGAAAAGTAAAGGATACTTTCTTGTCTTCTTCTCAAATTCTCTGTTTCATTATAAACTGGAACAATGGTACTTTCAAGATGTTTTAATCTATTCTCAAAACTTGTCAGAATAGACAGCATGTTGTTTGTATTTGTACTGCTTTTCTTTAGTGAATCTTTTAATAAGGTCATGTTGTGCATTTCCTGAAAAATAAACATGTATTCCAGAACTTAAAACTTTTATACACATACCGGTACCATAAGCATAATCAATATCACACAGTCTGTTATAACATGACCATAACTTGTTAAAACTCAGGCTTCACTGCCGCACATTACAGCGAGGATTTAGTACGGCGGATACTGGATTGAACGCTTCGGAATTGAATTCTCTCGATCAATCCCTCCAAATGTGACAATCGAGTAAACACGAACATGACACTATCTCAAGTTCCCAACCATTGAAACAATCACCATAGCCTGAAACCCATGATTATGACATATGTCATCAACTCACACTACCTCTGGTGGGAATTGGAAATCAATTCTGTGTCACCAATGCCATGCCAATGGCAATTACTTTCTGGAATGACATAGAGCACCCGCCACCCACATAGTGATGCGGTCGTAATGGTTAATAAAAAAAATTGTTATGATAGAGAAAATCCTAACACTAATTTTTACTCTAGTTCAGTTCAGAAACAAGGGCCAGGCCAGTTTCTTAGCAAATGTCATGTGCAGGGCGGGGAAGATTAGAAAAGACTTCAACACTGCCCAACCGAGTTGAGATAATCTCTACTGTTGTTTATTTCAGAAGAAAATAACCTTTTCAAGTTTCTTATCAATATCTCTGCGTCGTTGTGCAATGTCTTCCATCTTGATTTTAAGGAAATAACCATCTACAATCGTTGAAAACAATACTTTCTAAATATGTTCCATTCTACTTCATTTTCGGTCTGCTAGGCCCTAATTGCCATAAAGTGCTCTAATCAAAAATTTGCGACATAATATTCTGTTATCGTCGTTTGTGATATATAAAAGAATTACTAATTAAGTTGCAGAATCTGTACAGAGTAATAAGATACTAAAGCCGTCAATTTCCTTTGCGAACCAGATCAAAGATAATTTTTGTATTGTCGTAATCTGCCCCGTCCCTATTTATGATAATATCACGTGACAAATGGCGTCGAATAGTGCTTGTTAAAAAATATTTTGTAAATAAATCCATTTTTCAGCAAGTAGCTATTCTAAATATTAATCATGGGAAGAAGATCTATAAATACCACGAAAAGTGGAAAATATATGAACCCAACTGATCAATTCAGTAAGTGCATAAGCCTATTGAAAGATACTCAATACTGCCACCGGTACCTTTTTTAAAAAAAATTTTCTTCAGTTTTTCATTTTTATACTACTATACTTTAAATATAATACAGTGCCTATAGCCTATATAAATATGTGGGGCCACACACTGAGTCTGAAGTCAGTATCGGCTGAAATTGGGTTGTAAGGATCAAATGACAGTCCATGCATTGCAGCATTGTTGTCTGAGAAAGTACCTAAATACTTTCTAGCATGGTTTCCTGTCATTGGTGCATGACATGCCCTGGTAGTAGCAAGGAACACATTGTTGTTCGTTGGGGTCTGAAAACTGAGGTCCCGTAGCTTACGCATTGGCGTGCACATAAAAGAACTCTTCAAGTTTGAATTGAAGAAAAGAGTATGCTTGACATAAGTGTACGTCCTCATTGGTCTTGTTGGTGCAGTAGAACGTTAAACCCCATTTTATTTCACTGTTATAGTTGTTTTAGTTTTAAATTGTCTGTTTTATTTACTTCAGGAAAGGAAGCAAGAAAAAGGGAGTTAAAAAAGGTATTCAATTTAATTACTTTGTACAAAATTGCAATTATAATATAACTGTATCAGTGACCTACATTAACTATTTACCTGCTAGTGAAAATGGCTTCTGGTTTTCATTATACTGCCAGCAAGCCAGTGCTAGGTATTAGATTTTAATTATGTAGAAAAAACCCCACAATTTTACAAAATAATAATTTTAATTTAAATACATTAAAACTACAAATTTGTCATTCTATGAGTACCGGTATAATGAAATTGTAACTCAAGACAAAAGTAGATGCCAGTCATTTTACATACATGTACCTGTATTGAGCATTGGATAGCTGTACAAGAAAAGGTGGTGCTCCAGTTTTCTGCATCTCTTCTGACCTCTCCCTTTAACTGATGAATATTTACTAAAACTCCAATGATGACATTTCATTTTTTCTGTTTTAATAAATCATTATTGTATAATTTTTTGTAGAATAAAAAACAGAGATTTCTGGTGAGACATGCAGTGTTAAAAGGAAAGGATCCCATGAAGTTGTTACAAGAAATGGAAGTGATAGATAAAATGGGTAAGTGCTTAATGCTTTACTATTCCAGTGGAAGTATCTAAAAAAATGTTACCGAGATCAACTATAAAAGATATGGATAACCAAAGCCATGTAAGATTTTAAGGGTTTTGATAGGTAGGTCATCAAGTCAAATTTCATGCGTACTGTCAATTATATGTGCCCCTTAAAGAAATAGCTTTAAAATTAGAGCGAGGCGAAGTGGAAAGACAAAAAAAATTGAATGAAATCTTGGTAACTTTTACAAAATGTTATCAACTTATGCAAATTGTTCCAAGATATGCGTGTGTGACTAACTATGCTTCTAACAATACTGTATGAAGGATTTGCCACATACTTCAAACATGCTAAGTGTTTGTCCATCTTTATTTTTATTTTGTCTTTAAAATTGTATCATAAAAAAGCCTTTATCCTTTTTTTCTACTCTTGTTTCTTTTAACTAAAAATATCTATTTCAGAGTATAATCCTATTGAAGCCCCATCACTAAATGAAAAGGTTCTTCGTGATAAAAGGAAAAAATTATTGGAGACATTTGTCAGAGTTTTGCGATTGTATGTAAGGAGCCGTTTGTTTTTTAAAATTGTCATTTTTTACAGGATATTTTTGTCTTTGGTTGTATTTTCATGTTTAATTTTCTATATTACTTTTACAGTTAAATTTTAAAGACAATCTAAGCATCATTTCTAATCCTCGAAAATGTATTAGTCTAAACATTTAACTTACACCACACCGATTTCTTGTACATGTAGGTAATTTCTCGCCAGCAACATTTCGTAGGCGATGGTATATGTCGTTCAAGTCATCATTGTCTTTGCGGTCACATCACAATATTTATTTGGCCGTTCATCCATTGCTATTTCTATATGTCTTATAAGGATTATGTAAAACCCTCTGTATATTGTAATAATTATGTTTAATGACTACAATACTAGTCATTTTCTCTTATAAATTATTTTAATGTTTAAAGGATAAAGAAAATCCCGAGTATTGTATTGAGTTAAAGAAAGCACAAGCAGAATATGAAAAGAAACGCCTACAGATGCATTTATACTATGGTAAATATTTCTTATATTCCACCATTTATTCTTTTCTAAACAATCAAAGCAAGAGTACAATTCAATTTCAGATATCTTTGAAAAAAAATGTATTCGTATTTATTATTGGCAATAACAGAATTAGATAAGTCGGAGATTTAATGTATGTGTATTTTATTTTATTACAGAACAGGTAAAAAGTGCAGAGAGAGTACAACTAAATGAAATTCCTCTACCCGATGCCCCAGTTGAACCCAGTGAAGGTAATTCAAGTTATTCTTTCTAAATAATTTCTCTTTACATGTATATAAAGAATATTGTAAATTGTTCATTATGTTGTATACAGGGGTGTTGGTATAGATGTCAGTGGTGCAGGACGGATGGCTGACTAGGACAGTGTCTGCTCGTTCGGATGACATAAATATCCAGACATTGGGGTTCACGTTAAAGAACACTTGAGTTGGAATTCATATAAGAGTAGACTGTAGTTTAGATATCTGTATTGTGTATATCTGTCTTCAATGGCCCAGTCGGTGCAGAACAGTACAATGTTATATCCTATTTCATCTCATCCCACCCATATCTACTAATGATCTCTTCACGTAAGCAAAATATTGAAATTGGTGTACTATACTTTAGTCATGAAGTAACCTACGTGTAATTATTGTGTATAGGAATGAAGTTAGGGAGAAATATTAAAATAGGCTCCACCCTTCCATCCCGATTTTGTTTTGGAAGCATATCTCATAAACCGTTCAAGATAACTGTATTAGATCTGTTCTATTGACAAATGTTATTGACAGTATTTCTATTTGTTTCAGCACCAGGTATGATTCCACTACCAAATGAAATTCCTTTACCAGGTATCGGAGGCAAATCAATAACAGGAATATTAAAGAAAAGTTCAGCGTATGGGTAGGTATCATACTTATTTTTTTATATTGCTTCCAAGGCTGTCTGATGGCGACACCTATGTACTTAAAGGACAATATTGGTGTCAGTCATTATCACATATGTGATAGAACTGGTTAAACACGTTCCAAATATAATAGATGCGTAATGCAGATTTCAACATCGGAAGTGACGAACGCAAAAGGAAAACACAAGTTATCCCTCTATATAAATGACTGAAGTGAAGAGTGATAACAGATTTATGAGCAAATTTCTGCTCACTAATAATTCCTTGGAAGACCAAAAGTTGTTGTGTGAGACTGTGAGAGGATATCTGACAATTCATTAAAAGCATTGACTGTCACTAGATAAGAGAAAAAGAAAGAAAAACAGAAAAAGTCTGTGCATTACCATGATTTTATTAAGTATAGAATGAATAAAAACAAGGGAATGTACGGACTATTTCTATTTTTCTCGTGTTCTCTTATCTAATGACATTTGATTACTTTTTTGAATATTTGGAACATGGTTAACGAATTATATCACATATGTGATAATGACTGACACCAATATTGCCCTTTAATTATTATGTAAGTTGTAAGGTAAATGTAAATTATTGAGATTCAAGTGTATTAATGTACATGACTTTGTATGCTCATTAGTATGTTGTGGGTTATTATTATCTATTATCTATATGCTAGTTGTCTGAAAACTTTAATTTTTCAAACAAATGGATCAAAATCATACAAAATAAATGTTCTGATTTTTATTTTCAGACCTGGTAATCTCTATAACACATCTTTCATGGATAATCTGAAATTAAAACGAAAACAGAAACCCCCAGGTCCTCCTCCCGGTCCTCCTCCTGAACTAAGTGACAGTGAAGATGAAGAATATGACCCAGAAAAAGGTAAATTTCTGTACAACCATATTACAATTTAAAAAGGATTCAATCAAAGCTTAAAGCTGAATTCTTTACTGATATATACTCCATAGGAAAATGCTTTTTGACACTTCACATAGGTCCCTAGTGAGTTTCTGATCACAACCATTTAATGAGCATGTATATGTATTTAGTCTGGAGTTCCTGTCTGTCATTCAGTCAAGTGGTGTGGTTTTGATTCCCCGGTTGTACGTGACAAGGAGTAGGGTCGCCTGTCCAACCTTGTGGGTTTTCTCCGGGTCCTCCGGTTTCCTCCCACTGCTAAAGACCCCTATGCACAAGCGAATTATTGAAATAAAATTGAACCATGTGTTAGTCCCAAAATGAACTAGTTTGTGTGGAGTGGACATTAAACCCCATTTCTCTCTCTTGATCCCAGTGTGGGCAGAAAGTTCATCAGGATTTGCCAGCATGGTTTCCACTTGTCATTGGTGCAGGACGTGGGGGCCTGGCAAGGGACAATGAATAGTCGTTTGGATGTACATAAAATAACCTTTAACAGAGGAATTCAAAATAAAAGTAGGCCGTAATGCTATTGTCCGGGCAAAATTGTCCTCAAATGCACTTCCTTAGAACAGTAGGATTTTGAACCCCATTTCATTTCATTGTATTGTTGCCTTTTTTGAGAATAAATATGTAAGAATGATTAACTTGTTACAGCTATAGAAGCAGTAGTTGAAGCACCTGTACATACTATAGCTGTACCACCACCATCAGTTATCCCTGTACCATCATCTATAGAACTTCCACCACCTGTTTCATTAGATAAAGGTCAGTATATAACATCTCACATTTCTTCCACAGACTAGTATTAAACCAAATAGTGCCTCAAACTTGTCTGAGAAATAAGTTATATTGCATTTAAACATACATTATACAAGAGCTAAATCTGCCTCTTGCAGGTCTTTCTTTAGGCCTGAAATGTCCAGACCATAATCAACCCTCGATGCCATCGCTAGCCTGCGATATATTTAGCGGATTGGAATACATTTTGTGATGGATGATTTATCGTCAAAATGGATAATCGAGACTATGTTTTTTATCATACCAACTTTAGTAATGATGATCGAGGCTAGGCCTAAAATTCCACTGCTAATATCTCAGCATATTCTATTTACATTATCTATTTTTTTAACTAGTATTATAACGAGAAGCTAATCTTCCCTATGGCCCCTATAATATGTCATTAAGTCAAGCGGCGGGGTTTCGATCCCACACTTGCAGATATTGTACCCATATTAAACCAATACATTATTTTGTATGTTTGTAGCTAAACCCCGTAAAATCCGTTTTGCTGATGGTCGTGAAGAAGATGACAGTGAGAAGGATACCAGATTAACGTTTAAAAATAAAAAAGGTGGTGGTGTTACTCCATTACAAGCAAAAATGTTACAACTAGCTGGTCAAGATCCAACAAAATTCGAAAAATCTGGTCGGAAAAGACGCCATGTATGTATTTGTATATGTTTTTGAAATATATATATATGTACCATAAAATTCAGTAGAGAAGACATGTTTGTTTTTTACAATCAAGAGATTCTGCCTGATTGCTTATTCCTTTTAAAAAAAATAATTTTACATCCATAAAACTTTTTCTAAGCTCTTTGTTTTCTTTATTTTATTTCACTTTCAACGCATTTAAACTAGTGAAAGAAATGGAGAATATTTGCTTATGAAATTTGACTTTTATTTCTTTATTGTTCAGTGGGGATCACATGGCTATGTGGGTAAGACGCTGGCTCGCTAGCCTGCATTGGCCGAGAAAGTTCATCCCGATTTTCCGGCGTGGTTTCACCTTGTCAGTGATGCAGGACGGAGGGCCTGACAAGGACAGTTGTCTAGTCGTTCGGATGGGACGAAAAACCGAGGTCCCGTGTACACATTGGCGTGCACGTAAAAGATCCCTTGGCAGTTGGAATTTGATATAAGAGTAGGCCGTAGCGCCGCTGCCCTGGCAAAATTTCACTCATAGCACACTGTATGGCATATGCCTGTCTTCATTAGCCCAGGTTAGGAACAGAACAGTAGGACGTTAAACCCCATTTCATTTCATTTATTGTTCTGCTGTCAACTCGTTTAGACTAGTGAAAGTAATGGAGAATTATGAAATTTAAGTTTGTTGATATATTCCATTTTGCTTTATAATACTTGTCTATTGTCGTCAATTTTCTTTATATTACTTGTTTATAGTCGTCAGATGAAGATGATTCTGACGATGAAGAAGTTATATCCTCACATAGTGATGCTACAACAAATAAACAACATTCTATGGAAGATATTCGACCTCCCGGTGTTGATGATGACAGTGATGAAGAGAAGGAACCGTCCAAAGACCCTAAACCATCTGGTCCCCCAGGAGCTCCGCCAGGTGCTCCACCCGGTCTACCACCAGGTGCTCCCCCCGGCCTACCACCAGGTGTTCCTCCAGGTAGAAAAATAAACATTATACACTACTATTACTGCTCTATGAAAACTAATATCTTTTGGGTTACTTCACAAATTTGAAAGCTGGTTTTTTATCCAACTTTCAAATACTTAAAAATAACAAAATTAAAATAAGTTAACAACATTTTTAAAAGGAATTTTGACCGTGTTTATTATATATCATAGTTTGTTATATTGGCAATGGATTTAATATTTATCTTCTATATTCCATCAATTCAGGTCCTCCTCCAGGAGCTCCTCCAATGTTCATGCGACCTCCACCATTACGTGGTGGTGTGCCTGGAGCTCCACCAAGACTGCTACCACCAGGTCCTCCTCCAGGTCGACCTCATGGATTACCACCTGGCCCTCCACCAGGATTACCTCCCAGTTTACGAGGTTTACCACCCAGGTTACCACCTGCACCGCCAGGTAGAGTTTATTTTCGGCTACTCATAATTGATTGATATTTTAATCTTGAGAAATATTTTAGCTACGTTTTCGATTTAGGATGTAGAATACTGCTATGCAAAATTACTGTAACATGGAAAAATATTTATCAAGAAAATTAATAAGTTAAAACAAAATATTTCCTTTCAAATTTTTTTTTTTTAAGAATTTCATTAATAATTTCCAAGATATATAGTAAATCGTAATTAAGGGTTACTATTTTACTTAAATTTCAGGTGTACCTCCAAGAATGTTACGTCCTCCTGGTGGACCACTTGGTATTCCATTACCTGGAGGACCACCACCACCTCACATGATGATGCATCCAAATAATCCTAATGTACTCAGTGCACCACCCAGTATCATGAAATTACCACAGAAAATGCACGATGAAGACAAGTCTCATATGGCAACTATTGAAGCTAAACCTCAGATTAAAAATGTTATGGGTGATGTAACACGATTTATGCCTACAGCACTGAAAATTAAACGTATTGGTAAAGACCAGAGAGGAAGATTAAAGGCGCCAAGTAAGTATTTTTTTATTTGTTTAGCTGGTAATTCTGTGGACATTATCAATATTTCCTTTGTTTCTAGTAACAAGCGTATTATATGGACCAGGAATCAAGCACTGGAACCATCGAAGTTAGTCACTCGAACGAGCTAAGTTGCTACGGTTCATGTCATACTTGAATTGGCAGAGCCTAAGGCTTTATTCTGGGGGCGTCTCTCCATCCCCCACAAAAACAAAATGTTCCTGGTCCAAACAAATCAGAATTTGAATACAAATCATCAATTAATGGCAAGGTTTTCCAGCTTGTGATAAGAATCATTGAAGAAACCCTTACATCAGAAAAATGTTGAGTAATCAAACAAACAGTCTGTTCAATTGGAATGAGCCAATGGTAATCTCACTAATACATTCAGAAATATTGAACAATAAGCCTAATTACCAATGTGTGCTAGTTAATAATATTAAATTCAACTCCATGATTTTACATCGTAAGACAACATAACTCCATTTGTATATCAGAAGTCTATCAATTTTGTATTTTATTTCAGGTAACGAAGACAACAAACGTGTATTGGGTAGTCATGCAATACCTACTCCACTTGTTGCTACACAAACTAAAACTAAAGATGATGCTTATGATCAGTTTATGAAAGAAATGGCAGGTTTATTATGAGAACAGGTAAAGTAAATTATAAATCAATCCTTGTTAAGTAAACTACTAAGGGTTAACTTTTATTGTATTCTGGGAGCCACGGTGCCTAAATGGGTAAGAAGCTGGGTCACTAGCCTGGAGGTCATGTTGGCCTAGAAAGTTCATTGTGATTTTCCAGTGTGGTTTCCCCTTGTCAGTGGTGCGTGACGAAGGGCCTGACAAGGACAGCTGTCTAGTCATTCAGATGGGACAAAAAAAAAAACCAATTGTATTTTTGTCACTGATGCATTGTACTCATTTGAGATGCGTAAACTGTCAGTAATTGAAGATTTATATATCAGGAATTCTAAAACTCTTTTAAGTATTTAAAATGAATGATGCATAATATGAATTAATTAGTCCATTTATTTGCTTCAGGTTTCAACAGAGCAGAGGATGATTTAGTGTCGGAGAACAGGACACTCTAAAAATAAATCTTATTATGGTAAACAATCTGTGGATGTCTAATATAATTTTTGTGATTTGTAAAAAAGAAAAGATAAATTCTAAATTTTAATGTCATAAAAAGATACTATAAAACAGCCATGGAGATTTGTATTACAAGATTTATTATGATATTTTAACGTTGCCATGGTTTTATTTAATTTAAATATTGAAATAGACCTACCCGTGAAAACAGTATGTTACTGTATGAGAATGAAGTATGAAAGATTTATTGAGTTTAATAATATTTGTATATGTACATAATAAAATATTAAATAAATGTAATATCTCTGTACTATTAGAGAGACGAGTTCGTTCTATTTTGTCTGTAGCGCATGTGTGCTGTATCATAAGGTCTGTCATTGAGTCAACTGGTGTGGTTTCGATTCCTGGGTTGTACGTGACAAGGAGTAGGGTCTCCTGTCCAACCCCGTGGGTTTTCTCCAGGTCCTTCCACTGCTAAAGCCCCCTACGCGCAAGCGAATTTTTGAAATATAGTCCCGAATCGAGTTGACTTAAACCCCATTTCCCTCTCTATTTTGTCTGTATTTCACTTGCCCAGTTAAAGACATTTCTACATGCTGAAACATGGAAATATTTATGAGGGATCTACTCTGTACTTACATGGCTAAATCTATTTGCTAAGGCCAGCTCAATTTTTGTCAAGGTAGATGAGATATAAATAAGGTTAGGGCAAGCATTGGGGCTAGGTCCAAGGTTAGGGTTGGGATTAGTACTAGCCTTGTTTACTTACATATCGTGACCTATGACGATAAATTGAGCTGGCCTTGTCATTTAGCACTAACCGTACTTAATTTTAAACGGGCGATGTCGTGCTATCGAAAGGGCCGTCCTATAGCCATAGTATAGATTTTTGGACAACATCTCACAATTTCTACAACATCAATGTTGTGTTTCACCGTATGGCGCGTGACCTTGGAGTTCTGGTACAGTCCAGTATTCCTTCATTGTAAATATCAAACGTCATTTTAAACGTGCTATCGAAAGGGTCGTCCTTTTTGCACAACCTCTCACAAGTTCTACAACATAATGACGTTTCACCGTTTGGCTCGTGACCTTGGAGTTCTGGCCCAGTATTTCTTTATTGTAAATATTAAAGGCCCAATACCACTCTTGTTCTAACTGAATAATATGTCCCAATCTTTATTCTGGTCAACAAATTGTACTATTTTAAAATATTTCAATTAATTGATGATACAAATTTCATCTTAACACACCTTATTTAAAAATTTTGAAAAATTCAACATAATGGTTTGAAACGTCTTACGTAAACCTTTTCAAATGAAACTTCAATTTAAAAATATTTTCGAACCCTCTGGACAAGTAAAATAGGATGTAATGGATAATTTACACAACAGGTAGGACACTTAAACATCTAGTACTTAGATTGAGATATTATTTTTTTTCTGGAGCTTTCAAGCCAGCAAGAGTGTTATTGTCCCTTTAAACGCAGACGAAATATAATAGGGATTTTAAGGTCCTATTTTCCTGCACGAACCGAGATAATGAAGACGACAAACGCAGACAAACCCGGGAATATGATTTTAAAAAGACATCGCCATAACTCACTCAGCCGGCTATCACAGCTACCAATCATTGGGACAGAATGGTGATGAATTGGCACGTTTCCTTGACAACACATATAATCAATTTACAAAATAATTGCTTTGCCGCAGAATAGCCGGAAGATGATCCGATTTTTTGAGACCTAAAATTTAGTAGACCTTACTGGCAAAAAAGCCACATAAGTCCGGTCATAGCTGTGTCCTCGGGTTAATTTGTACTTTAAAATCTAAGTGAATTTGTCGACTCATTTTCCAAGGATCAGGAGCGGAATTCTGTCACCAAGTTAGTTGAAAGAAATTGGTGGCTTCGGATTAATTTTTACTTTAATGCCGACCCTTTCTATGGAGCTGAATTCTAACTGTTATACAGTGCATGCAACTTCTTACTTAAATATAAATACGTGCACCCCCCCCCCCCCCCCAAATCACCCGCATATTGATGACTTATTTCTTATATATCGCAGTTTGAATAATTGTGTTATATTTACATCAGTATTATACGCTCACATTGAAATAAGGTAGTATATTGTCGCTCCCGTCCTTCGGTTCGACGTCCACAATTCCTTGTTTAAGGTCATGAGACGAACCAGGGGTGGATCCAGGGGGGGTTCTGACGCTTCCGGAACACCCTCGAGATTTTTCGGTGCCCTTTTTTCCCGAACGGACTTCCATACACCCGCAGATATTTGGGCCGGCAAGTGGCGACGCCGCGCGGTGAATGAAGACGTCAACGTCATACAATATGGCGACCCCCTTGCTAGACGGCAAGATGAAAATTTTTCGGTAGTTTTTGTTCCTATTTGCATCTAAAATGCCGCGACACGATCGTATCAAGAGGAAAAGGGAGGAAGATAAAATTGCTGCAGCCGCTCAGTGTGCCAAAATCAGCTGTTTCTTTCGGTAAGTGTAAAATTTTACTGCATTTGTTGATTTTTAAGGTGAAGAGAGTAGTCTGTGCAGCAGTCGCTAGATATTTACTATCATCAATGTACAATTAAAAGAGCATTTACACACTTCAAGCTTAGTGATTTGGAGGGCACATTAAGGCCTAAAATAGGGCACTGTTACGTGAAAATCATGGGTCTAAGGGGCACATTTTTTGCCGAATCGATATAAAATAAGGGCATCTTTACATCAAAGGGGCACTTTTTGTACCTAAATGATTAAAAAGGGCATTTTAATGTGATACCCTTGAATGAGGAGGGCACATTCAACGCCAAGTCGATATACAGAGGGCATTTTAAATTTTTAGCCTCTGTCCATGACATATTCCTGCCAAACAGATAATAGGTCTCAATGTTTTGTTTTCAGTCCAATAATTCATGGTTCAGTATTTTGCATTTTAAGTAAAATAAAAATTGAAAAATTCCATTAATTTATTTTGTTTAAACTTACAATATTTCTTTCTCATGGTATGTGGAATGTTATTGCAATGCTGTATTATAAATCTAGTTTTATGCCTCTAAAACCCACCAGAGTGGCTTAGAATGGTCTGAAATTTAAAAAAATTTCCCCAGACCCCCCGCTAGCGCGCGCCTACGACGCCCGCCGGTCATGGATACTGTATTAGACGAAAATGGGGTGCCCTTATTTTTTTGGAACCCCCTCCAGCTAGAGCCCTGGATCCGCCCCTGAACCCTATTGATTTTCAACAATTTCCGATAATTACTGCCAGAGTTATGAACCTTGATGACTTTGATATACCTCGTGGACGCGCTAAAGTTAATAACCGACTGACTTTATATTTTTACACACGAAGAAGCCTATTCCTGCCACGTGCGCGCTGTATCATAAGGTCTGTCATTGATTCAACTGGCGGGGTTTGGATTCCCCGGTTGTACGTGACAAGGAGTAGGGTCGCCTGTCCAACCTGGTGGTGTTTAGTGTTAATTGTATTTGATTGTTATTTTGTTGCATATTCTATATATATTCCCCTACTATTCACATACCCGTATCATTTGCTTGATAAAGACGAGAGTATCCTCGTCGAAACGTCGCTTAGTATTAAACTCAGTAATTGTGTATCGATAAAATTGTACCTTATGTAAAATCTCGCTTTTTCGGAACCCGACAATAAGACAGTATTAGAGCGAAGACACGACAAAGTAAACTTGCGTAACTATTGAATTTAGAACATCATGTTAAAACTTGGGAAAATAAATAAATATAAATAATGCTGGCATTGAAGAGGTTTAGTAATATTGATTGCTTTAGCTTATTTTTTTCTCACGTAGTGATGACATATTTTACGTAAAACAAAAGCAAAAAAAAAAAAAAAAAAATATTCTTGGTATTAAACAAATAATCTAGAAATAAAGCAACAGAACAAAAGCTGGTTAGCTATATTAATCCCTTTGATGAGAATTGGTATCCGGTGTTCTAGAAACGGAAAGCATTCGCTGCCCTTTAGGGGTCTTTAGCAGTGGGAGGAAACCGGAGGACCCGGAGAAAACCCACGAGGTTGGACAGGTGACCCTACTCCTTGTCACGTACAACCGGGGAATCGAAACCACGCCAGTTGACTCCATGACAGACCTTATGATTGAGCGCACACCTGCTACATAGGTTAAGAAACGTTCCACAAGATGATCATTTCTTATTCCATGGGGTAGTTAGGTGTCGCCTTTTTTCTGGCTAATGAAAGTAAATACTTCACCGCCTGGAAGAAAATGTCTGATACTGATATTTTTCCCTCCAAGAACACGAACGTAATGTGACACCTACAAGACTACGCGACCTGATCAGTAATGAAAATATCCATAATATATACAACCCTGTCGTGTATGTTAATCTTGACGAAGATCTGTGGGCAGTAATACGTAGGATTATAATGTACCCAATTACGTCTACGTGGCATTATTAAGTTACTCTGTCAGGAGAATGTCAAAAGAAAACCGTGGGTTTACTATCAATTATTATAGACAAATCCACGCGGACTGTCTGTTCTGAATCTGATAGCATTTTATGTTTCAATTAAGGCATGTTTCTGAAGCAGTGGTTAAGAGCATTATCAGCGCATCAATCACATACTCAGGACCGTAACTACCCCCACCCCATACCATTAAAAAAATAGATATATATTGTCCGTCAATTTACAGCACCCCTGAGAACACTTCCCGTCCCCCTCGTTACCCTAAGCTAGTTACGGCCCTGGCTATGCTTACCATGGTAAAGTTGTAATTCTGACCCCTGGGGAGCCACAGTGGCTAAATGAGTAAGACGCCGGCGCGCTAGTCTGGAGATCGCGGGTTTGATTCCGGTGTTGACCGAGAAAGTTCATCGTGATTTTCCGGCTTGGTTTCTCTTGTCAGTGGTGCAGGACGGAGGGTCTGACAAGGACAGCTGTGTAGTCGTTCGTCCCGTGTATACATTGGCGTTCATGTAAAAGATCTCTTGGCGGTTGAAATTATAAGAGTGGCCGCAGCGCCGATGTCCTAGCATAATTTCCAACATAGCACACTGTGCGGCGTATGCCCGTCTTCATTTGCCCATTTAGTTTCATTTCCTACACATACTGTTATGACTTCATAGTATCCGCGATATTTACTGCTACAGCAGGAACTATACATTTCCGAACATCGAAAAAAGGGTATAAAGTAAAAAAAATATATAAAAAAAATAATAATACACACACATGCCTCAAAACAAAACAGAGACCCCGTACCTTGACAGTTGGACTTCAATGATGAGGAGGCGAAAACGCCACTGTCAGAACAA